TATTAGCATCCCCATTGTACTGCGTCTCATCTAGCTGGGAGCCTTCATCGTCAGGGGCTTCCAGCAATCTATCCTGTTTCCTATTTAATTGTCCCCCTCTGAGCCACCCTTAGAAGGAGGGAGAGTTGCTTCTATATGTGGGTTGAATTCTTTTCTGGGGGTGGTGGTGGGCTGATCTGGCTTGTGGCTGTTCTTGGTTCCCCAGGTTGTCCCAAGATTCAGGTTTAGCATCCAGTGCAGCCAGTCACCTCACATGACCCAGTCTCCATTTCCTCCATGACTTCTCCCTCTCTACCTAGCAGCCATCTGCAGTATTTCTCATGGGTTTGTCCAGGTCTGCTCAGCCAAGAAGTAGCAGAGTTGAGACCTGAGCTGTCCATACTTTGAACCTCCAGCTCTACTGGCCTGCACGTGCAGGCAAATCATCTTGAGCTGTAGAGGGGGTTAGCTCTTCCTTAGCCCTAGTTCCAGGAGGGACAGTAATCCTCTGCTCATCAGATGGCAGGAGATCCAGTGAGGTCATGTGTAAAGTGTAGTCACAGCCAGGAGCCACTTGATAGATGGCCACTATTGATTATGCGGGTAGTGACATTCATTTTCTCTCCTGGATTATTCCTTTCTGGGGCCTAGGGTTTCATGGCTTCCTTTACTTTGCAGCCTTTCCAGCAGGGCTTCTTGGCTGGACACTATTGACATTTTGGGCTGGCTGGTTCTCCTTATGGGACTGGTTCTTACAGACCAGCATTTCTGGCTTCTACCCCCCTGGATGGTAATAACATTCTAACCATAAGCTGTTGAAATTAAAACAGACAAAAAAAACCCCAACACTGTAGACATTGCCAAATGGCTAGGATGCTTGTGGGCACATGCACATGCGCAAAATTGCCCTTAGTTGAGGACCAGACATTTACTTGTACCTTGTCTTGAAATTTATAACCCGTAAGGATTTGCATTAAAATGGGGCCCCCACAAAGCACCTATACCAAATAGTCTGGCCAGAATTCCACATAGAATCAACTTTTAGAGACAGTCAGTTTTTTTGAATCCTGAACATGAACACTCTCTTTTTAAATTTTTTTTAAGTGCTTGAATTCAGGACCTAGTAGCTGACCATTAGCTTTTTTTTTTTTTTCCTTCCCCCTCAAGACTGGTGGTCTATCATATGAGCCATAGCTCCACTTCCAGTTTTTTTTGCTGGTTCATTGGAGGTAAGTCCTGCTTGGGTTGGCTTCGTACCTTGATCCTCAGATCTCAGCCTCCTGAGTAGCTAGGATGATAAGTGAGAGCCACTGGTGTCTGATTGCAGTGTCTCTAAGTAGCACTGGTTAGAATCACTGGTTGCTTAATAAGCACAGTGAAGTCTAGGCCATTCTGTCTGTCTCAGACTTAATTGGTCTGAGTGGACCCTGCATGTAGTGTTTGTTAAACCTCCACCAGCTTGGGATGATACTGTGATGCAGCCACTAGGCTGAGGACAGGGAGCTGTGGTGACCTTTCCCCTCCATCCCCCAGCCTGGTCCTCCAATCCCATTAATGTTTTTGTGGTTGTTACTCTGCTCTTCGTTTAGTCTCATCATCCTTACTGAAGCTTTTTTTTTTTAATGTGATTTTAAAGAAGTTATTGGTAAAAGATGTTTTCTTTAGCATATTTATTCTGAAGAGCTCTTAATTGCTGTACTTAGAACTACTAAGCAGTGGACCTTTGTCGAGCATCAAAATCACAGAATGAGGGGGGAGTTGATGAGAAGGATTGTTGCACTGTCTTTGAGTGCTGGCTGGGCATCTCCTGGATTCTGGGTCCCATTAATGAGTGACCTAGAAGCGTGTGTGTGTGTGTGTGTGTGTGTGTGTGTGTGTGTGTGTGTGTGTGTGTGTGTGTGTGTGTGTGTGTGTGTGTGAATAAGCTATCTGCTTGCTACAAAAAGCAATGCACTGTTCAACATGAAGCACAAGGGAGCTGGTGCTCCACATGTCATTAAGTTTTACAAACCACACCCCATCTCACCATCATAACCTCCTCTAAAAGGACCAGTTCTGTGCTAATGCACAAGGAGTCACGGCCCGTATGGTCTTCTGTCACATGTGGCTTCGCGACATGTGGATGACCCTTGGTAACTAAGAAACCAGGAATCCTTTCTTCCCCATTTGGGTGTGTTGGGTCTTGCTCTCTAGGCCACCTACCAAAATACAGTCAGGAAATACTGAAGGAGACTCAAGGCCCTTACCATGTCATCCATTTCATCTCAAATGAAAAGAAAGTGTTGTGTTGTATGCATGGGTTTGGGCTAGATAATAGGCTTGTGAGGGGTATTCAAATCTCTAGCCCAATGTGAGATTTTTAGAAAAGATTTGTTTCTGGATTGCCTTCCCTGTTGCCCATTTCTGTGAATAACCACCATTTGTCTTAATGTGAATAATAGCACAGATCACATTTAGGTGCCGCCCCCCCCCCCTCCCCCCCAGCTGAGTTACCATTTCAAGTGATTGTTATAGGCCTAGGAATCAGATGCTATTTATGTAATTGCAGGAGTAGCAATAATAGAGATGCCAATGATACCAATCATGATTAACATTCATCTGATCTCCATATCATGTCACACACTATGCTGAGGGGCTGTACATGGCCCATCTAATCTAATGGTCAGAAGGATTCTGAGGCAGGTTAGACTGATCTCCATTTTACAGCCGAGGAGACTGAGGCTCAGAAAGGTTCACACAGCTCTTGGAGGAGTGGGCTTCGACTTTGAACAGAGTAGCACAAGTCTGTGTACGGTCGCTTGGCTGCCCTACGATGTGAGCACAGAGAGCTGTCACTGGGCTACAGCAAGCCCACACTACCACCCCAACCCTTGCCATTGGAGCTGGGAGTGGTGGGCAGAGAGGTGTTTTGCATGGCTGTAGGGAATTGACCTCTTTCAGGCAGGAAGTCATTTAGGGCAACAGAAAGCAGAACTTCCACCTGCTGGTAAGTCCCACACTGCTTGCTTATTGATAACCAGCTCCACAGTCCTGTAACCAAGGCAACACATACCGAATCATGGGGCAGTCTTGGGCTCTGCCATGTCTTTCTATGAGTAAGAACCTTGGCCAGTTGTTTGTCTGGCCGTGTCTGCCCTTTATCTGTCCCAGTGTTTATACCTAGGAAACCAGCCACTGAGGGACATGGCCTTGAGTGGGAGCTTTCTCCTCTACCCATAGTTCACTACTTCTAGGGATGAGGTATGTATGTCAGTCACTCAGGGATGTGTGGGTAAGGATGTCCTTTCTGTGGGATCCTACCCTTCTTGTTCACTCCCCGGACAGCCTATTAAATTTTTGTGATATTTCCTTGGAGTTACATTCATTCAGTCTCATTCTCTCAGCTCCTATTGAGAACAACCAAAACTGTTTATCACCTCACTGGGCCTGTTTCCACAGCTTGTAACTTGTGTCTGCCTCAGAGACTTGTTGTAGGGAAAGAAGAGTTAAGACTTGTCCAGCATTCCAACAGAATCAGCTGCGTGGTCAGAACTCAGTCACCATATGAGTTCCCTGTTGATGCTGTAACAAATCAGCGTCAGAGAACACCCCAGAGTATGGTCTTGCAGTTCTGGGCGTCAGGAGTCTGAGGTGGGTTTTGCTGGGCTGAGATTCATATAGCTGAGGCTGCCCTCTTACCAGAGGCTCCAGGGGAGAACCAATCTTCTTGTCTTTCCCAGCTTCCAGTGTCTGTCTGCATCGGTTGGCTCTTGAAATCTTCTTCCATCTTCTAAGCCAGCACTGACCCCAGGTCATCTCTCCTTCCTGCCTTACCTTCTGTCTTTTAAGAATCTCGGTGATTACATTGGACCCATTCAGATGACCCAGGATGATCGCTTCAGTAAGATCCTCAACTCTGTGGTCCGCTTTCCAAGTGTGGTGACTTATTCATTGTGGTAGAGAGGAGAACTTAGACATCTTTGGGAATGAGTTTGGCTAGTCATTGTAAGCATTAGCCATTTGTTTTATTTATTTATTATTATTTTCCATTGTGGGGCTTGAATTCAAGGCAGCACTCTACCACTTGAGCCACAGTACCACTTCTGGCTTTTTCTGTTTATGTGGTGCTGGGGAATTGAACCCAGGGCCTCATGCTTGTGAGGTCAGCACTCTACCACTGAGCCACCTTCCCAACCCTGGGATATTTTATTGTATTTATTTTTGAATAAAATGAAACAGATTCCAACTCACTAGCTTGGGGAAGGAATAAATGATATTTTGATCTGTGTTAGCCCTGATCATCGTGTTAGCCCTGTCCTGACTTGGGCCTTTTAAAAGTATCTGTTAGCTCTCTTATTCTCCTCTTCCTGGCCCTTCTTCGGGAACATTGTATGGCCAACACCTTCTCAGCCTTCATGTCTCAGGTCAAATGTCACCTCCTCTGAGAAGCTCTCCCTGATCACCTTTGCTTAAACATGGGACTCTCCCAACCCCATTTATTCCTCCATAGCCTCCCCTTCCATTATCCTGCTTCTTCTTTCACTGAAGTCCTTCTCATCTGTAACTTTTTTTGTTTATGAATCTGCCTGGTGTAGTCTGTGTGCCTTCTGTAGAACGTCAGCACCAGGAGGGTGGGGACCCTGTGTGTCTTGTTCAGTGGTGGGTGGAAGTGCATCGAATGGTTTCTGGAACTGAGTGGGTGCACAGTAGGTAGCGGTTGAGTGGGTCAGTGAGTGGAACCCTGCCAGGCATGGTCCTGTTGGGTTAATGCTCAACCTTGCCTGGTGGAAGGTTCTGTTCTTGTCGTCCCACCTTGCAGATGTGGAAACCAAGGCTGAGTCCTTGTCCCAGGACAATGATGACTGAATTTGCATTGTGCCCACCGGCTCCCTGAGTCCTCTGAAGCTGCTTGGGATCCATGGTGCCAGTGGCTGCAGTGTGCTGGCAGGCTCACCATTCTGCTGCAGTTTTCTGACCGCAGCTCCTGGGCCTCGCCTAGACTGCCACTTGACATTAGTTCCGCTCTCCCCCCCACTCCTCAGGTCTGTTGTGTCGGGTCTGGACTCCCCTGCCAAGACTAGCTCCATGGAAAAGAAACTCCTCATCAAAAGCAAAGAGCTTCAAGACTCTCAGGACAAGTGTCACAAGGTATTTATCTCTGCAGTCGGCCTCCCTCCTCCTCGGTCCAGGATCTTCCCATCAATACATGCCAAGGGATCTGCCCGGGGCTGCTGCTGGCGCTGAGCCTCCTGATCCAGGTGGCGCTCACTCGCTCTCTCTCTCTCTCTCTCTCTCGCCGAAGTCGCTCCTCCAGCAACTCAGAGGGAGATGAATTCGGGGCCTTGACGTTGCCATAAATCCTTTTAAGTCTTAACCAGAGGAGGCCCTGGATTTAAAACGGCCCCCCTGCTTCTCAGCATGACCCAGCCCCATGTCTGCTTCTTCCGGCAGGTGGCGCGGGTCCTCACCTGTGGCTGAGTTGCAGCCCATCTGCTTTGAGTGATGAGAAGTCTCTCTTCCTAGTCTTTTAAAACTCCTGCTTGTATCACTGCGGCCACTGTGTTTGATTATGCTCAACGTCTCTTAACGCTCACTGTTCCTGCCCAGAGGCAACTCCCTGGAAAACTTTATTAAAAGTCACTGCTTGTCCGGGACTACTAAGCATACAGACGAATAATTGTCTCCTTGCCCTGTCCTGGATTTGTCCTCTAGATCTTTGCAAGGAGAGATGGGGGGGATCAAGATGGATTTGGGATAAAAATTAAAGTGACATCTACAAAAAAAAACAAAAGCAAAAACAAACCAAATTAAAAAAAAAAAAAGGCAAAACAGGTGAAAAATGATGATGGTGGCTTCCTTGCTAACTGGGTTAGAGAAGTGACCAAGTGTGAAGCGGGACTTGGATGAGAGGAGTGACCTAGCCTTTGGTGGCTGTCCCTACGAAGAACTGTGTGCTCCTGGGCGAAGAAACAATGGTATTTCCATCCCAACTCCTGGCGAATTTGCAGTAGCCCAGACCACCACATGGTCTCAGGGGCTGCTTGAGATTTTAATTACTCCTAACTAACCTCTGGGAACCCTTTTTAACCTGTCCATGTGTCTATTTCAGATGGAGCAGGAAATGACCCGGTTACATCGGAGAGTATCAGAGGTGGAGGCTGTGCTTAGTCAGAAGGAGGTGGAGCTGAAGGCCTCTGAGACTCAGAGATCCCTCCTGGAGCAGGACCTTGCTACCTACATCACAGAATGCAGTGTGAGCCTCCCCCAAAGCCCCCTTCCCTTGGAGGTGGCACTTCCTGTTGTGTGTGTCTCATCCTGTTTCATGAATGAAGCCTTCATGAGGCACATCACAGCCAATGCAGAGAGAGAGAGAGATACAGAGACAGAGATAGAGACACAGAGACAGAAAGACCGAAAGAGACAGAAAGACAGAGAGAGAGGCAGAAAGAGACAAAGAGGCAGACAGAGACAGAGAAAGAAAGAGAGAGGAGAATCACAATAGCAAGATCTGTGATTTCTATGAGAACCCTGAAGAATGAGGCTAGACTCAGCCCAGAGTACTACCAGACTGCTCATGGAGCACTGGAGATGGGAGTAAGCCATCATGGCTCCAGGTTGCAAAAGGTCCTGACATCTCCCGTCCTCAATCTCTCTAGACTTAAGCACCATGTCCACCAAGACAATTGAGCCTTAGCAACAAAACTCCCAACCCAGTATAAGAACACATAATGTAAATTTGTCTGAAATCAATTTTTTTCATTCCCTACAACCAGTGTAGTGACAAGAAGAACTCAGGCTTGAAACCCAAGGCCCTCTTGTCATTATTTACCATGTGACTTTCATTTATTTTTTTTTTTCTTTCCTTCACAAGAGTAGACTGTCTTCTCCATTGTCTCGTGAGATTTTTCATTCAGGTGTTTTTTTTTTAATGTGCCCAATTAAACCGTCTTAAGAAGTTGAATCACACATTTATGAAGGTTTTTTTTTTTTTTTTTCTTTTTTCCTTTTCTCTCCTCAAGGGAGAGAGAAATCTATAGAACCGGGCTGATTAAGAATAACTGCTATGTTTCCATTCCAGACTTGGCTGCCTTTCAGTGGTGGGTGAAGTTATTCAGCTGTGTTTTTCAGATACATATTTCAGTGCCATTGAAGCACTTGAGGGAAGCTTATGGAGAATAGGTGTCCAGGAAACACGAGGCAGGAGATAAGAGATAGCCCACTCGGCTCTTTTATGTAGCACCTATCTAGAAGATGAAGTTATTGCTACTTTGAAAGGGGGACATATCTTTGAGAGTCCTTAAGTTATTGATCTTCCAGGGAAGGCCAGATAGTGATCCTGATGGAGATTCTAAATGGCTAATGGATCTTAATGACTTTTTTTGTCCTAACCATACAAGTAAGTATCATGGAGGACAGGGAGATGGTGGATGGATGACTCGTCAGGCCGGCTCCGTAAGGTCACAAAAAGCTTGTGATGACGTTTGCTTGCACCAAAGGGGTTTTACAGGATGAAAATTGGAAATCGGCAACCAGCTGGAAGTTGTCAACTTCGGTCTGTCACCTGAAACCATCCTGGTGTCTGCGAAGAAGCGTGCAGCTCTCTTAATGAATCTTTTCAACCAGAGCAGGATTCACGGAGCATCCCTATTAAATGCGTTTGCTTTCTACAGAGCTTAAAGCGAAGTTTGGAGCAAGCACGGATGGAGGTGTCCCAGGAGGATGACAAAGCCCTGCAGCTCCTCCATGACATCAGAGAGCAGAGCCGGAAGCTCCAGGAGATCAAAGAGCAGGTATGACGGCATGCCCCGATCAGAGCAGCCAGGCAGCCAGCTCAGACCTCTCATTTCAGGCCTGGTTGGGAGAGAGAAGGGTAAGGGTAGGGAAGACAGGGACTGAGGAGGGGAAGCAAAAAGGCTATGTTGGTCGTTTGGCAACTTTAGATTTCCATCATTTATCTTCATCATACAGAGATTGTCTGTCTCGGCTCCTTTTGAAATCCACATCCCTGTAATATCTTCTGTTTGTTAGCGATGGCATTGATTGAGACTGAGGACAGGCGGCTCCTTCCTATAATCCCAGCTTTATGGGAGGTAGAGATTGGGATGTAGTTCAAGGTCAGCCTAGGGATGAAAGCTCATGAGACACTCCCTGTCTCTCCCCACCCCCCGCCCCCCGCTACCCCCCAATCTCAACCAATAGCTAAACATGGTGGTGCTTACTTGTCATCTCAGCTACATGTCAGAGCTTGACAAGATTGTGATTTTTTAGACCAACCTAGGAAATGAAAGTTCACAAGACCATTCCAACAGAAAAGCTAGGCATGCTGGTACACACCTGTCATCACACCTGTGGCAGGAAGCATAAACAGGAGGATTGCTGTCCAGCCTGACTCAGGCAGAAGATTGGAACCTCTCTTAAAACTATTAGAACACAAAAGGGTTGGAGGTGTGGCTTAAGTAGTAGAGAGCCTGTCTAGCAAGCATCAAGCCATGAGTTCAAACCCCAGAGCAACAACAAAGTCAATTTAGAGAGCAAGGGCGGGAAGACTTCAGCCTGTGGGACAAATCTGGCTTACTAGCTGTTTTCTGTGGCTTGTAAGAATGCCTCAAAAAAATCTTTTTAATGGCTGCAGAAAATCAAGAGGAAAATGATATTTTGTGATGCGAAAATTGTATAAAATTCCAATTTTAGTTTGCATAGGTAATGGTCTCTCGGAGTGCAGCCATGTTTATTTATTACTGTATTGGTCATGGCCCCTTTCTCATTATGGAAGCACAAGGGGACGCTTGTCACTGAGCAGGTATGGCCTGCAGAGCTGAGACTGCTTACTTTCTGGTTTTTTACAGAAAAAGGTTGTCAAGCCCTGCTTTAGATTGGCACACAAAAATTAAGTATTCTGATTCTTCAGATGCAGTTTTAAAATGTTGAGAGAGGGGCTGGGAAGGTGGCTCAGTGGTAGAGTGCTTGCCTTGCATGCATGGGGCCCTGGGTTCGATTCCTCAGTACCACATAAGCAGAAAAAGCTGGAAGTGGTGCTGTAGCTCAAATGGTAGAGCATTAGCCATGACCTGAAGAGCTGAGGGACAGTGCCCAGGCCCAAAGTTCAGGTCCCATGACCAACTGAAAAAAAAAGTGTTGAGAGAGTCCAGGCTCATTCGTAACATTATGTCTATGAAGAAATACCCCAGAGCTGGGCAACAGTGGCTCACGCCTGTAATCCTAGCTACTCAGGGAGGTGAGACTGAGTGAGGATCATTGTTCAAAGCCAGCCCATGCAGGAAAGTCCATGAGACTCATCTCCAATTAACTACCAAAAAGCTGGAAGTGTCACTGTGGCTCAAAGTGTTTAGAGCACTGGTCTCAAGCACAAAAGCTCAGAGACAGTGCTTTGACCCTGAGTTCAAGACCTAGGACCTGCACAAAAAGAAAATACCCTAGGAGAAAAGTTTGAGTCTTTCAGGCCAAGTCAGAATTAACACAGCATATATGAGTACAGAAAGCTTTTCTCCTGTGCATTCAGAAAAAAGAATTGAGACCTTTCAAAGTCCCACTCTTTCTCTCTCTCTCTCTCTCTCTCTCTCTCTCTCTCTCTCTCGGCTTTCTTTTTAGATGGCTCATTTGTATATTGCCTCATTGTTTCCTTTTTAGTATGGCTTTTTTTTTTTCTGTCTTTTGAAGAGACTGTAAATAGAAACTTTAATGAAGAGATGGCAGTGAGTAATTGGAGAGCAGAATTTATCAGCTGCCAGGCAACTCTCATTCACTCCAGAAAATCTAATGGGTACGTTGATGGAAATGAGCATGTTTCTCTCTGGATAGCACCAACGTAGCCATCTGGGTGGCCTGAAAGCAAGGAACTCCTGCACATAGCACTCCATTAGTTACTCTTTCAAAGAGAGAAAGAAGAGTGATTTTTCTCACAGAGAAGGAGGGCTTGTTGGTATACTGAATGAATCACCATATCATTTTAAAATAATGGGTTTAATATCCTTCTGCTTGATAAGTTAATATCCTTGAGGGGTTAATATCCTTCAAGCTTTCTCTTTGATAAGAGCATTATAAATAAATGTGCCTAGGAAACTTTGCAAACAAATCCTCAGGTCTCTGAACAGTATTGAGAGATTTCGAAGGGCACGCGCAGGCTTTGAGCAATCTGCTTTGACAGGTGACTCATGTGCCTTTTTACCAACAGTTCTTCATCCTAAAAGTTTCAGGAGGCGGGAGCCGCCTTCTCTCTTGACTTCAATGTGTTTGGAGATTTACTTTTTTGGGGACATCCTGGGGGGATGCTCAGGGAAATGAAAGAAAGCTTGGTTCAGCCACCAGAGGGAGCAGCTGGTGTCCACGAAGTTCCGGGAAAATAGAATTAACAGGACATTTTGAAAAAGATAGATGCCGATGGTCAAATTCAAAAGTGATGTGTTTTATGATTCATATCATAGTTGGCAGGCATGTGGACTTTTAGATTTAATGACTGACCAAAGTTCCACTTTTGGTGGGGGGGTAGGCGAGGGTGTAATTTTTGGTTTGGGATCTTATTTTTCTTTGGAAGGAGGATATATTTATATAGAGAGGTATATGTTAATATACCTCTCTATGTAAATTACCTGTGGCATATTTTGTGGGAGCAGAAGGTGTGTGGATCAGAAGAAAGCTTTTAATGCTCACAGCAAATTTGTAGTCTTTGGTTTTCAGCATGTTGATCTGTCCCAGATTTAGGATTCATTTCTCTTCTTCCCTTTCCAAAGCTACTTTTTTGTACAACTGTTTTCATTTTTTAATATTTTGTTTTTACCTAGCTACTCCTCATCAAGTGTTTGGATTTGATTTAAAATGAAAAATAGTTTTTTAGGTCTTCTGGGATAGTGAACTTCATCCATCGTTCGGAAGAATCATTGATGCTTCTTCTGCTTCTTCTTCCTCCTCGTCCTCGTCCTCCTCCTGCTCCTCCCCCCCCCCCGTCCTCCTCCTCCTCCTCCCCCCCCCGTCCTCGTCCTCCTCCTCCTCCTCCTCCTCCTCCTCCTCCTCCTCCTCCTCCCCGTCCTCATCCTCATCCTCGTCCTCCTCCTCCTCCTCCCCCTCCCCGTCCTCCTCCTCCTCCTCCTCCTCTTCCTCCTCCTCCTCCTCCTCCTCCTCCTCCTCCTCCTCCTCCTCCTCCTCGTCCTCCTCTTCCTCGTCCTCCTCCTCCTTCCTTTTTTGTTGGTTGTGGGGCTTGAACTCTGGGCCTGGACACTGTCCTGAGCTCTTCAGCTCAAGGCACGCTGTCTACCACTTGAGCCACAGCACCACTTCCTCGTTGATTCTTCTCAGGAAAGGAAACAGATTGTAGGTAACTCAGAAGTCATGTCTGTGTTAGGGTTTCCTGGGTTAATAGGATTCTGCCTGCTTCTTCCTCCCCCCATTTCTGAAGCTGCATTCGGCCTTGCTTTCGATGTCTGGGAAAGTGTTCCCTGATTTCTCCTTCTTGCCTCTCAGCATCTGCCCACAGGTCATTCCCTGCTGACACAGACCAGCTCTCTCTCAGCTTATGTGTGGACACAGACCTGATCGTCTTCACTTACCTTTCTTCTGAAGCAGGGATTTGCTTTGCTTTGAGTTTTTTTTTGTAAGGATTTCCTTGAAGTCTCCATCAAACAGATCAGCAAACGAGTTAGAATTCTTTCTGCTGCCTACAGCAGGCCGGGTGCCCAGGAGCTCCGAGAACTGACAGGAATGTTAAGTGAGCTCACCTTCTTCTGCTTGGATGGTGATGGTTCACGATAGGGAGATGGTAGGGTAGGATGCAAGGGATAGATGCCCCATGCTTGCTCTTGACAGAGCACAAAAATTACATAGCCTCCTTCTTGTAAGTTCAAGAACAAAAAGGAACTTGAGAATAAAAGATGCCCAAGACCTTCTTTTGGCCCTTTGCTGCCTTCCCAAGTTTGGGGATCATGCTAGTGGGCGTGGCTAGCTGTTCTATTAGGCATAGCAGTAGTGGAGATAATGGACCAGTGTACTTTTATGGTGATATAAAGTTGAAAAAAAAATTTTTCTGTCTCTTAACCCACCCACCCATTCCATCTCTTGTACCAGGGTTTGGACTCAAGGCCTTGCCCTTGCTTGCGTGGCTGGTGCTGTACCACTTGAGACATGCTTCCAACTCTAATTTTTGCTGGTTATTTTGGAGATGGAGTCTTGTGGGCTTTTCTGTCCTGGCTGATATTGAACCATGATCCCTTGGATCTCAGCTTGATGAATAGCTAGGATTATATACATAAACCTCCAATGCTTAACTTTTTTTTTTTTTTTTTGAAACAAGGTTTCACTAGGTCTAGATTGGATTCAAACTTGTAATTCTTGTGCCTCAGCCTCTTCTGTCCCTCTTCTGGTAGTGCAGGTGTGCACCACCATTAAACATGCAGCTTAAGTTTTTCTTATATCCAGTATATAAAATTGAGCTTTTCAGTCAAAGATTGCTTTTATAGCTAATTTATATGAATCTAACCACAAAACAAAAATTTTGCATGCATGCATGCATGTATGTATGTATGGAAGGCCCAGTGCCATGATCTATCCAAGTCTTACTGTGACCTGGCCGAGGAGGGTATCGAGTAAGCCCAAGTGAGGGATATATTTTCAGTCTCTAGAGGTCCAGATGATCGTGAGCAGTTATGGAGATGTTTGGTCTTTGTCTCTCATCTAACATCACCTGCTTAAGGGTATACCACTCAGGGAACCCTTTGTGCCCATTTTCCTCAGGTTGGCAGTGTGCGGTTGGGCAGGAGGTGTTAAATGAGAAGTTGTAAGCTCCATCTCAGGGTCATTCTTTTTTCTTTTCCCAGCTACCAATGATCCAGGGAGTCCATGGTTACATGAAAACCATTGTGTCAGAAGACTAGCTCCCCACTAGTGCATGCTGGAATAGCACCTGCTACAAGGAGATGAATGTTTTACCGATACCCTGTTATTTTAAAAAAGCTTAAACTTTAACTTACTGCCTAAAAAACAAAACAAAACAAAAATCCTTACTTTTCTGAGTGTGGTGGCTCATACATATAATACCAGTACTTGGCGAGGCAGAGGCAGGAGAATTGTGAGTGTAAGGCCAGCCTCGGCTTTAGACCTTGTCTAACAAAAAATAATAAAAATGCTGAATTGATATCTTATTAGTTATCCCTTGGGGAATGGATTTTAGAGATGTTATCGAGTATTATGAATGCCCAAAGCAATCTTGACTGGATTTTTTTCATCCCTTCCAATTTAGTCACCTTGAATACATAAATATTTGTTTATTCTTCCTCATACTTGGCCTTGATTTTACTATTGATGAATGTATTTGTCCTTTGGTCCAAACATTTCCAAAGCCATTGCCCATTTCTTCTGGTAAATTGCTTCAGGAGGAAAAAAAAAAATCTTGATTCAGAGTTCTGTTTGGATTTTAGACATTCATTTTGGGCAAAAGAATTTAAAAAAAAAAAGAGGTTTGTCTCACATTTAAGGGGTTTGTTGCCAGGAGCCAAGATTCTTCTCTGGGAATTTTTCTTGCAAGTTATGTTGCCCTGAGCCAGTGTTCTGTAGCTCTTCCAAATCTGAGGGTGACTTGAATTACAGAAGCAATGTGGAGTTCATCCTTCAGTTTGGGGCCCGGAAAAATTAATGGTGAGAAACTGACAATGATGAGTTCCACTGTCTCTGGATGCATTCCACTGAGATTTCCAATTACCCTCTAGCGCTGTCTGAAAGGTTAATTTCAAAACTCGCACCATATCTAATTGTATTAGGAGCTCATGACTTGCGAAGGACAAATCTGTAGAAATGATTACCCTTGGAGGAGGAGGAGCACACGTAAGCAGTTTATCTGTGTTTAAAGTGCAGCTCTCAGGCTGCTCCTGTGTTGTGACTTTAGGCATAGTGTGTGTTGGCGTTTGCTCAGAGGATCTTCCTCTCTGCACGTGCACTCCAGGTGGACTTAAGAACCAGCTTCTATATTGAAACAACTTAAAGATGTAATATTCTTTCTTCTTGTCCCCTGACACCCCTTCCCCTTTGCCACCATGGTGTCTTTTTCCGGATCTCTTGACCCATCATCTCCCCGCGTGCCTCTTTTCCTGTGGTTGGTTGCTTATCCATGCATCCTCACCTGTCTGCCCTGAGTTGCAGAGCTCATCTGCTTCCTTTGCCTGCCCTGTAGGAGTACCAGGCTCAGGTGGAAGAGATGAGGCTGATGATGAACCAGTTGGAAGAGGACCTGGTCTCCGCCAGAAGACGGAGTGATCTCTATGAATCTGAGCTCAGAGAATCTCGGCTCGCTGCTGAAGAATTCAAGCGGAAGGCAACAGAATGTCAGCATAAACTGTTAAAGGTAGAGCACAAGTACGGATCATCTTCCCAAGATGCCAGGGCCCCACTAGCTTAACAAATAAATGTAGGTTTTAGGGATGTCATAGGAAGCTCCTGGTCTTTGTGTCCGGCAAGAAGATAACATTCACTGCTATTGTTACTGTTTCAGTCACACAGAGAAAGTACAAATATCTGTAAGACTTCTGGGGTGTTGACATTTTCTAAATATTATATCTTTTGTCATTTACAGGCAAAGGATCAAGGGAAGCCTGAAGTAGGAGAATATTCCAAACTGGAGAAGGTATGTTTCCCATTGATTGTTTTTGGTTTTTGAGATAGAAGGGGGAGGTGTGGTTCTGGGGTTTGAACTCAGGGCTTTGCACTTGTAGGCAGGCATTCTCCCATTTGAGCTACACCCCCGGCCTTTTGTTCTAGTTATTTTTTTTCTGGTAAGTTCTTACTTTTGCTCAAGGTTAGTGGCAGATCAGTCATCCTACCTCTGCCTCCCTTGACTATTTCACTAGCTTGTTAAGAAATAGGTTCTTGATGTCATTTTTTTTTCTCAGCTCTAGCTGGGCTTCAACCATAATCCTCTTTATTTCTTCTCCCAAGTAGCTGAGATTATATGAATGAGCTACTGCATCTGATCCTAGTATAAGCTTTTTTTGGGTAATACTGTGATTTGAACTCAGGACCTCACTCTTGGGAGGCATGTGTTCTACCTCTTCTTGGTTAATATTTGAGATAAAGTCTCACTCTGTGCCCACGCTGGCTTGAGCATAAAATTTCCTATTTTCTGTCCTATATCTCCTATTTCTCATAGCTGGGATGACAGGCGTGCACCACTGTGCCACGCCATTGTGCTTCTGCTGTATACGGAATGGCAGGCAAGCACCACTACCCGGAGCTATTGGTTGAGATGGAGTCTCATGAACCTTTTAAGCCCTGGTTGGCCTTCAGCTGTGATCTGCTGATCTCTGTCTCCCAAGTAGCTAGGATTATAGGCTTGAGCTACTGCACCCATCTGCATATTAAAGTATTACTATCAGTGGGAGTCTAAGAGGTCTTTCACAATGGCTTGAGAACTCTTTTAGGTTTATTATATTATTTATTAATATTATTATTATTATTATTTGCTGCTGTGGACTGAATCCAGCTCAAACACCAGCGCCTTTCCAGGTTTATTTTTTCCTTAATTTTTTTTTTTCTTTTTGCAGAACTGAGGTTTGAACTTAGGGTCTTGGGCTGGCACTCTACCACTGAACCACACCTCTAGCCATGCTTTTTTGCTAATTATTTTGTGAGATGGAATCTAGTGAACTTTTCTGCCCCAAATGGCCTCAAATCTTGATCCTTCAGGTCTCAGCCTTCTGTGAAGCTAGGCTTACAGGCATGAGCCAGAGACACCTGACTTTTAGTTTTACTGTGATCGTCCACCTTCCCATGTGATAGTTCTAAAAGAGAGCTAAGATACTTCTTTCTCGGTTGCATCCCCTCAGAGCATGTATATCCAGTGGTTATATCTCCCCGTTGTAGTATGTAGCTCCGAATTAAAACATGGAAATTCTAAAATCAGTTTGCTGGGTACAAGAAAGTTTCATTTGAACATGTCCATTTCTGTATACAGTGCTTCCTAAGCAGTGTCTCCATCCTTCTGCTTCTTCCCTTCTCTTTCTCATTTCCTTCTTCCCCCTCTCCCATCCCAAACCTGTCTCATCAAATTCCCTTATTCCATTTTTCACACGTGCCCGTAAACTGTTTTGACCGTGTTCACTTTGCTTCTCCCTGAAATTTTTGACTGTGTTATCAGGGCACTTGACATTTCTGTGTTGCTGGTTCTAGGAGAAAAAAAAAAATAGACTGACATGGAGCTTTGCCCTGAGATGTCAGAGCTTCTGGCAGGCCAGTTGGGTTCTTCCTTGCCATTAGTTGTTTAGAAAACAAACCCCAAGGACCCCCATGGGAACTTGAAAGAAATAGGACTGCAGTAAATGCAGCGAGATGTGAGGTGTGATGCTGATTGGCCTTTTGCCTTATTTCCTGGTGTGTCAATGATAGGTGAATGCTGAGCAGCAGCTCAAAATCCAGGAGCTCCAGGAGAAGCTGGAGAAGGTAAGCCTGAGGTGATTTTGGGGGGACCTACCCCCCCCCCCCCCACACCTATTTCCACATCCCTTTCTTTGCTTCTTTCCTGGAACATCGAAGATGAGAGAAACAGAATTAGTCACCTCGGTGCTGAGGAAAATGGAGGGGGGGAGGGAGTGATTACCTGAAAATATCAGGGTTCTGAATGTGTGTGTGTGTGTGTGTGTGTGTGTGTGTGTGTGTGTATTTTTTTTTGAGACATGTCCACAGTATTTCCTTTTTAAAACCCAAGCTATGTGAGACTCCCACGTAAAAATTTCTAATATGCTATGAGAGAGCCCAAGAGGTGGTTCCTTGTATTTCAGGGGACCTGGTGTCCCCGCATGGAGTCCTGGAGAATAGTTGGGAGACCCTCAGAGTCACAATGTGGCAGAAGACGGGCTGGGTTTGATATCCAATTTCTTGCAAATGTTTTACTAATGGCCCTGCTTCTATTTTTATTTTTATTTATTTATTTATTTATTTATTTTTTTGGGTCCCGTTGTGGGGCCTGAACTCTGGGCTTAGGCACTGTCCCTCAGCTCTTCAGCTCAAGGCTAGCGCTCTACCACTTGAGCCACAGCGCCACTTCCGGCTTTTTGCTTATGTGGTGCTGAGAATCGAACCCAGGGCCTCAGGCATGCAAGGCAAGCGCTTTACCACTGAGCCAACTTCCCAGCCCCATCTATTTTTATTTTTAATACTGTTTCCTGACTTTTCTTCCCCAGCCTTATTAAGATACAGTTGGCAAATAACAAGAACTGAAAGTTTTTGTTTTTGTTTTTTTTTACAGTTTCTCCTTTTTAAGATTTTATTCTTTTTTTTTTTTTTTTGCCAGTCCTGGGGCTTGAACTCAGGGCCTGGACACTGTCGCTTGACCTTCTTTTGCGCAAGGCTAGCACTCTATCATTTGAGCCACAGCGCCACTTCCGGCTTTTTCTGTGTATGTGGTACTAAGGAACCGAACCCAGGGCTTCATGCATTCATGCTAGGCAAGCATTCTACCACTAAGTCACCTTCTCAGACCCTTTTTAAGATTTTTTTTTTTTTTTTTTGGGTCCGATCGTGGGGCCTGAACTCTGGGCTTGGGCACTGTCCCTCAGCTCTTCAGCTCAAGGCTAGCGCTCTACCACTTGAGTCACAGCGCCACTTCCGGGTTTTTTCTTTTTGCTTATGTGGTGCTGAGGAATTGAACCCAGGGCCTCAGGCATGCAAGGCAAGCGCTCTACCACTGAGCCACCTTCCCAGCCCCCTTTTTAAGATTTTAATGAAAGCAAATACATGTGAGGCTGGTGGCCTCATATAGTCTGATCTTTCAGTGCTATTAGCTGGTAGTGTACTTAAGACCCAAATAAAAATGAGTAACTCTGAAGTCCAGCAGGTTAGCTGGGTTGTTTTTTTCTGTAATGATGGATTTGTGAATGATCACAAACTATGACTATAACGCTCCCATGCGAAGTTTTTACTTAAAAATAATTATAACTGTAGGTTTCTTGTTTTGTTTTTTATTCTGGTAAAAGTTGTGAATATTCTCCATAGGAAACTTAGCAAATGAGATCATTCAAATAACAAAGTAAGTGGTCAGAGGTAACAACGTTAATTTGTCATTGGACCAATCCATCTACAATTTTTTGGTCTGATTAACTATATTCTATATTGTATGGTGGTGGAGATGCCACTGATTTTTTTTTTTGTAGTCCAACAAAGAGAAATACATTAAACAATGACAGGATGCATGCCAGATTCAGTGGTGTTAAAAAAGTGCCCCTTCGTATAGGTGAAATTCACCACAAAAAAGAAGGCTTATGTGTGGGTTTTTTTTCCTGCTATGTATTTTGAAAAATGGATGCAGTCTACACCAAGGGTGACCTACTTTGTCCATCCACACTGTTGTTACCATCTTGTCCTTCTTGTCCCCCCGTAAGGCTGTAAAAGCTAGCACCGAGGCCACTGAGCTGCTGCAGAATATCCGCCAGGCCAAGGAACGGGCTGAGAGGGAGCTGGAGAAGCTGCAGAACCGAGAAGATTCTTCAGAAGGCATAAAAAAGAAGCTTGTAGAAGCGGAGGTGAGCACGGGGCCTCCAGCCTGCCATGGACTCACCCCAAGTGACCTTGTGATTGACCTTGGTTGTGCCAAGGGAAAGGAACGGAAAACCATCACTTAAAGAAGTTTGACCAAACTTCTTCCCTTCTGAAGATCCCTTTGAAACTTGACAGGCTTGGAAACTTTTCCACCCACCCCCAGAGGGAAGAAAGATCTGTCTCAGCCGCTCCAAGCCCACTGACGTCTCAGCAGAAGCTTTGCTGTCTGTTTCCCTCTGGCCTCCTCACTAATCTGGGAGAATTTATATTTTTAGGCTCACTATAACTGCATCTCCGAGTCTCTCTTCTTCTCCTCCTCTCTGTTTTGCCTTGCCGTCCCTCCTACCATGTGAATAATGTTTAATTTTTCAAGGCAGTACCTTTTACCCACGTGACAGTGACTCTCAGATCCATATTTTGGGGCCTCTTCTCTCCCTCAGATTCTTTGTTGTTGTTGTTGTTGAAACCTTTTATACAGTTACACTGAACATAGCACGAGTGCTTTTTTATTGTACAACTTAAGCTGAGTAGATGAATATAGAGTAAAAAAAAAAAAAAAGTGACACTTCTTTAGGGGTTTCTGCCAATCCCTGGCCTGGGATGTTTGTTCTATAGAGCAGATGTGACATCATCGTTTCCACCATTCTAGTGCTGAGTCTTTCATTTTTTTCCAACAAGTCTGGGTGTGACTCTACCCACACATGGCTCTTTAAAGCGGTCCTTACCCCCTACTCCTGGCCCTGTTTCCCCTGCTCCTCTACAATCCTGGGTGCTTCAGATTTCAGGTGACCTTGGTGTCTTCTCCCTCTTCTGGTGCCTCACATTGGTCAGGGCCACCAGCTTTCTTCTGCTCACCCTGGGCTTGAGACCTTGGCGCCGTCCCCTTGATCTTGGGCCCTGCCACTCAGTGAGTCACTCAGTCCTATAAATACATGCTGTTTCTCCCCCTCATTCCCTTACCCCCGCCCTCCTTACTGCTTCTGTAGCCTTCTTCAGAATGCAGGCCCTTTTCAGTCCAGCAAATGTAGCAGTTTCTTGGTCTTTGCTTCCTCTCAGCTAACTCTCACAGTGTGAGACTCCTGGATCCCTCCAGGCATCCCTGCCCCTTCCCAAAGCCTTCAGGCGGTTCTGTATATCTTAAGGGCACCTTTGAGCCTGGCACATGAAACTCTAACCGTCTCACCCATAAGTTCTGTCATTGCTGCCTTTTACCTGTTCCTCCCTAACCCATCCAGTGGCAAATCTAGGCTTTACCTGGGGCTTGTGCTGGCTCTTGATCACACCCCTGTTTCTGCAAATGGGCTTTGTTTTGTGTGGGACACCATTCTTCTCCTTCCTTTCCAACCCTCCCCACTTCAAACTCTCCCAAACCCTTCCTCTTCAATGCTCCCACTTCAGTGTCACTCTGCTATTGGTTGAAAGTCCTCCTTTCTGCCTCCCAGAGCATCCCACACCTGTTTTCTTCGTGTCCACACCCCTACAGCCCTTTAACGTATGTTGTCTTTCTTTGTATTTGTCTTATCTTTTGCAAGGGTTGGGGAATGACGTCATCTTCCTCTCTATTTCCCATGATGCCTAGTATGGTACTTTGCAGATAGTAGGTGCTTGGTAAATATTTGAATGAATGAATGCACTCTCGGAATCGACGCAGCTGAGCCCTTGAATTATAGAGTCTTCTTTTCTTCACTGTTGCTTCAGGTGGCCGAGAACTTTTCTTCCCGATTTGAGCATATGCCTCTGGAGGGCTCTTTCCCTCCCAAGCAGGTGGTATTGCGCCATTAAAACTCTCTGATTGATTCACGACCTACAGGAACGCCGCCATTCTCTGGAGAACAAGGTAAAGAGACTAGAGACCATGGAGCGTAGAGAAAACAGACTGAAGGATGACATCCAGACAAAATCCCAACAGATCCAGCAGATGGCTGATAAAATTCTGGTGAGCAGGAACAGAAGTTGCAAAGTCCAAAGATAAACAGGTTAGAGATTGCCAAGGGAATGGGGTGAGATAGAAGTAAACACTCCTGGTGGAGTTATTGCAGAGTTGGTGAGTTTAAGAGAGCTGGTTTCAGTTGAGCGCCATGTTGTAGAATAGTATGAATGACCAAATACTGGCTGTTTCAGCACTGGTAACAGATCTGATCATATAGATATATATAATTTTTTTTTGCTCTCTTTGCTTACTGCCTGGCATTTCTTTCTTTTTTCTTTTTGAGTAGAACATGCATCTTTTCATTTTCTATACATTTTTTAGGAGCATATACATTTTTCTCTCAGCAGAGCTCTGTACGGCTGAGTAACTTCATGTCACCAATTTACAACCCCATAAAGGTTTAGAATTTTTAGACCCAAACCCCAGATTCCTGCTTTTAGAGAAGAAAGGAATTAGTCAGACAGAATTGTTTTTCTCAGAATAGTATTTGTCATAGATCTGTGTTCACCCACTCACTCTCTGCTACAGTTGGTTTTATTGTTATAATTAAAACAGAAAAGTTTTTCTTAGATGTGGCGGGTATTTTTTTTTTTTTTTAAGGTTTGTAGTCATCTAGACCTTCTTAGGCTCTGATGACCAAAGTAATCAAGGAAACACTGCTTGCAAGTTTTGTGCCTACTAGGAAGGAAGGTGTTAACTTTGAAAGGGTCTCCTTGGATCTCTGCCCCAAAGTCAGAATTTTGTTGTCATGGTTGAGAAACTCAGTGATGATTGAAGTCCATGCATGACCTCCTTTTTGTCCCATCCCTGGGAGAGTTTTGAGTTGTTCCTCCCCATTATATAAGAAGGTAAGGAAATGAACAGGCTGCTCCATCTCTTTCTCCACGGCACTTCTTAGTAGCAGGGTTCCAGCAAGAACCTCAAGAATGACTCAAGAATGGCCAACTTACGCTTACTCAGTTTAAACCAGCCCATCTCCACCTGAATTGTTCAACCCTTGATGCATTTCTCTGTGTAGACTAGTAAGAATATGGATTGTCTCGAACAAATGGGTAAAAGAGGAATTGGTTATGTTGTACGTTGGTACCTGGTCTTTATATATGTATATGTGTCTGCACACAAAGCCAAGTGCATGACTGTTAGTCTACCCTCTCCGTTCTCTTGTTCTATCATCAAAGTTTCTCTTGGCTGTTGTCAAGGATGGGAGTTTTTATCATGAGTAAAATTAGGTCCCACTACTGCTGTCTATCCCTTGCTTGATACAAACGAAGTGGTTAACTCTCTTGTGGTTGCAAAGTATTCCTCTGTTTTAACGGTGATGTGTTCATTCATTCATTCAACAAATATTTAATGAGCTTCTACTATGTGCCAGGCACTGTTCCAGGAGCTGGGAGTGTAGCAGCAAACAGCGGTATTTGCATAACACAACTGCAGGGTTGATCCAACACAATATAGAAAAAGAGATGTTTTTAAAAAATGACAACAACAACAAAAAATGCCAAACCACCAAGCAGTCAGACTTTAGACTATCTGCTTTTCCAAATGTTTGTTTGTAATTAAAATGTGGGAATCCAGACTTCCACATTCTTGGATTTTTCTGTGTTCTAAAACTCCCATTCATAGATAGACCAGAAATTTTGGTTTCAGAAATTGTCCATCTCAGGCTTCTCAGCTATTTGGACCTATTTTTAGATTCTGATTTCCATTTTGGTGCCATCTTATGAAGACTGAAACTAAGGAAAGATGATATCAAGTGATTCTTTTTTAATCCAAAAGAAAATTAAGTGCTTTCTTTGCCTGAATGTATCTTGCCAACTGCCCAAGTGCCTTTGTGGTTGTGACTTTGTCTAACTGAAGGTGCCTTTTGCTCAAGAACCCTTTGCTTAGGATGCAGAGTGGTCCTTAGTACTGTTATATAATGATGATTCTGGGGGAACAGATCCCCCAAATGATACTTCCCTGAAAATATTTGCTATTCTCCTAAGAACTTTCCAAACAGATAATTGGAGGTTCTTATTATACCCAAGTCTTTGGCGTTAATCAAAGCAGGCAGTCCTTTAGTGAGCATACATAAAGCTCTGAAAAAGTGTTTTTATTAATTAGAATCCTGTTTACATTCAACTTTCCCATATCACATCTGTTTGATTGATGTTGATTTGTGCTTCTGGTTTTAAGACCAAACATAGATTGCAGTAGATTTTGTGCACCTGGTCTTAACGCTGAACATTTTAGTCCCGTCTCGTCCCGTTTCCGCCCTCTCCCCACCCCAAGTAAAGCCTGTGTCTACAGACTAGAATTTCAAAAGCTTAATCACTAACATTTCACGTACACGTGATTCTTAACGTCCTTTTTTTAAAGTATTTTTTTTTGCCTCCATTCCATGGACATATCCTGTATAATTTCCCCATTCTTCAGAATTCCCATAATTGCTTCCACTTCAAAGAAAAATTTCATAATAGTGCAAAGAGATGAAAACTTGGAGTAATGACTTTTGATATCAGTAATTAACTAATGGGTCCAGATTCATAAGAATTAATTTAGACGCAGCGATCTGTGTGTTCAGAGCATGCTCTGGTGAATGGAATGCGTCTTTTAAAAGTTCAGTGTATAATATGCTGACAAATGAATTGGTATAATTTCCAAATGAATTCCAATTTTGTTGAAAAAGCAGAAAACTTAACAATGGAAGAACTAAAGAGAACCTTAAATTTGAGCTACTAATATTGCTCCAGATTCTCTTTCCATCTCTAATATGTATGCATGGATTTCCCATTCTTATGACGATGATTTTGTGTTCCTGTTGGCTTGCATTAGCATTAGTTCATACAAATGTTGTATCACACATGTCTTTTGCAACATTCACATTCCACACATAGCAATCAGTGAAAATTTTGAACCTCAAAGTGCTTGAATCTTAATGTTAGTATTTCCTTTTAGATAGGGTTCTTGAGCAACAGTTTTGTGAATGAGGAAAATGCAAGATACTGTTTATTATCATAATTACTTTTCTCATTTAAGGCTGTCATAACAGTAAAACAGGCCTGAGACTCAAGACAGTGGTCAGGGGCTTTGTGCTTGTACTAAACTCTGAAGTGTTACCTTCTTTCCTTTGTTTCTCTGTGCCAAGTTGAGCAGCTACCTTCTGTCTGACCTCTGATATACTTCTGATCCTAGCCTCACAGCCTTCCACTGTGTGTGTGTATGTGTGTGTGTGTGTGTGTGTGTATGTGTATGTGTATGGTATGTGAGAGAGAGAAACCTCAGGGCCAAGCTTGGTGGGGGTTTCCTTCCCATCAGTCTTAGCTAGTAACGGAGGAGCAGCTGTTTGTTACCTGTGGTGCCTGTTTCCTTTGAGTAGCTAACAAACATTCTGGGGCTCTTCTCTTGGCACGCTTGACTGTCTATTCTTTTGTGTCCAGGAACTGGAGGAGAAACATCGAGAGGCTCAAGTCTCCGCCCAGCACCTAGAAGTACACCTGAAACAAAAAGAACAGCACTACGAGGAGAAAATCAAGGTAATGGCACTTCTGATCTTCCCTGGCATACCTCCTGTAGTATGTGTGTGGGGTTCTTCTCTTCCCAGGCATGTCTGGCTGCTTCTTGCCATACCAAAGGGCTGTTTGGTATAAATGCTGTCTTTATTTCCTGACAAGAGGCTTTGAAGTTTAAAGTTAAAAAAAAATGTTATTAAGTATTTCAATTATATCTTTTTTTCCTTTTTAGTATTTCACTGTCAGTCATGAAAATTTAGATGTAGCTATGTTTTTACACATGCTTTACTTTCTTTTTCTTCCTGTGTCTCAGACCTCAGGATCTTTTCATTTGTTTTAAAATACATCATTAGAGTTGAGTGTGATGGTTGTGCTTGTAATCCCAGTACTTGAGAGGCTAAGATAGGAGAATCTTGAGTTCAAGGCCCAGCTTTGGCTATGTAGCAGGTTTTAGACCAAGCTGGGTGACATAGGGAGAGGTTATTTTAAAAAAACGAAATAAAAAAATCCCAAGACTATCCCTGAAAACTTTTTTTCACTGAAGATCTGGTAGCAAGCTTTCTTGCTGTTATTCTGAAAATGCGGCTCTTGCACTCCCATTCTTGAAGCGTTTGACAGGGAATAGCATCTCCGTTGGCTGTTATCTTCCTACATCCCTCCCTGATTGAGGTTGTGAAGTCAACTGTTAGTAGTAGTCTTACCAGCTTGCTTTGAAACTAATCTTTTTCTTTAAAGTTTTACTTTGACTTTAATTCTTTTGAAGTTTTGCTGAGGTATCTATATTTTATTTTATATTCTTGGAGCCATATAGAGATTTCAAAGAGGTTGGCATCATTTTTTTTTTTTTTTTTACTGTAGGAAATTAATGGTCATTCTGTCTCAAGTGGTCTCCTCCTTTTTTGTCTTTCCATTTGAGAACTCGATTAAACATCTGTGAGATGACCTCTAATTTACTTGTTCTTTTTTATATTTCCCATTTTTCTGTTTCTTTGTGCTCCATTCTGAGTAATTTCTGCTGCCTTGTTTTCCTGTTTGCTAACTCTCCTAGCTCTGTCTAATCTGCTGTTTTACTTGCCTACTGAGTTTTTAATTTCAGTAATTATATATATACATATATATGTATATTAATGGCAGGCATGCTGTTTGGTTCATTCACAAATACATTTGCTTAATTAACTCAATTTTTAAATTTTGTGCATTTATTTTCAGGTCAGTCTTTCATTTCCTAAAAAGCAGTGCTAAGCACAGTTGTTTGATTATTGGTATTTTTGATGAGTATTTTGTTATTTTTCTTGGTTTTCTTTTTTCCGCAGGGCTTGTTTCCTTTTGTGTGCCTGGATGTGTGTGTGTGTGTGTGTGTGTGTGTGTGTGTGTGTATGTTTGTGTGCCTGTATATTTTCGGCTAAACTGGGAAACCATATGTTTTTATATATATAATATATATATATATATATAGAGAGAGAGAGAGAGAGAGAGAGATGGATGGCGGGGAGAATTTTTTTTTTGGTGGGGCTTAAACTCTGGGCCTGGGAGCTGTTCCTCAGCTCTTCAGCTCAAGGTGAGTGCTCTACCACTGGAGCCATGGTGCCACTTACTGTTTTCTGAGTGGTTTATTGGAGATAAGAATCTCATAGCCTTCCCTGCCCAGGCTGGCTTTGAACCACTATCCTCAGATCTCAGCCTCCTGCGTGGCTAGGATTACAGGCATGAGCCACCACGCCTGGCTTGAAAACTTTGTTTTGTAATGTGCTTGGGTTTGAATTTAGTGCCTTACACTTACTAGGCAGGCAGGTGCTCTATAGTTGAGCCATGTCCCAGGCCTTCTTTGGAAAATGATAATGGGAAGTTTTTTGGGACATTGGATGAAAATGTGTACCTGTCTTGGTGTGTGTGTGTGGGTGTAATCCTGAGTTTCTTTTTCTATCTTGATTTAGCAAATGCCTCTTGTTAAAAACAGCTTTGGCCAGGTGTCAGTGGTTTACACCTTTAATCCTCGTTATCCAGGAAGCTGAGATCCAGAGGATCTCAGTTTAGAGCCAGCCCAGACATTAAAGTCAGCTTGACTCCAAGATATTTCCAAAATAACTACTAAAAAGCTGGGCTGGTTTTGAATCTTTAACTACTTTATTTTTTGCATAGGGGATCAGGAAAAAAATGTTTTTTGTCCTTTTTTCATTTCTCCCTACTTTTTTTTTTCCTGTCCTGAGCATTGAACTCAGGGCCTGAGTACCATCCCTGACTTTCTTTTGCTTAAGGCTGGTACTCTATCACTTGAACCACAGGTCCACTTCTGGCTTTCTTTGGTAGTTTACTGGAGATAAGAGTCTTATAGACTTTTCTGCCCAGGCTGGCTTTGAACAACGATCCTCAGATCTCAGTTTTCTAAGTAGTTAGTAGCAATACCTACTGGCATCTGGCCATTTTTCCTTACTTGTAACTCTGTTTACTAAAACTTAAAAAAAAAGCAAGGCTGGAGATGTGGCTCAAGTGGTAGAGTGCCATCTGGACAAATGTGAAGCCCAAAGTTGAAACCCTGGTACTAGAAAAAGAGTAAACAAATACAAAACAAACAAACAAAAAACCCAAACAGAAAACTGGCTTTGTATTATTCTTTCTTATCTTTTCCTGCTTCTTAACTCTCTTGCTCACTTTTAAGTGCTTGTGAAGAAATGTTTCTGTATTTTCTCAAGAATATTTTAAATTGTTTTCAGTAGGAGGGCTGGCCTGACTCATCTAGCCCACTGTTTTCTCTGAAATGGATGTCTGCTGATCACTTTCCTTTTAAGAAAATCACATCACGTTTTCATAATGACTCTCTCCAAGCTTTCAGCTCGTTCCTACGTTCTTGAGAAGCAGGCATGGCCATTACATCTAAAATACGATCTCCTCCCCTTTCACACCAGATATTGTCAGGTTTTTTGGGTAATCTTGTCATAGTTTTGGTTGATACCTTGGCCATGCTCACCCTGTCCCCCCTTTCCTCCCCCCCAATCTTCCCTCCTGTTTTCTTTGACCCTTGGTGTGAGTTTTCAGTTAATTTTCATTAAGATGAATATAGGAGAATAACTCAGAAGTGATCTCAGAATGTTCTTATTATAGGACAACCCCTCCCCCTTCCAGCCTTAATGGCTTTTCAACTTTGTATACCAATTTTTAGTTTCAAAGAATTCTTATTGGTTTCCTGACTCTTTAGAACAAACTGATTTTCAGAAAACGATGAGACTGTATACAGTAGTCCACTAGCACCTTTGCATGATGACAGTAATCTTTTGAAAAATCCACTGTGTGATTTGAGTGATTATACCCACGTTCCCATCAAAAACCATGTTCCACTTGGTGCTGGTGGCTCATGTCTACAATCCTAACTACTTAGGTGTCTGAGATCTGAGGATCAGGGTCCATATCCAGGCTGGGCAAACAGCTCCAAGAGATCCAAGAGACTATTCTTGCCAATTAACTGTAAAGAGCCAGAACTGGAAGCATGGTTTAAGTGGTAGAGGACCAGCTGTGTGTTGCTACCTGTAGCCTGGAACTGAAGAAATTAGAACAGAGAAGAGAGTAAAAAAGCAGGATCCAGAGGGTCAAAGCTTACCGACTCTTGAATACTTCCTATAAGCAAGCCTGTTTACTTAGTTTAGTACAGGGAAGGTTACCATAAGTATATGCAGAAAACAAGATATCAGTTTATTCTGTCATTACAATCATTGACAAGAAACAGAGTTTGTGTAAATATTGAATAACCGGCTCCCTTATTGTGTTGGGGGTGAAGACTGCAACTTAGACACAACTTAGACATCTATCCTACTTTATCTGTTTTGACCTTTCTAGGGTTCCGTTCTCAGCTTTCTGAGTACTGATGAGGTTGCCTTCCAACCTCTTAACCCTTGCCTAGTCTTTTTTTTTTTTTGTCTGTCGTGGGGCTTGAACTCTGGACCTAGGCGCTGTCCCTCAGCTCTTCAGCTCATGGCTAGTACTCTACTGCTTGAGCCACAGCTCCACTTCCAGTTTTCTATTGGTTTAGTGGAGATAAGAGGCTCATGCACTTTCCTGCCCAGGCTGGCTTTGTACCTTAATCCTCAGATCTCAGCCTCCTGAGTAGCTAGGATTACAGGTGTGAGTCTTCAGTGCCTGGCGTCTCTTTCCTTACAGTTCAGCTTCAGAGCTAAAAAGCTGAATGGAGGTCCTAAAACGAAGCCCCAGGATTGGCGTGTGTGTGTGTGTGTGTGTGTGTGTGTGTGTGTGTGTGTGTGTGTGCGTGTGTGCGTGTGTGCGCGCACACACACACACACACACACACAGAGCCATATTCTGTCTTAAGTCAATTTAGGTGTCTTCAATGGGATCCTTAATTTCTAAATACTTCTTCTCTTTTCTTCCCCTCCCCCACCCAAACATATTCTTGTTCATCCTTCTGCCACCTGTCAAAAGCTGAGCGATGCTTCTTCTGGTCCAGTTACCTCTTATTTGTATCCATCACTGCCAAAGCCAAGGTCTTATTTTGAACAATGGTGTCCTGAAAATGTCTTTCAGGACGTTAGCGCCCCACGAAAAAGGAGCACATCCGCTCTCACTATTCTGTAGTCTCTGCTGCCTTTTAGACGGAAAGAACTTTGTTTTTATAGATCTCAGGGAATGTTAGGGAAAGGTCTTTTTTTGCTTCTATCTTCCCTGCTGGAAATCTGTATTAAACCACTTCTTTTTAACCTTGTCTGCTTTGTGTTGCCTGTTCCCTCTTTTCTAAGGCCATTTGAGTAATAATTAGGCTCATACCCCAGATTCCACCCTGTTCTTGCTTATAATTTTAGCATCACTCTCAGACATCTAGGAGAGGGGGCCACTTTCCCCGTTGAGCGGCTCCCATCCTCTTATGACCCTGCTCTCCACCTTCTGCTCTTCTCCACCGACTCCCATTTTATTTTTTTTTCATCAGTCAGTTCTAGTTGAAAGCCCTCTTTGAAGTTTGTTCTTTCCTTTATCATGTGGACCCTTTCCCTGCTGACCAGTTCCTTTTAGAGATGATGTCCCCAGGGAGCTATGCCAACCTCTCCACAATAGGCAGATTTCAGTGCCATCTGTGACCCCAGTTCTTGCAACTTCATCCCCAACATCCTCTTGTCCTGCTTGATGTAGTTGGTGTCATTGGCAAAGGCAGAGGGATTCTTTGTGATGGAGAGGCATAGGGTCTTGGTCAAAGGCTTGGGTGAGTTTATCATGTCTTCTTTCTTCTTTTCTGTCTCAATTGGTGTTTTGGCAAGTGGTTAGGTCTGTGTGTACCTTAGAACATTAGATCAGCCTGGTGGTTGGTGACACCATTACTGTTTTATTTTTTTCCCCTCTTGGGAACAGTAGGTGCTTACAAGGCCATTCTCAGCTCTTAGACCATAGGATTTCTTTTCCCCTGGGAAAGGCTTTTTTTTTTTCTTTCCAGGGACTTTTTTTTCCCCCTCTAGGTAGATTAAAGAGTAGAGGGGAAAGACTTTTTTTTTCTCCTCCTTTTCTTTTCCACCTATTGACCGTGCCATCTACATTACTGGTAGGCAGCATCCTCTCGTCCCTGGCTGTTTCTGAACATCAGCCTCCTTTGCACAGACTTCTTCTGGCTTCAGCGTCTCTCCCTTCACACATGCCGTGTAGGAGCATCCAGCACAGGTTTTGTACAAATCAGGAGCAAGGAGTGTCCTGAAAACTACTGGTGCCTTGTCTAAGAAAAAGTTATCCCCAACTAATACTTGTAAGTTACAAGAACTTTATCTCCTGGTTCTAGATCAGTTAGAGAGATCTTTTTCTCCCTTCTCATTCTGGAATCTACTTCATCTTGACTATCTTTTCTGGTCTTTGTGGCTGCTGATTTTAAAGTTAGTTAACTAGTTCAAGTCCATCTGATACTTTGATGAATTCTTCATCTCCATCTTAGTTGAGAAACAGATTCCTGATTTTTCCATTCTCTTTACTCTTGGCTTTGGAGGCCTTAACCTTTCTACTGCTTTCTCCTTCTTTCCCTCTTTTCTCATGTTGCTCCGTTTAGACCCCAACCCCCAGTCTTGGCTACACAGGACATTGATTTCTTTTGTTTTCCTAGGTATTGGACAGTCAGATAAAGAAAGACCTGGCTGACAAAGAGAGCCTGGAGAACCTGATGCAGAGACACGAAGAGGAGGCCCATGAGAAGGGCAAGATTCTCAGCGAGCAGAAGGCGGTAAGTACAAGAGCCTCGTTTTCCAAAGGAGGGGTTCTGAAAATATGCCATGAATCACTCACTTGAGAAAATCCATCTCATTTGGTGGCTTTTTTCTGTGTGATCTTGGGGAGTTTATACGTAACAGGAAGCTTTCTCTGAAACTGCTTCCTGTACAAAAAAAAAAAAAAAAAGGAATAGCCAGTGGTGATGGGGTCAGCCTTATGCTTTTCTTTAATAAGTCATGTGGATTTGCCACCTACTAGGACATGATCCTCCAAAATGCCTCCTCAAAACAAACAAAAAAAACAGTGGCCCTGGCGTGCATTTTTCTACTTTTTGTTTGCTAGTTTCTGTTCTTTCTAACCCATGGGAGCTATCTCAGAAACCCACTATTCTCAGAATTCACTCAGGATCATTGTGAATACAATATTCTTACTATCTCAGACTCCCTTCAAGACTTTGCATATCAGAATCTCTAAGGGAGGGTTGTGGGAATTTTTTTTCTTTCAATGTTAACTAGCAGCCAACCTCCCCCATCCCTGGTTCTTATTATTCAGTAAGTTGGGGGTGAAATGGTGGTGTAGAAAAACATGTGATCATTCTGAACTTGCATGTCCAGGTCACATGCATGAGACATGGGGAATGTAAGAAAACCTGCTTATACCTGGCATGTCAGGTTCTCTTTTTTTTTTGGTCGGCCGTGGGGCTTGAACTCTGGGCCTGGGCCCTGTCCCTCAGCTCTTCAGCTCAAGGCAAGCGCTCTACCACTTGAGCTACAGCAGCACTTCCGGTTTTCTGGTGGTTTATTGGAGATAAGAGTCTCATGGTCTCTCCTGCCTGGGCTGGCTTTGAACCTTGATCCTCAGATCTCAGCCTCCTGAGTAGCTAGGATTACAGGCATGAGCCACCAGCGCCCGGCTATGTCATGTTCTCATATGGACACTTTTGTGTGTTTATAGAGCAAGCCAAGCCATTTAGGCAGTGTGGAGACACTTAATTTCAGTTAGAAAACAACTGAGTGCCATCCATTTGAGTAATGGCACCCGTGAGCTTTGGGGTAGAGAGTAATGGCACCCTTGAGCTTTGGGGTAGAGAGTAATGGAGTCCCTTGTTGTCTCTGGCCAGCCTGCTGGCATTTCAGAGGAAGTGTGTACCCTGGCTTACGTTGCCCACATTCATCCTAGTGTGGTCTAGCAGGTGAGGTTTCAAAGCATCCCCTATGTTTCAGATGATCAATGCGATGGATTCCAAGATCAGATCTCTGGAACAGAGGATTGTAGAACTGTCAGAAGCTAATAAACTTGCGGCAAATAGCAGTCTCTTTACCCAAAGGAACATGTAAGTGTTTAGAGTTGAACTATGTATACAACTATACATTGGTCTTTTCCTCTTGATATCCAGACTCTTTTCTCCCTCTCTCTGGTGGAGCTTCAGCAAATTTAATTACTTCTGTACCTTGGCCCCGTCCTTGTATACTTGTATAATTTTGCCCTCTCTTAAATGCTCTTACTACTGTGGCCTCTGTTTTGAATCAGGTTTTCTTAAGTACTTCAAATTACCATCAGATTACAGAGTGCTTTGGTCTGTCTAATGAGACTATTTATAGTGTGCTTTCAAAAAGCTGCTGCCCCTGTTCCCCAGATGTGCCTTCTGTAATCAGTAAGAGGTGATCTTGTGTGCACCCAATTGGGCCATCCATTCTGCTGTAGTTAGCTAGCTACCCCCTGGGGGGAGGACGCCTGTAGTTCAGCAAGGACTTGTCTGTATCCAGGAGCACTCTGATTATAACTTTTTTTGGTTTTTTTTTGCCTGAAGAATTATACTGTCCAAGAATTTTACCGCCTCCACCCCCTTTTCCCCCGATTTTTCCCTTCAGAGAAAAACATCTTCCCCTTAATCTAAACTAGTTCGATTGATTACTTTTCAGACTTGGAGGACTTGGAGTTATCCTAGGTTTTGATACTTGTAAACAGTTGGGTGGAGTGGTGAGGAAGTCCTGCAGAGAACTAGAAGGAATAACATCATCTCTCCTTTATTGCAACTTTTTCCCAGAGTCTGTACTGGTGAGCTGTCGGGACCATTCCTGTACTCAAAGGAGGCCCTTTCCTGCTCTCCTGTATAGACTCTCAAAGACGATAAGAAATAAAAGTCGACCAAAGGAGTGAAATGTGAGCATCTCTATGCCCTCATTGACCATACTCAACCCCATAGTGAGGGACGCTGAGCAGTGATGACTGATTGGTTCCCAGGTTCCCAGGCTGTGGTCCTGCCTATGAGGTCACATCAGGAATATCCATAGTGCCCTTGATGAGGACTCATACCTTGGCTCAGTTCTGTCTGTTGTCCTGTGGAGACCTGTTCACCTCTGATCTGACTTTTAATTTTATTTGGATCTTTCCACCACCCCCACTAGGAAGGCCCAGGAAGAGATGATTTCAGAACTCAGGCAACAGAAATTTTATTTGGAGACACAGGCTGGGAAATTGGAGGCCCAGAACCGAAAGCTGGAAGAGCAGCTGGAGAAAATCAGCCACCAAGATCACAGTGACAAGAATCGGTTGCTGGAGCTGGAGACAAGGCTCAGGGAGGTGAGATGCTGGGTGATCTCCTGAGAGCTTTCATTGGGGGAATTTAGGCCCTCAACCAGCCAGGTTTCAAGCATAAAGAAACATGTACCCAGGAAGCCTTGTTCAGGCAGTGGCCTTGAGCATGGTGACTAAGAGTGTAGTTGGGCCACATGGTTCTCGATTAGCATTCTTTTTTTTTTTTGGTTGGTTGTAGAACTTGAACTCTGGGCCTTGGAGCTGTCCATGAGCTCTTCAGCTCAAGGCAAGTGCTCTACCACTTGAGCCACAGCACCACTTCTGGCTTTCTGGTGGTTAATTAGAGATAAGAGTACGAACTTTGCTATCCAGGCTGGCTTCAAACCATGATTCGCAGATCTAAGTCTCCTGAGTAGCTGGGATTACACATGTGAACTACTGGTGTCCAGCCAGATGATCTTTCTAAGGAAAAGACTTCAATAGATGGGTCTGAGAGTTACCTACCCTTGGGGAACACTCATGTTTGGTCATGTCTTTATTTGTATTGGAATATTTACAATAAAGGCATGTCCCCAAAAAGACAGAAAAACTGCGATCTCATGTTTCCTGGAGTTTCCAAGGTATGAGTCCCTTCCATTAGGATCACCTGGAGTGTCTTACAATGTACACTCCTTGGTATCACCTCTTTTTAAAAAAATTCTTTTAGTTTTAAATTAGCCTACATTAATAGTATTAAGAGGGTTTCATTATGTTGATTTCATAGATATAGATGTATATAGAGGCCTTCAGCTTTTAAAAAATAAAATTGTTTTATATACCACATTCTATATATATATATTTTTAATGTGGTACTGAGGAATTGAACCCAGAGCCTCATGCATGCTAGGCAAGCACTCTGCTACTAAGCCACAATCCCAGTCTTCCACATTCTTTTTTTATCCATTCATCTCTTGTAGGGCATTGGGACTGTTTGCATAACTTAGCTAAGGTACAGATGCCTTTGTGATGTCCTGTCATATAAAATTTTGGCTAATGCCCTGGAAGTTTTGTCTTGGAAATCATGGGATAGCTTGATGTTTTAGTTTTTTAAGAATCAGGGCTGGGAAGGTGGCTCAATAGTAGAGCGCTTGCCTCGCATGCATGAGGCCCTGGGTTTGATTCCTTAGCACCACATAAGCAAAAAGAAAAAAGCCGGAAGTGGCGCTGTGGCTCAAGTGGTAGAGCGCTAGCCTTGAGCTGAAGAGCTGAGGGACAGCGCCCAGGCCCAGAGTTCAGGCCCCACGACCGGACCACCCCCCCCCCCAAAAAAAAAAAAGAATCTCCATACTGATTTCCATAATGGTTGCACTAATTTACATTCTTACCAACAGTTGTGTGTTAGGGTCCCTTCTTCCTGGCCTCCTCACCAACACTTGTTTGTATTCTTGATGGTGGCTAATCCTTAATGGACTTGAGTGGAATGGCAGTGTTGTTTTGATTTGTTGTTTTGATTATATAAGTGATAAAGGAAGTAGGAAATGTGAAATGAGTCAAGAGCAGACAGGAAGGGGGAGAATGATAGAAGGGATGATCACGAAGCAGTGGACCCGAAAGTGGATGTTCAGTTGTAACTCCTTTGCACAGCATTTTGAGGTTTAGAAAAAAATCACCGGAAATGGGGAAAGAAATTTTTATTTTCAACAAGATCCCCTGGCAATTTGTCTCTCCCCTGGAGTTTGAGAATTGTCAACCTAGTTGTCTAAAAGCCCTCGATGGCGCCCTCACCACTACAGTTCAGGCTATATTTTTATTCTTGCTGGTAGAGTCAGCCTTAAGGAAGTGAGTGTAAATAATCCAGACAGATTTCTTTAGCTTGGGAGCATCAGCTGGCTGTATTTTGCCTTCCCTTTCCAAATATGTCTGTCTTCCCGAGCCTGCCCTGCAGCAGTAGCTCATCTGGGCAATTACAGTGTCCCCAAGGAAGCTTGTTGCTTTTTTTTTTTCTTTCTTGAATCAGTCTAGCAACTCTTCCCCTCTATCCCCCAGGATGGTAGGAGAAACTTAAAATGTTTCATAAGAGGCTCAGGGCTCTATATTCTCCCTGGGAGTTTTACAGTTTAGCTCTAAATATAACAAGGCCTGTCCATCTTCTCTCTGGCAACATGCTGCTATTGAGATTAAGAGCAGAGGCTTCGGCCTCAGATCTGATCCACATGAAAGGGCCCGATTCTTTCCCCTTCTCCTGTGGGTACAGCTGTAGCTTTTCTCTAGCAAAGCATGTGGAGTCTTCAAGGTGAAAGGCTTCTGGGTTCGCCTTCCACTGCCCAGTGTCCTGCTCCTGATCTATCCTTCACCCCGTCACCTGTCTCTCAGGGTTTTGTAAAGGGATAATCAGGATTGTGCAGGCTTACTGGTAAAGTCCCAGCCTGCTCTGATGGCTGATATTATAAGTATTGGCAAGCAAGGACTGGAGCCAGACTCCTGGGTTTGAATGCAAGCCCTGCCATAGTTGTTGGGATTAAAAAAAATTTATGCTTATTTAGCTATGTGATGTTTGCTCACTTGCTTACTTTCTCAATGGCACAGTTTGCTTGTCTGTAAAGTGGAGATGATGGTAGTCTCCCCCCGCCCCCCCCCACATACATACACTGTGGTTGTTATGAAGATGAATACAAGGCCTAGTGTGTTCTAAGGGCTTTGGGATATTCTGGTGCCATCCCTGTGGTCATCATCATCCAGACCTTAGAGCTGTGACTTTAGAGTTGGATTTGTTAAGGACTTCTGGATCTAACGAAAACCTACCGGTTTTTGTGGTAGTAGACATTGCTGTTACAGTAATGTCTACATTACATAGTAATTACATGGCAACATCGACATTACTACTGCAGACTAATGGAGCAGACATTAGTTACTGCATTATTCTCATCAAGTTCAAGTTCAACATTTAATTGACACTTTATTTTACTTTTTTTTTTTCAGTTGTGGGGCTTGAACTCAGAGCATGGGCTCTGTCCCTGAATTTTTTCACTCAAGACTAGTGTTCTACCACTTGAACCACAGCTCCACTTCCAGTTTTCTGGTGGTTCATTGGGAGATAAGAGTCTCATGGACTTTTCTGTCCTGGCTGGCTTTGAACTGCTATCCTCAGATCTCAGCCTCCTGAGTAGCTAGGATTGAGTCACTAGCACCTAGCACCTTTTATTTTACTTATGACACTGGCTTTTCCTCTTTTCTTCCCCCTGGTGGCCAGTGGTTTTTAACACCTGTTTAGAAACACAGGAGACAACCTTTGACTCTTCCCCTCTGCCCTTTGTTTCCTGTCCCATCCAAAATTAACCACCAAGTCTTATTGGTTTGGGCCTTTGGCAGTTCCTCCTTCTCTTCACCCTGAGGACCATTTGATATCTCCTCTGTATCCCCTAGCCTAGTGAGCCAAGTTCCTACCCCACATCCCTACTGGCAGTCCCCTTAGCTAGTGAATGAGCTCCCCATGGGCAGCATCTTTTACACTTGGCATTGGTCCATGGAGCAACCTTGTCAGCCCCAGTTAGGTTAGTAGACATGCCTCAGTCTCCATTACCACCTTACCTTTGCATGTCCTTATGGATTCTTCAACAGAACTGAACAGATCAGAGTCATTTCCTATAACATCCTTACTTGTCCTGACCATTGCACTTGACCTCAGTGTATGGGGATGCTTGGTTTTAACTTTCCTTTTCCCCCAACTTGAAGGCAGAGACTGTCTTTCATTTCTATTTTCCTATTTGCACAGAGAATGGCTAAGTAAATTTTGCTTGAGTGCATGAAACATTGAGTTGGATGGATGGGCAGATGGAGGGAGAGATTACCTCAAACTATGATATTAATGCATGATATCTCATGAGAATCAGTCAGAGCAGAGCGAGACTGTTTGGAAGAAATAGAATTCAGCCTGTTGTTCCATTTTGCGTTCTAATTATAAAGGTGTCTCTAACTAATATGATGTTATTTATATCCACTTACCTTTAAATACCTTTCTAATAAGGATAACTGTCATAATTTTCTTTCATGATTCTTGCTGTGTAACTTTTCTTTTAAAGCTTGCCCAGGCATTTGGATATTTGTAAGCAAGAGATGGTTAGATTATACAGTCTTATAGTCCATTGGGAATGGGTTCCTGGTCTCTCCTGTGATACCAAAATCTGGATGCTCAGCTCTATTATGTAAAATGGAGAAGCATTTGCATGTAACCTACACACATCCTCATGTATACTTTATATCTCTAGATTACTCAGATATATGTTACAATGTAAACATAGGCAAATAGTTACACTGTATTGCTTAGGGAACAATGCCAAGTCTGTACATCTTCAGGCATGTTCAATCCAGATGTAGTTTTCTTATTTTCTCTGGATAGTTTCAAGCCATGGTTGGTTGAATCCAGGATTATAGAACCAAGGCTGATGTCTTCCTGTGGGTCCTTTCATATTGATCTTAGAAACTGATGAGTACTGAGAAGTTGAGTCTTAGACCAGGTTTAAGCTGCAGGTTGATTTTCAGGTCCTGTCTGCATTTTCTCTTCCTTTGAGGTTCACCAAGCATCTCTCTCTCTCTTTCTCTCTCTTTCCCTTTCTCTCTCTCTCTCTCTCTCTCTCTGTATCTATCTCTGTGTCTATCTCTGTCTCTCTCTCTTTGTCTGTTTCTCTCTGTCTCTCTCAGGTCAGCCTGGAGCATGAGGAACAGAAGCTGGAGCTGAAGCGCCAGCTCACAGAGCTGCAGCTGTCCCTGCAGGAGCGCGAGTCACAGCTGACGGCCCTGCAGGCCGCCCGGGCTGCCTTGGAGAGCCAGCTTCACCAGGCAAAGACAGAGCTGGAGGAGACGACAGCCGAAGCAGAAGAGGAGATCCAGGCTCTCACGGTAGGTCTGTCTGGGAGTAGCACCATCAGGCTAAGGTCTCAGCTAGAAGGAGCATGGTACGAGGATCTTTCTTTACCCTTGCAGATCCTAGTAGGGAAAAAGAGATCCACAGAGAGAGTTAATTGGCAGAAAGTGGGCTTTATAGACTTCTCCTTCATTGGAGTTAGTATGTGAGCTCAAAATTCTTCCTTTATGTATCCTCCTTCTTTATAAACAATTATGTTTCAAATTTTGTTTACCTGGTCTTTTAGTTTATATTTTCAATTTTTAAAAAAATTAAATTTTTAATTGAAAACTTTAGTTTTTAATAGTCGTAAAAATAACAATAATCTTATATTTTACAGTAGGGTTCCTCTCCACCCCTAGTACTGGGGATTTAATTCAAGGCCTTGTACTGGTGGCAGGACTCTACTTCTTGGGTCAAGCCTGTAGCCCATTTTTGCACCAGTTATTTTTGAAGTAGGGTCTCATTTTGTCTGGGCCAGCCTGAACTATGATCCTCCTCCTTAGGCTTCCTTGTTGGAGAGAGCGGGAATAAGCTACTGCACCCAACCATTGGTTGAATTGGACTGGCATCCATTTTTTTTTGCCCAGGCTTGCTTTGAACTGCTATCCTCCTTCATCTCCACCTCCAAGTAGTTAGGATTACAGGCTTGAGCCATCTTGCAATATTCTTGCTACCATATTTCTGTTTTTATTTTGTTTTGTTTGTGTTATTTTTAAAGCTGTGGATTCTGCTTTATGTCTTCATTTTTATTTTTATTTATTTATTTAGGGTCCGGTCGTGGGGCCTGAACTCTGGGCTTGGGCACTGTCCCTCAGCTCTTCAGCTCAAGGCTAGCACTCTACCACTTGAGCTACAGCGCCACTTCCGGCTTTTTTCTTTTTGCTTATGTGGTGCTGAGGAATCGAACCCAGGGCCTCAGGCATGCAAGGCAAGCGCTCTACCACTAAGCCACCTTCCCAGCCCATTTTTATTTTATTTTTTGTTGGTCATGGTGCAACTGAGGCATGGGGATTTTTCTGCCTGGGCTGGCTGTGAACTGTGAGCCTCAAATCTCAGCCTCCTGAGTATCTAGGATTACAATTGTGAGCCACTGGCACCTGGCTTTTACTTTTAGTTTTTAGTAATGGGCATTATTTGTACCAATGGACTGTCACTGTGACAAGTTCACATGTGTATCTGGTACACGTTTTTAATTTTTGTGGTGGGGTCTCTCTATGTAGTCCACATTCACTTTAAACTCAGAATCTTTCTCCATCTCACAAGGGCTGGGATTACAAGTGTGCACCACCACACCCTACATGTTTTATGTATTTTCTACGCATCTTTTATGATCTGAATGAGAATAATTGAGAGTTTTGATTTTTTTTTTTCTGAAGGAGATCTGGCTTCCCTGCTCTTTTTGAGAGACTGGGCTGCTCAGCTAGAGAGAGTTCTTAGTTTTTTTTCTGGAAGTCCAAGAAGGAGATGTGACTGCCAAGTAGACTAGGGCACTTTGGGTGCCAGACTTCATACTTTCCTTACCTTTCAGGGGTGCCTCCTTGGAAATCACACATTTTGTTCGTTTGTTTTGTCAGTTGTGGGGCTTAAACTTTTGGCCTGGGTGCTGTCCCTAAGCTCTTTCACTCAAGGTTAGCACTCTACCACCTTGAACCACAGCTCCACTTCTGGTTATCTGATGGTTAATTGGAGATAAAAGTCTCATGGACTGTCTTGCCTGGGCTGGCTTTGAACTGTAATCCTCAGATCTCAGCCCTCCAGAGTAGCTAGGATTCTAGTGTGAGCCACTAGCTCCCAGCAAACTCTGTCATTCCTCTAAGACTATTTGGTGGGCCTGGACTCTGAGTCTAGAAAGCTGCATGGGTTTGAATGACTAATATCAACTAAACATAACTAAGCATGGTTTCTCATTGTGACATACTATAACTGCCAGGTGGATGGGCACACTCATGCCTGCTGGTCAGGATGCCCTGTCCTGTGGGTCTGGACACAGTGTGGCTGATTGGATTCATCATGTTTTAAATGGGTACCCTATTCATTCCCATTCAACTTGGATTCTGGCCCTATCTCCATCAGCTGATAGCACTAGGAGTGGCCATATCCATTTATTGGTTTATGATTCAAGTTGTTTAAAAGTGTGGGGTGTGTGTGTGTGTGTGTGTGTGTGTGTGTGTGTGTGTGTGTGTGTGTGTGTATCTATCTCTTTGAACTAGTTTTATTCTTTAGAAGTTACCTCCTATGATCTGTACCAAGTTGAGGATGTGATCTTTGATGCCAGCTTCCTTTGGGACTGATTAGGATCATAATGGCCCTAATGGTACAGAATAACTCCTATAAGGAAGATGCTTATGCAGCTTAGATTTTTTTTTTTCTGGGACTTACGCCAAGTGTGGATATTGATCGAGACTTTTAAGTCTCATCATCTCCATGAGAACACTCATTCAACAATGCCATGTGCTCCAATATTTTGTTTGGGAGAAAAATTGTCATGACACGTTTTTGTTTATATGCTGCTTTGCTTTTAAATGGATTGAAAGCAGTTTGGAAAGATTATATAAAAAACAAAACAAAGAGCAGGACACAAAGAATGAAAAGGCAAAGAGAAAATATGTGCAGAGGAGAAAAAAAATGGAGTGAGGCAGTAAATTGATCTGCCAAGACGGCTTATTATACACTTGCTAGAGGTAAGTGGGTAGGGAGAGATAGGTAGAATTTCTTTTTTTTCCCTTTTATTTTCTTCTTTTTTTTATTGGGGGGAGGGCGGAGTTTGGTAAGGAAAGAACTGAGGATTGAATTCAGGGCTCCAGCCCCTTTTACCTTGGTTATTTCAAGGTAGGATCTCCCTTTATGCCCCAGCTGGCCTGGGTCACAGTCCTCCTATTTGTACTTCCACCAGATCTCTGGGGATGACAGGTCCATGCCCCTGTACCTGCCAATGTGCTTTCCCTCAGAGCTGGGGTAGCAGGTGTGCACCACCTCCATCATTGATATGGAGTCTCTCATATTTATTTCTTTGCCTGAGCTGGCCTCAAATAGTGATCTCCCAGTCTCTGCCTCCCCAAGTCTCTAGGATTACAGGCTTGAGCTTATGTGCTTAGCTGATACACATTTCCTAGCTGCTCTAGGAAGACACCTAAATTGGAACCACTGCTATTTAGTGTATTGCATATGAGTATCCTGTGCCCCTCTCCCGAATGAAAATGAGACAATAGTGATTTAATCTAAATTTAATGAGCACTTGCTTGTGCCTAATGCTGTGTCTTGAGTCGTCCCCCCTCTCTGCTCCCAGGCATTGGCCTGTAATTCCTCCAATCATTTTCCTTTGAAGCAACCAAGAATGACAGTTTATTTTGCTCCTCAGTTGGAATTGAAAAGGCAGGTGGTAGCTGTATGTTTTGTCCTTTCCCCCACCCATTTGGAAGGGGAAAAATATAAAATAGAATAGAATGTGTATCACTGCTTCTTATCTGTGGGGAAATTAGTCCTTTAAATCCTGCCTGACTGCGGGTTGGAATGTGCTCTGACTAGCGGCTGCTAGAAGCCTAGCACAGCAGCAAGTCACGACTTAATTTAGCTGGATGAGATCACTGCCTTAGAGCATCTTAAAAAATACAAAACAAAACAAGAAAGCTTCCTAGGTCTAGAAACTAGGGCTCTGTCACTTGTATACATGAAGGTGTCATGGGAAATAGGGCTTGTTCAAACTGATGGCAAGAAAGCTGGGCATTGTGTTGCATGCCTATAATTCCAGCCCTCAGGAGGCCGAGGTAGGACGATTGCAAATTGAAGCCAGCTTAGGCTCTATGTAGCCTATCTCAAGGAAAAAAAAACAAGAAATGCTTTCTTGCAAATAGCTGTTTGTAAGCCTATCATATGCAACTCTTTTAAGCAAGTCAGTAAAGATAGTATGCTTTGGTTCAGTTTTGAGACTGTGAGCTTTTTTCCTTCCTCTTTTCCTGAATGGCTTGCTTGACTTTATTTTGAAGAATATACTTTCTGAGAAAAATTTTTCCTGCTTGCTTACTTTGCTTTTGCTTTCCCCTTTCCTTTCTTTTCTTTTCTTTCCTTTCCTTTCCTTTCCTTTCCTTTCCTTTCTTTCCTTCTCCTCTCTCTCTTTCTCTCTCTCTCTCTCTGAGGCCCACGTCCAGACCCAACACAAACATCAATCAAATTAAGTGAGCTAGATCTAAAATGATCTCCTGTGAGCTTCACAGCATAGTGTTTTATCAATAAATAGGAACAGACAAATGGACTGTTATTGCTTAATTCTAACAGACGTCCATCTCAGCCTAGGAAGGGAGCAGTTACCTGATTTGGCCCCCGCTTCTGGACACATTAGATGGAGCACAGTTAAATTAGGGCTTTCCATTAAAGGAACCTGCAGGGGCAACTGGCAGGCCATTGTTGGCCTTCTTAACTGCTTCCTTCCTTCCCACACACTGTATCAGCCCTGTTAACTGCATTTGCATTGAAATCCACTGGAAAGCTAAGATTGACAGCAGCAAAGTCAACTTGGAACAGAAAACTGCTTTTAAGATACTTCATTTAGGGGCTGGGAATGTGGTGGCTTAGTGGTAGAGTGCTTGCCTAGCATTCATGAAGACCTGGTTTGATTGCTCAGTACCACATAAACAGGAAGTGGCACTGTGGCTCTAGTAGAGCAAAAGGAGCTCAGGGACAGTGCACAGGCCCTGAGTTCAAGTCCCAGGACTTGGGGGTGGGCAGGGGAGGTGATGGGAAGATACTTCATTTGTCACTGGAAGAGAAGAAAAATGTTTTTTGGGGGGCCTTGACATGATATTATGTAAGACTGGAGTCTGCATACTTGATAGCAGCAGTCAGTTGTGTCATGTGACCAAGTATGACTCTGAACAGCCTTGTAGGCACACAGTGTTTGCTTTGTGGGCATCAACAGGGCCTTGCAAACACGCTCTGGGTTTCTGTTCCCATGTTGTTTAACTGGTCAAACGGTGAGGGGAAGCTAGGGATCCTCATGAGGAGATCCTTCCTCCTGCAAAGTGTAGCTATGGCCTTCCAAACTCATCCATCCTCTGATCTGTGAGAATTATGAATCGATGCACGCACTCATTCCTTTACACCAAGCCTCATATCTAGTTACTTAAGCTCTCGGCGTGATAATCAAGCTGTGAAATTGGGGCATGTAAAGTGAGTCTTGTTTGGTGTTGCTTTCACAAGGGAGGGGTGGGTGGGCTGCACCGGAAGCCCAAGAGTTCTAGAACATGACCATGAATCGCAGAAAGCGGTCACAAGTCAGAACTAGCTTCCTTTCAGTTCTGCAGGCCTGGGCTTTGAATCAGGGCTGTATTTGTAATTCACCCCCCTTTTTTCCTCTTAACTTCCCTTCATATTAGTGCAAATGTAGAGACACCCCACGAAGAGCATCCTTGGTCCTCAATCTGTCTCAGTGCCACCCAGCTTCCAGGTCACTGTTCCCAAGTGGGTCCGTGGACCCCAGTTGCTCCCAGGCATACTATTTTTATAACAGTCTCAAAGTTGTCATTTGATGTTATTCACTCTGTTAATGTTTGCTTAAATTTATACTAGGTTAACACTTGTACTTTCTGGGGTCCTTCATAAATTAAAAGAGTATAACTATCAATTCCCCATAGTACTTAATATGTAAGGAGCCCTATAATATTTCATTGAGAGAACCCAAAGCTTGTCTTATCTATTTTACTATCATTGTATATACTCTCTTCCCCCTCCCTGCTCTTTATTTATTTTTTACTGGTACTAGGGCTTGAACTCAAGGCTTCATATGCTCACTCAGCCTTTTCCTTCTATGGCTAGTGCTCTACTACTTGAGCCACATCTCCAATCTCTACAGTCTAGCTTTTTTTGCTGGTTACTTGGAGATAGGAATCTTCTAGATTTTTCTGCCAGTAGCTAGCCACTGATGCCTGGGTATACTGGGTATACTATATCCTTGTATATTCCATGACCTTGTGTTTTATCCTTCCTTCCTTCCCTCATTCCCTCCTTTTTTCCTCCCTCCTACCCTCCCTCCCTCTCTTCCTCCCTCTTTCCTTCTGTTCTTTCCTTCTCCTTCCTTCCTTCCTTCCTTCCTTCCTTCCTTCCTTCCTTCCTTCCTTCCTTCCTTCCTTCCTTCCTTCCTTCCTTCCTTCCTTCCTTCTTTCCTTCCTTCCTTTTCTCTCTCTCTAAGAAACATAATAACATACTTCTTACCATTTTCTTAGATCGCTGAATAGTTAAATGTTATTGAATGTTATGAATGTCATAGCATTCATAGCAGAGTCACTTTCACATTTTATATGTATGCTTCCAAATCATTAATAAAATTAATGGCCCTAAAGGCTGCAGGTCATGATTTGCATCTTCAGAGAGGATTGCCATTTCATGTGTTCAAATTATCCAAAGGCTCCATAATGGCTAATTGTAATCAACATAGTGATTGAAAATTTCAGACTCCAGTGCAACAGTTCAGTGAGTTTTTCATGGTATATGTTACTTGAAAACTTTGCTATTAATGAGAAAATAGAGCAGAATAAGAAAGTGCAGCAGCAGCCGGACACTAGGGCCACATGCCTGAAATCCTAGCTACTCAACAGGCTGAGAGATCTGTAGGATCCAAGCCAACCTAGAAAGAAAAGCCCATGAACCTCCCGTATCTAGTTAACTAGTAAAAAGCAGGACTAGAGGTGTGGCTCAAATGGTAGAGTGCCAGCTAGGTAAATAGGCTGAGCAGGTGCAAGGCCCTGAGTTCAAACCCTAGTACTGGCAAAAACAACAACCACAAAAACGGACTGTAACTCAGAAAAGAATACACTTACTTGCAATCCAGTGCAATCTACAGTCATCCCTTGGTGTCTCCAGGGAATTGTTTCCAGGATACCAAAACCCAGTGTATAAAATGGTGTCACATTAACACCTTGACTTCTGTACTCCCAGGCACCTCCAGAAGACAAGATGGTACCCGACACAGTGTAAACAGTGGGCAGATCCCTGTTCTGTTCTTTTGCTTAGGGAATAAGGACAAACGACAGTTTCTGTGTGCCGATGCTGGGGACGGGCTCTTTCACTCAGCTTTCTTGATCACTGAGCTGTGTCTCCAGTCTCACGTTTTAGCTGCAGTCTTGAGGACTCTTCTGCCCTTTCCTGTGCTTTGCATGGCTGGCTCTTCCCTATCCTGTGGGCTTCAGTTTAAATGTCATTGCTGCAGCCAAGCTGCAGTGGACCTCCTCGTCTTAGTCCCTGTCTGTTCTCCTTTCCCCCTGTCTTCCAGTCCCCTCATTGTCTCTTCCTGGCATTTGTTATAGTCTTCCCTCATGCAGTTAGTTTCTGTCTCCACCAAGAATGCCAGCATCAGCTGCATGTACTGTATCTGACTACATACGGTGTCACGTGTAGTGTGCACTCAAGATTTTTAGCAGCTGATGGCACTTGTGTTAGATAGCTTTCTGTCACTGTGACAGAGGCCCTGAGACAAATCAACTTAAAAGAAGGAAAGGGCCAGGTGCCAGTGGCTCACGCCTGTAATCCTAGCGACTCGGGAGACTGAGATCTGAGGATCACGGTTCAAAGCCAGTCCTGGCAGGAAAGTCCATGAGACTCTTATCTCCAGTCCACCAGAAAACTGGAAGTGGCCCTGTGGCCCAACTGGTAGAGCACTTGCCTTGAGCTGAAGAACTCAGGGACAGTGCCCAGGCCCAGAGTACAAGTCCCCATGCTCAGAGTTTAAGCCCTATGACCAACCTAAAAAAAAAAAAAAATAGAGGAAAGGTGGGCTGGGAATGTGGCTCAGTGGTAGAGTGCTTGTCTTGCATGCATGAAGCCCTGGGTTTGATTCCTCAGCACCACATACACAGAAAAAGCCAGAAGTGGCACTATGGCTCAAGCGGTAGAGTGCTAGTCTTGAGCAAAAGAAGCTCAAGGACAGTGACCAGGCCCTGTGTTCAGGCTCCAGGACTGGCAAAAATAAATAAGTAAATAAAGACAGACAGACATTAAAGGTTTACTTGGGGCTCATAGTTTCTGAGGTTCTTGTCCGTGGACACTTGGCTTAGAGCCTCTGGTTTCCTGGTGAGGGTGCACAGCAGGCAGAGGAAACGTGTTCACCTCTTACAAGCTGGGAAGCAGAAAGAGGGACAGGAAGGGGCCAGGGTACCTAATATCTTCATCAAGGGCATGCCCCTGTGATCAAGCATCCTCTGTCTAGGCAACATCCTCATCTTAAAGAGTCTACTCCTTTCCAGTAGTGCCACAGGCTGCCACCAAGCCTCTATGTGAGAACCTCTGGTGGACACTTAGGATCTACCATAGCAGGAGCACTATGGTTTTAGGGCAGCTTTGCCTCAGAGAAAACCCATTTGTTTACTTCCAGGTCAATGTGTGGTTTTGTGAACTTCAGCAGTTTCTATTGTTGGTTTTTCTCTCCCTCTCTCTTTTTTTTTTTTCTTCTTTGAGACAGAGTTGTACTGTGTATGTCATTCAGACTGTCCTTGAATTGATCCTTCTGCCTCCTGAGTGCTGGGATTATAGGGGTGAATCACTTAGCTGGACTCTTAGAAGGCCACTACTTTTTCTTGGGGAGTGTGTGTGTGTGTGTGTGTGTGTGTGTGTGTGTGTGTGTGTGTGTGTGTGTGTGTGTGTGTGTGTGTGTGTGTGTGTGTGTGTGTGTGTACATGCACATATATACCATAAATGAGTCCTATGTGTGTCTTATAAGTCAGGCAGGGGTCAGTTGGAGAGAAGACGGCGCATCACTAAGTTACTAATCTTTCTGGAATCTTTTCAGAATGAGGGATTAGGACAAATGTAGGAGAATAGAACCATATCGTTAATTGCTTTTCCTTTGTCTATCAGTAGTGCCAAAGTATTATGTTATAAATAAAAAATATTTGTTCAAGGTATGGATATATGGCCTAAATACTATTATTAACACGGTATCCATATGCTTCTTTAACTTACTTTGATGTGGCTGATGACTTGATTAATTCTTTCTTTTTTACTTTTAAGAAATGCTGGGGCTGCTATAGTAGTTTTCCTGGCCCGTTCTCTGTATTTGGAGGATATTGGTTTGTTTATTTAGGCAGTAGTGGGTTTTGAGCCCAGTGCCTCAACACTGAACCACACCTTGTTCTGTGTGTTTGATTCTTCGAATGTAGAATGGTATTCTCCCCTGTGAAAAATTTATAGTTCGCTTCTTACCTTCTAGGCACATAGAGATGAAATCCAGCGCAAATTTGATGCCCTTCGTAACAGCTGCACTGTGAGTATCAAATAGTCAAAGTCAACTAAGATACCAGGAAACTAAAACAGCAAAAGAAAAGGGGCTATTTTCTTTATAGCATGAGTGGCTGGTGGGCTTTGTCATTGTTGTTGCTTTCATTTTGTCTTGTTTTGGTGGTACTGGGGTTTGAAATCAGGACCTCATTTTTCTAGGCAGGCACTCTACTACTTGAGCCATGGCCCCAGCCCTTTTTGCTTTAGATATTTTTCAAATAGAGCCTTACAGTTAATGTCTGGGCTGACCTGAACCACCATCCTCCTATTTACAATGCCTGCAAAGCTGGGATAACAGGCATGCAGCAGTTTATAACTAGCTGAAATGGGGTCTTGTGAACTTTTTACCTGGATGGGCCTTGAATTCCAGTCTTCCTAGCCTCGATCTCCTGAGTAACTAGGAAGTCAAACATCAGCTCCCACACCTAGTGGCTGAGTTTTGATATGAACTGTAGCTTGATGCAGATATTAGGGCCAAACTTATTTGTAAATTTTGGGTCAAAACCATTTGAAAATCAAAATCACTTAGAAAATCAAAACCATTCCCCAAAGCCTTGGCCAAAGACTCCAAATGTGATAGACAGGTAGGTTTTCAAGGCTTCTCTGGTCTGTGACTACTACTCAGAGGAAATGGAAATGTTAACTCCCTCACAGATGGAATTTGCTTTCCTACTCTGCAATTTCAAAATCTCAGACCCTTTGGGCTATGTTCCATTTATTGAGAGATGCGAATTCTATTAGCAGATAAGCATCATTCAGAGGTTATATAATAAAGTCCATGGAAAAACAAAGGAGGGACTGAAATAGGTCCCTGCCAGAAGAGGGGGATGGTGTCCCAATTCATGCTTCCAGCTCTCTCTTTTTTTCAATCTTTTCATCAACTTATTATCTGATTAGTCCTATGTGATGGTGTCTTTGTGCTATTTGCATCTGTGAATTTTTAGAATTTCACGCACATATGCATGCGCACACACAGCTGTTTAGCTACTATAACTGGGACATTCTCTCTTAATTTAGGTACAGAATGCACTTAATAAAGCACATAAATGCACTGATCTTAGTGCATGCAGGAAAACTTTTGCATATATAGACAGTGGTGCAACAAAATACAGATCCTAGAAGGTTCCAGTTCCTAGAAGGTTCTTACACAACTCCTTCTTTGGAGCCAGTTTCTGTTATTCTGACCTGTGATACGTTAATTTTGTCTAATTTTTTACTTCATATAAATGGAATTCAAAGAGTATATACACTTTGGGGCTAAGCGTTTCTTTTTTCATTTTTTTCCTTTTTGTTTTTTAAGTTGTGAAGTTCTTCCTTGTGGTTGTATTTGTCAACCATTTGTTCTTTTTCATTACTGTGTAGTGAATCAAAACATATTGTAATCCATTCTCTTGTTGATAGGCATTTGGATTGTTTCTGGGATGAATAAAGCCGCCAGGAAGCATTTGGTGCAAGTCCTCTGGTGGCTGCAAACACTTCATTCTGGTGAACAGATACCCAAGAGTGGAATTGCTAGGTCAGGAGATATGCCACTTTTTGGCAGACAGGCTTTTGGTCTGTGTTTCCAGATCTGATATTGGATCTGAACAGGTCTGCCTTAGTATGTCCTCAGATAGATTGCTCCCATCTCTTCTCCCTTCAAGAGCTGCTGGGGAAAATTCTGTTCCCGTACTCTTCTGCCTAGTTTTTTTTTTTTTAAGTTCCTTTCTTTGGTTTCTTATTTTTATATCAGATTTATTTGCTATCAAATACATACATGTTTAATAGCGATCACAGTGTAAAATACAGATAATTTTATCGCTGTGATTCTTCCCTCCTGCTCTTTTATTTTTGTGATAGTTAGTGTGTAGCACAGGTTGGCCTCTAACTTGAGATCTTCCTGCTTCAAGTCTTCATGTACTGGGATTATAGGTACGTAGCACCACACCTAGCCTGTGATTCTTTTCCTTGTACTAACGTTTCTTTAAACTTGTATTTTTTAAACAATGTGTTCACCTGTAATCTTGTTCCATTTATCTGAATTTATCTTTTCTACTTTTTAAAGTTTTTGACATATGAAAATTAAGAAATTCTTATAGTTTTATTGGCATATATTTGGTGTGTCATAAACTGATGAGCTATGACATATATATGCACCTAAGAAACCAAAACAATAGGAAAAAAGGAAAGAACATATCCATGACCCTTAAAAGTCCCATTGCTCTTTTGTAATTTTATTCCTGCCCCTTTTATTTTTACTGGTACCAGAGCTTAAACTCAGGGTCTCACGTGCTCATTTAGCTTTGTCTCTCATGGCTGCCACTTTACCACTTGAGCCATACCTCCAGTTCAGCACTTATGCTGGTTAAGTGGAGATCAAATCTCAGGGACTTTTTGCCTGATTTGGCTTTGAACTGTGATCCTCAGATCTCAGCTTCCTGAGTAGTTAGGATGACCGGTGTGAGTCACTCGTGTCCACTATACCCTCCCCATCCCCCACATTGGCTATTTGATATATAGTCATTTTAATAACTGCTGTTTGGATGCTGGGTGAGGAAAGAGAGGTAGCTTCTGTAGTTCCCATGTACATTCGAGTGCCAGAAACAGCAAGACTTATGAATCAGAGCCATAGAAATTGGTACCTCTGTGGTAGATTTCTTGCAATAATTAAATTATGTGATGCATTCAGAGGGCTCACACAGGATTTGGCTTATAGAAAGGACTAAGTAATTTTGGTTATTCTTATTATTTTTCTTTATCATACTGGGCTTTATAGCATAATCTTTTATCTGGAAAAATGCCTCTGTGACTTTTAAAAAGCCTAGAATCCACTGCTCTGGGACTTTTGGCCACCATAGTACAAGTACAGTGATAACTTTTGCAAGTTCAAGGCTGCTTTAAAATACTTTAGGGGAGGGTGATAGATGTTTCTTTTTTTTTTTTTTTTTTTACATTTTTTATTGTAAAAATACTGTACAGAGGGGTTACAGTTACATGAAGATGTTTCATTCTTTTCTGGCATGGTCCAATGACATTTCTCTTGGTCATTGGCAAGAACTGTCTGTAATCACTCAATTGATAGGAGTACCCAGTTGGCAGTTTCCACAAAGCCAGAGAGCAATAAGAATTTTTTTCCCCACCATTTCTATATTTCGAAGGGATTTATAAAAGGATTTGATTCAATCTGGCACCTAAAACCCTACCTAAGTCTGTTTTAGAGGGAGTTGGTGGGCAAGCATATGACACAGCTTTAATTATGAATCAATCTGTCAGCTATAAGATTAAAAATAAATAATATGCAAATCATTGCCTTCAGGAAAGAACTAGGCATGAAAAATAGGATTTCATTCCTAAGTCTTGTTAGCCTGGTGCTTGTTGTTTGTTTTCTTCACCCCTGATGTGCTGCTGGACACCTTTCGTGGCCCCTCCCTCTCTTTAACCCATCATTCGATGAAAGGGGTCAACATTTACCTTCCAGCCCTGTGAGGTTTATGCCTTAGCCTTGAGAAGGAAAAGATAAAGCTCAAACAGAGATCTTGGGTACTTCCTTCTTCTTCTTTTTTTGACACTGAGAGTAGATAATATATATGTGTGTGTGTGTATATGTGTGTATATGTGTGTGTGTGTGTGTGTGTGTGTGTGTGTATTTGTGTGTGTGTGTGTGTATGCCCTCCTTCCTCTCTTTTAGAATGGCTGACACTAAAATCTTTTATCTGCAAACACAGCCTGTAAGAAAAGCTGTGCTCACCCCTGAAGCTACTGCCCTTATGACTTTTGATATATATATATATATATATATATATATATAATTTTTTTTTTTTTTGGTAAAGATGGAATCATCCTTCAGATTTTTTTTAATACCCTCTGTCTTTGGGTCTTAAAGGTTAACTGACTCATAAAAGAATCTGTTAATAAACTGACCATTTGTTCTTCTTGTGGAGGGAATATACTCATGGCCACCATGTAGACCTAAGAAAGCTTCTCTGTTACAAAGACCCAGAAGACAAATCAAACAAAATATTGAGTTAAACACCTCCCTGTGTTAGAGGGTACACGGGGTGGGACCATGAGCACAGATGGTTGGATTTCAGTGCCGGGTTCAAATTCTAGCTTTGTCATCAAGTAGCTCATGCTCTTGGGGAATTACTTAGCCCAGGCTACCCCAATTTCCCCACCTATAAAACAACAAGCATGACTAATGCCTACTTTAATGAGCCGTTTTAGAGATTGCTTCTGCCTTTCATTGTAACCATGGAGACCATTAACTTACTCCTTACTGGGTTTAAAGTCAGTTTAGTATTTGCCAACTCAATATATGTGTGTGTAGACATGTCTAACATGTAACCACAACTCCACAGCCATTTGAAGTAGGGTCACAAGGTGATACTTTGTGATTTAGGAATAGTGAGTTGAATTGTCTCCAATCCCTGCACACGCTTCTCAAAGACACACAGGTCTCAAGTGGACAAATAAGCAAACTAGAGGCAGTGACCAAATAAATGGAGAACCACCACATACCAGGAATAAAGTCAGAGATCCGAGACCCTTGAAAAATTGACAACAGGGAACAGAAGGGTTCTTCTCATGCAGTGCAGCCCTCTCTGGCTTTGAAATGTTTCCTGTTTACTCTTTAACAATCTAATTTTCCAAGAAAGAGAAGAGATAGCACAAGTGGCCTCATCATAATTTTTTAACTGAATTAATGAAAAGAAGTAGGTACCTAAAGGCTTAAATATAATTTTGAATGGCAGGTAAATTGCATATTCTTAGATGACTAGGTTTGCCGTAGTCTTGTCTGTTTCCAAGAAGTTTTAAAAATGGAGGCACCACCTCGATCAGTATCCGTTTTTATTCTTTTTTTTTTTTTTTTTTTTTTTGTTCTTTGTTTTTTTCTTTTTGTGCTAGACCAGGGGCTTAAACTCAGAGTCTGGGCTCTGTCCCTGAGCTTTTGTGCTCAAGTCCAGCACTCTACTACTTGAGCCATAGCTCTAGTTCTGGCATTTTTTGGTGTTTAATTGGAGCTAAGAGTCTCACGCACTTTCCTGTGAGGGCTGGCTTTGAACCCTAATCCTCAGTTCTCAGCCTCCTAGTAACTAGGATTATAGGCATGAACCACTAGCACCTGGCTACAATTTTTTTCTTGATATTTCATGTAGAATGGGACCAAATGGTATATAAGAAAATTCAAAAGTACAAACAGAAGAGTAGACATGCTATTCACTTCCCTGTCATACATGGAGAAATGAACACAGCCAACTTCAAGGTGGCTTTTTGGGGGTTCCAGAATCCATTGTATAGGTAGCTGTCTTGCCTCATTCTTACTGGTGTTTTTTGGTGGGAAACAGAAGGAAGCACAGAAGTGAATGGGGACATTCATTCAATTTAGTAGGAAGAGTATCTGAAGGAATGGCTTCACTCTGTTCCAGCTGGAAGACCTGTTAAACCAATGGGCACTGTTTGTTTATTGTCTGGGATTTTAGGAGATATAACCATGTCACAGAAAGGGTGACACAACTGGGTGCTAGTGACTCATTTCTGTAATCCTAGCTATTAAAGAGATGGAAATCTGAGGATCAGGGTTGAAGCAAGCTAAGCAGGAAAGTCCATGAGACTCAAAGTGGAGCTGTTGCTCAAGTGGTAGAACACGAGCCTTGACCGAGAAAGCTAAGCAAAAGTGAGAGAAACTGAGTTCAAGCGCTAGTATGTACACACACACACACACACACGTACACACACACACACACACACACACACACACACACACACACACACGTGACACAAGACCTTAGTGCTTCACCTGAAAACCTGACCAGATAACTTTTTTATTCCCCTCTTGTAGGTCACAGCATATCTCAAAGCAGTACATTAGGAATGACTGTAGATTTGACTTGAAAAAGCAAATTACTGGACCACTTACTATGTTAAAAGGTTATCAGTTCAGTTAACAAAATGAAAAGCTGCATTTTCTGAGCCACAATGAACAAATGAGCTTAATTGATGTTCTCTGTTTCCTTGTGTCTGGGAAGATTTTTATTTTAAATTGATAATCAGAGGGAGTTACAATAAGGAATTTGTCATGGAAACAATGGTAAGATCTCACAAGTTAAGTCTGTTCAAGGCTTGGAAATAGGAAGCAATTAATAACCATAGGCTTAAAGGCATATTCCTTTTAATTTACTTCTTTTTGTTGCATAAAATTTAATTTATGACCTGTGCACCTCATTCTGACTATTATTAGAAAATTGCCCTTAAACTTCTAAAGTATTTTTATATAAAAGCTCTCTGCAAGCTCCGATACTAAACCTTGGCGAAGAGAATAGAAAAGCTTAAATGCACTGAAACGGAAGTCATTCTGCCATTGAGCAGGGAAATAATTTAGTACAAGCAGATTAGATCTTTCAGTAAAATGGCAATTTCATGTATGCTGAGAGCCAACTGTATAGTGAAATCCATTATGGTGGTGCTATAATGCAGTTTTGTAGTTTCAGAATCATTCCTATTGTCCCTTAAGATTTGTTTTTCCTCTTTGTTACATGAAATTAAATTCATTGCTTGTGATTTTATTCAACTAACTCTTGGTGTCCTTCAGTGTCAGTTTTTCTTGATAAAAGCTTCATTTTCTAAGAGTGTAACCATTTTCAATGACAGTGTCCTACAGGTGGTGTCAAGGTCATTTTTATTTAATTAGGCAATTATGGAGCCAGACTTTCCTCTCTCCTAAGCTTGCGATACTGTCTTCAATATTAACTTGACCTCATTTGAACTTGTCCTTTGTATACAATCAAAATTTTCTCTACCCCCTCCCTCCTTTTTTTGTGTCAATGCCAGACTAGGGCTTAAATTCACAGTCTCACACTCTATGCTGTTTTAAAACTCATGACTGGCATTCTACCACTTGAACCATGCCTCCAGGCCAGCTTTTTGCTGGTTAATTGCGGATGGAATCTTGAGGGCTAGCTTTGAACTGGGTACCTCCACATCTCACTCAGCTTCCTCAATAGCCAGTGCCTGGCTCTAGGGCTTCTCTCTCTCTCTCTCTCTCTCTCTCTCTCTCTCTCTCTCTCTCTCTCTCTCCCCTCCTAAGGCATGCATATTAGAACTGAATTGAAGTCAGGGTTTAGATCTGGCTCCTATGTTAGACAGCTGCTCATTGTCACGTAGCTTGACACTAGAAACTGCCCCTTGCTCACAATGAACTTGTCTGATGTGTGGCTGGACTCTCTTCTCCTTCTAGGTAATCACAGACCTGGAAGAGCAGCTAAACCAGTTGACCGAAGATAATGCCGAACTCAACAACCAAAACTTCTACTTGTCCAAACAACTCGATGAGGCCTCCGGGGCCAATGATGAGATTGTACAGCTGCGAAGTGAAGTGGATCACCTGCGCCGGGAGATCACGGAGAGGGAAATGCAGCTCACCAGCCAGAAACAAGTAAGGAGGGCACACAGGGTTGGAGAGGAAAGCTTATGTGCCTTCTGCAGAGACTTTAACCCTCACTGGTAAATGGGCTCCTTTTCAATCATCTCTTGTTGCCAAGACTTTGGGGTTTTGAAAACTATATTTTGAAAAGTATACAGTGTTCTTCTTCATTTGTTTTTAAATAATTAAGCATAATATTGAATGCTTTGGGAGTCTAGTGTGAACCACTTGATTTTAAAACTTGGTCACTTTTCCTCCCTCCCATCTTCCCTCCCTCTTGGCTTTGGGTTTGCCTCTTAAGATGGCAGCACAAATGGCCTTTCGTCCATTCATTACATTGTCCTTCCCCCTTGAGCGGTAAGATGAAAAACAGGCTGTATTTTAGACTGTGTAGTTAGGAACTTGTGCTTTTCTGAAAATGATCCCCAAAAAGTAACCTCCAGGAAATCCTCGTTTGATACAAGGCACAACTGAGTGGTACTGATTTGCAGACGATGGAGGCTCTGAAGACCACGTGTACAATGCTGGAAGAACAGGTCATGGATCTGGAGGCCCTCAACGATGAGCTGTTGGAGAAAGAGCGCCAGTGGGAGGCCTGGAGGAGTGTCCTTGGTGACGAGAAGTCCCAGTTTGAGTGCCGGGTTCGAGAGTTACAGAGGATGCTGGACACTGAGAAGCAGAGCAGGTGGGATTTCCTGTTTGCAGAAGGCCAGGGGGGCAGGTGACTGCCACTGGAGTTCCGTCAGAATGTTGAGCAGGTTGACCAGTGCTTCCAGTTGCCCTGGAGTAAAAAGTTTCCCAGGATGCCAATCTTTCAGGGTTAAGACCAGGAGATTCAGATGGACTATGGTATGTGGGTTGTCCTGGTGATATATCACTTGAATTCTGTGCAGGGGCTGATTTCCATTCACCTGGTAGTCAAGGTAAATATCTCAGTGCTTCCTTTGTATTTTATTTATCTGTTTATAAGGCAGTGCTGGGGATTTGAACTTTGGGGCCTGATGATTGGTAGGCAGGCATTCTACTACTTGAGTCATGCCTCCAGTGCTACAGTGCTTTCTTTATAGAAACATGTGCATCAAGTTTATCATCATGACCACGTGGCCATGTCACAGGACCATTGCCCTTTTAGTCCTATTGTCCTGGACTTGCCATGTTCTTCCTACTACTCCAAGCCTCCCCATCTGAAGAAGCTCTGTGACATTTTGGACTGGATAATTCTTTGTTGTGGGGGGCTGTGTTCTGCATTGTAGGATTTTGAGCATCACCCTTAATCTCTACTCATTAGGTGCCAGTAGCAATCCCCTTCCCCAATGGTGACAGTCCAGAGTGACCCTAGACATTGTCTGATGTCATCTGAGGTAGGGCAAAGTTGCTTGTAGTCCTAGCTACTCAGGAGGCTGAGATCTGAAGATCAAAAGTTCAAAGCCAGCCCCAGCAGCAAAGTCCAAGAGACTCTTATCTCCAGTTAACAACCAAAAAGCTGGAAGTGGAGGTGTAACTCAAGTCGTAAGTGTCAGCGTTGAGTTGAAAAAACCAAGCGAGAACATAAGGCCCTAAGTTCAAGCCCCAGTAATGGCATTTAAAAAAAAAAAAAAGAAAAGAAAAAGAGGAAGAGAAAAAAGATTGGAGGTATAGGGTAAGAACCTTTAGAGTTGTAAGAGGAGCTGGTAGAAATAATGCTTTTCTGGATTTTATCAGCGAGTTTGCTGGTATGAGGGGCTGTTGATTTAAGATGCTGGCTCTGCTTTTTCTCCATACCCTTGAGTTCTTCCCAGCTCATTGCAAGCTGTAGCCATGTTCTTTCCTTCTTACCCACAATCGAACCATCTCTGAATTATTTCTTAGGTCCCTTAGAGAAAATTTTGTGGGTCGGATCTGACTTCCACATCAAGGAATAACCAGCCACACATGGAAAGTATAATTATGGACCGCACTTAGAAAGACTAGCATTAGCCTACTTCCATTTCATGCCTGCTTTTAGAGTCATTGTGAAAGACCTTGGCTCCCCACTACACACATACACTTTTTTCTTTTTTAGTATTGTGTGGAATACGGAGATGAATAAAATATAAAATTCTTAATTTTTGTTCTTATGAGACTAAGAGTCTAGTGGAGAAGATAAACCATGCAGTTAACTACTTATCCCTTAAAGTAGGTTGTGATACATGCTGGAAGCAAAACACATCAGTGCTCATGTGACAGGATGAGGAGACATTGCTTTTGAGTGGAGAACTGGGGACACATTTGTGGAGGTTATGTTTGAATTTATTCTTGAAGGCTTGTGGGATTTAAGTTTATAGAGTAGGAAAAGTAGAGTTGGAGGAGGCACACAGGTCAACATGTAGAAGAGGGAAAAATAATACTTAACTGGGGAAGGGAAGTGGCTTTTCCTGTTTGCTTTGATTTTGCTATACTTTCTTTTGTTTGCCAGTGCTAGAGCTTGAATTGAGGGCCTCCAGCTCGTGACCACCTCACTACCGGTACTCTACCACTCAAGCCATGTCTCTGGTTCTAGATTTTTGCTAGTTAATTGGGAACCTGAGCTGGCTTCAAATCCTCAGATCTCCACTTCCTAAGTAGCTAGGATAATAGGTGTCAGCTACCGGTGCCTGCTGATTTTTGTATTAATTGGTGTTATTCATATATACATTCACCAGATTCACATTTCAGTTTGTTTTCCCATGAGCAACCAGAGCCCTTTCAGATGACTTAAAGACAGTGAATATTCGCCTGAATGGAGAGTGAGAGAGAGAGAGAGAGAGAGCACCTCATTCTGCATCCATGGGAATGTGTGACACCCTCCACATACTTTTATTCAGCCTGGTTGCATTTGGAAATGATTTCAGACTGAAGTACTCATCCAACTTTACTGCTTAAAGGCAATTTTACTCAGAGTCTGAAGTGGGTCACATTTTTGCTCTGTAAGCTGTCAGAAAGGAAGATGTAATTTGAAGGTAGGACTCGGGTTGGGCATCTGTCTGACGTCCAGCCTGTTTAATTGCTCATCAGGCATAGACATGGATGAGCCTCCGGCCTTCAGGCATGTGGTAGTGGGGCTTCTGAAAGCAGGCCTTGTGTTCTCCTGGCAGAGCAAGAGCCGATCAGCGCATCACTGAGTCTCGCCAGGTGGTGGAGTTGGCAGTGAAGGAGCACAAGGCTGAGATTCTTGCTCTGCAGCAGGCGCTCAAAGAACAGAAGCTGAAAGCGGAGAGCCTCTCTGATAAGGTCAGCACCCATGCCTTCTGCCTTTTAAAAATACATGTTTCCATCTTTTAAAGGTATGCAGAAACTCACATGCAATCTGTGGCAAATGTATTTCATAATCATCCATTCATTCACTCTCAGAACATCAGTAATGATTCACAGGGACCAGCTTTGGGTAGCTCATAGCATAGATAGGTATAGTGGGTGAGCATTATCATGGCTGGTCAGTAATGTTTTCAGTTCTATCTGTCTGGGCCCCAAAAGTCTACATTTTTATCTGGATGAATATCTCGGTTGTCTTCTGGCATCTTATTTCTACAAGTCTTTATGGATCTGGTGCTGAGCATCATGGGAAAGCACATGGCAGTTGTGACTAACGCTAATTCTACTGAGGCAGTTGTTGGCATCTCAGCTTCCACCTGTTACAGACTAGGGATATAATTCTGTATTAGTTCATGTTCTGTCACTATAACAAAACACTTGGACAAGGTGATTTCTGCAGAACTGGGAGTTTATCTGGAAGTTGGGCAGTCCAGGAACACAGGGCAGGCACCTGAGGAGTACCTTGATGCTGTGTCATAACATGGTGAGACAGAGTAAGTGTGTTTGCTCAAATGTCTCTTCTTATGAAGCTCCGAATGCCATCGTGGGGACCCCCATTCTTCTGACCTCATCTAAACCTAATCCGGAAGACTTCACCTCCATATACTATTAACATGTGAATTTAAGGAATTTAATTTCACACCAGAAATACATGTGTCCTGTCCATGAACCATCCCATGTTATAGTTTACAAAGTGATGTACTAGTGTTTTGGAGATATTATCTAATAGTCTCGAAAGAGATGTAGAACAGGTAACTTCCATGTTATAGGTGACATAAGTGAAGATCTGAGAAATGTTATACACATATAAAGTAGCAGTTTGAATTTTAATATGTCATGTAATTTTGTTATTGTGTGTTTATAAGAGGAATTGTTTAGTATCATTGTGGGAAATAGAGAAATCACAGAAGAGTAGAAGAAAAAAGTTGACTAAAAACCCATTCCCTTCTTATGTGGTGAATTTATTTGTAGTTGTGTGCATATGCGTAACATATTTATAAACCTAGGTACTTACTATATCTATAGCTCTCTATTTTTTTAAAACATAATATAACTGGAGGCTTTCCCTGAGTTATTAAATATTTTTTGAACATGTTATTCTGAGAAAATAAAATTGTATGTAAGTACCTAATTTAAGCATTTGCCTTATAGTGGAAATTTGGGTTTCTTCCAATTTTTTTTTTGCCATATAAATAATACTGTGATGAACATAAATCTTTTCAAACATCTGTGATTATTTCTTACTGGAAATTCATAGAGACAGAATTATAGGATTCAAGGCTACAGCTCATCTTTTAGAAACACTTCCAGTTTTGAGATTGGCCTCATGTTTTTTTGTTTTGCTTTGGTTTTTTTTTTTTAACCATGAGGAGAGAACATTTGTTATTTGGAGATAAGTAAACTCTTATATGTTTAACGGGGAAAATTTTTTTCTTGTTGGTTCCTTCTTATGCAGAGAGGGGCGGGGCGAGTTGGGAGGCTGGTACTAGAGCTTAAACTCAGAACCTGGTGCACTTACTTAGCTTTTTGGCTCTACCACTTGAGCCACATTTGCTGCTTTTTGCTGGTTAGTTGGAAGTAAGTATGTCTTACCAGATCTCAGCCTCCTAAGTAGCTAGAGTTACAGGTGTCAGCCACCATTACCTGTTAGTTGACTATCCTTGAAGTATTCAGTAGCAAAGCCCTATGTGGTTCCAGACATTTTGATACCATACTTGTTTGATCGGACTTGGGATAAATTTCTCTTTTTCATACATCACTTATCAAGTGGTCATCTGACAAGCAGTTGTGATAAGTGTACCTGTGTAGTTATAGGCATCCCCCTGCCCTCTTGACCTGATAGAAAGATCCTTGAAAATCCTTGGCCAGCCTTTTTTTCTACTCACCATAATGCCATACATGTGGTAAGCACCCAGCAAATGGTTATTTAATTAAATTCAGTTAAAACATGTCGGAGAAACAGATTGTTGAGCATTCAGCCTTGTGACAGGCACACATTTCGCCAGTCCCATAGAGACATTCCTCTTCTCCTGAGGGAGGTTTAACTTGCCATGTGGACTTGCATTTTTTCCAAATGTGATGCTTATGTTCTGACCTTTTGAACTTGGTTATCATTCCTATGTGAAGGTTTATGGATGTTGAGAAAAAAAATCCAAACTAACACCGCCCCCTTCCCTCCCCCCCAATCTCACATATGCACTTGTGGCATCATGGCCAATTTTTTCGAATGCTCAGCTCAATGACCTGGAGAAGAAGCATGCCATGCTAGAAATGAACGCACGAAGCTTACAGCAGAAGCTCGAGACTGAACGAGAGCTCAAGCAAAGGCTTCTGGAAGAGGTGAGTGAAACCCACGTGGGAATTAGAGCCAGGTAGAGCTTGAACATGAAAATTTGGTCTGTTTAGGTGGTCAGATTTTGAAATTGAAAAGCAAAATCAGATGATCATAGAATACTTTCTGGAAGATATTTTGTTGTTGTTGTTGTTGTTGTTTTGGTTCTTCATGAGGCTTGAACTCTGGGCTTGGGCTCTGTCCTTGCGCTCTTCAGTTCAAGGAGAGCGCTCTACTGCTTGAGCCACAGCGCCACTTCCGGTTTTCCAGTGGTTTATTGGAGATAAGAGTCTCAGGAACTTTCCTGCCCAGACTGGCTTTAAACCTTGACCCTCAGATCTCAGCCTCCTGAGTAGCTAGGATTACAGGCGTGAGCCACCAGCACCCGGCTTTCTGGAAGATATTTAACCCATGAAAATAATATGCCTTGAAAGGCAACGGGTCTCTCTGTCATTTGTATCCTCCGTGGTGTTGAACAAAGTGTTAAGCCGGCAGTAAGGCTGTGTTGAAAAGAGGCTTGTCAAGCACATGGCTGAATAGATATTGAGTTTAATTGTTGTTTGAAATTAATATTCAAAGTATATTAAGTTTTCATGCTGCTAGAACATTTATGCCAATTAGCTTCCTACATTGGTCTGAGATTTGATCAGATTTGCTGAACACTCCATTTCATGAGGGCTTTTGAACGTGTGCTCAATTCAATTAAAAAAATTATGCTCTGCGTTTGACATATAAAAAGTGATCTCTGAATTACCCCCCCCCCCATGTTATTTCATGTGTCTTTTCCCACAACTCTGGAAATTGCTAATTAAATTGATCCCATCCCCAACCTAAAACCCATACATTGAATTACAAATGCACTTCATGAAGCTATTTAATGAAAAGTTGAACTCCAAAGAGGGTTCCGTTTGAACTATATAGTGAGCCTGGCAGTTCAGTTACCCAGAACTCCCTGTTATATTTATCCCACTCATAGATCCTAAAGTAACTGCCATGCTGTTAAGATGGCAGAGTAGTGAACATATTGCAGGTGATTGTAAAAGTGTCTTATAAAATACTTTACAACATGAAGCTTAGGTGGGAGTCTGAGAAAGTTCTGGAGGTGGTGGTACAATAAAATCAACATTTTTTAATATCACTGAATTGTACACTTACAAATGGTTAAGATGGCCTAGCATGCAGGAGGCCTTGGACTTGATTCTTAGAACCACACACACACACACACACACACACACACACACACACACACACACACACACACGAGAGAAAAAAATTGTAAAAATGATTGATTTTATGTTATATGTTATTTGCCATGGTAAAAAAAAATGAATGAAAGTTTTGTGCACACAAGCACATATGAATGAAATCCACCAAATTGCCCCAAGAACAATATTCAGATTGAGTCCTTTATCCAACATAGTTGAGTCAGAAGTATTTTGGATTTCAGGTTTTTATTTAGTTGAGAGATCTGCATGTGTACAATGAGCCATCTCAGGGACAGAACCCACAACACAAAGTTCATTTATACTCCAGTATACAGCTTAGACTAAAAACACGTGCAAACTGAAAATAATTTTATACCTTTTCAGTGCATCTTCATTTTGGCTGTGAGATCGGATATGGAATTTTTCTTTTTCTTTTGGCTCCAGTACTTGAATCCAAGACCTGGGAACTGTTCTTTAACCTTTTTCACTCAAGGCTGGTGTCCTACCACTTGAACTACACCTCTGCTTCCAGATTTCTGGTGGTTAATTGGAGATAAGACTTCTTTGCCTAAGCTGGCATCAAACCACAATCTTCAGGTCTTAGCATCCTTAGTAGCTTGGATTGCAGGTATGAGCCACCGGCACCCACTTGGGCATAGAATTTCGTACTCATGAGACACTCCGAAAGTTTTGAAGCATTTCAGATTTGGGAGTTTTGGATTACAGATTCTCAACCAGTAATTGAACTTTCCGAAGTACCATGTGGTCAAATGGAGAATGACAGCCTTCTATCTGGAATGAATAAGCAGTGTTCCCACTTTGGGCACATGCTAGCAACAGAACAGAAATAATCAGTGCTGTTGCCCATTATTCTAGCAACAGAACAGAAATAATCCATGTTCCTGCTTGTCCTGGTCTCTCTCCCCCACCCAGAGGGTGCAGCTGGCCCTGATAGTTCACTAATTTGGTCCAAGGTTAAATGGTGAGTCAGTGTCCATGCCAGGAATAGAACACTAGGAGCCTGACTCAGTCCCCTTGTTCTCACTTCTAACCTACATAGGAACATTTCCAGCTTCCCAGTTTGTACCTCACAGATAGATATTTGAGCACAGACATCTGGTTGACAGAATTTGCAGACCGTTGAAAGTATGTGGTGTTTGAGATCCTTTGGTTATAGTGTACACTTGATAAACACCAACCCAGAGCTCAATTTAAATGTCCTCAACATAGGTGCAGAGACTTTTATTTTGGCAGAACTGGCGTGTAAACACAGGGCCTGTGCTTGCTAGGCAAGTGCTTTACCCTTTGGGCCTACACTTCTCAGAGTAGAAGAAACTGCTATGTTATCTAGTCCAAATTCCAACCATTCTTCTCTTTAGACCTGCCTCTGATAAACTTTACTAATGGGCCATTCTCCTAACTCATTGCTCTGAGACCTGAAATGGCCTTTGCAACTCTTTTGACACCATACTTTAGAATCACTACTGGTCCACTGGAAGTAACACCAGAGGAAAAAAGTATCCATTACTAATTTGTGTCAAATGCCGCCAGTCAAGGTAGAAAATCCCTTCCCCAATATTTCTCCCAAGAGGCCTTGTTGAGCCACCAAATATTTACAGTGAATATGGACATCACAACCCATTTTTTTTAGCAATTCTAATTCTTAGGAAGTTCTTTCTAATTTTGAGCTAGAATCTACAGCCTCTACCCATTGTTTCTATTATATTGAAACTCATGAAATTGGAGAATAGTATGGGTAGAGTTAACCCAAACCAGAGATTTATATTGATTAATAAACAACCAAAAGTGCCTTGTTTAATGATCAGAATAAATAAGGGACAGGGAGGTAGCTCAGTGGTAGAGTATTTCCCTAGCATACATAAAGATCTAATCCCAGCACCGCAAAAATAAAACACAACAAACAAAAATCCCAAATAATGCCTAATTAGCTCTTACTATATGCAAGATACCCGTGTACTTGTCCTTCCAACAATCCTGTGAGATAACTTATTTTTCTTATCTCTTTCAGTCAGACAACCAAATATCTCTCCTAGTTCAAATGACTTTTTTTTTTTTTCTAAATGGAATCCCTTCCTACTCCCCCAAACTTGTCTGGCAAATCAATCATTCCAAAGAGAATCTTTCAAAGTCCGTGTAGTCTGTATGTGGTCCAAGTGGGATATTTCCATGTCTTGACTGGACTCTAAATACATCTGCCAATTACCTGAATTTTGTTTTTTAAATGCGGGTCCTAGGGCTTGAACTTAGGACCAAGTTGCTGTCCCTGAGCTTCCCCTGTCTCTTCTCCTCCCCTCCCCCCCAGCCAAAGCTAGCACTCTGCCACAGTGCCATTTCCAGCTTTTTTTTTTTTTTTTTTTTTTTTTTTTTTTGTGGTTAATTGGAGATTAGAGTGTCACAGACTTTCCTGCCTGGTCTGTCTTCAAACCATGATCCTCAGATCTCAGTCTCCTGAGTAGCTAGGCTTACAAGCATGAGCCACTGGTGCCTGGCTTTACCTGGGCTCTGTTAGGTAGTTGAATTATACCATTGACAGCTATTGACCTATTATATCTGATCTATTTCACAAAATTAAAAAAAAATATGATCTACATTTACTCTGTTGCTTTTTTAAAAAAAAAATCTATTAAACTTCTTGTTGACTTTGCTTCATCCATCCTGCTCACTGGAGTAGTTTCATGTACCAGGCAGCGCCCAGCAACTTGGTGCACCTGCTTAGTTTCTTGTTGCAAGCGTGCGCGCACACACACGCACCTGCTTAGTTTCTTGTTGCACACACACACACACACACACACACACACACACAGAGTGTTGGACAAGTTTAAACACATCAGTAGGACCCACCTCTCAGTCTAACAATGACTATGAACACGCCTTTATTTGTCTCCCAGAACAGTAGCTTAAATGGCTTTGAAAAGCATTTCATCATGGTCTGATTCTCCATGAAGGGCTCATTGTCCTGAAGATCACCTCCATACCCTGCTCAGCTCTTCTTAGAGAGAGGCGAGAAGGGAGAGAGAGGAAGGCAGGCAGTAAGGTTATTTCATAGATGTAAATGTCACTCTTTCTTTTTATTATAGTAAATAACCAGCCTATTTCTTGGAAAGCCAATGGACAGTTGATGTGTTTATTCCAGAAAGATGTTTGGAGCCCAGCTGCCAACCAAATAGATCCTTGTTCCTATCACTTGTTTGTCTGGTTCCTGACTACTAATTAATGTTATCTTAAAATAGTGGGAAGAAACTAAAGAGGATAATTTATGGAAGGAAGAAACCATCTTGTACTTGTGTATGCGTTTGTGGGGGGGGGGGGGAGAGCGATACCTCCTTTTCAGAGGGCATCTTAGCTGGGTTTTTTTTAATTATTTTTTTCTTAAGGGATTGATTAAGTTCCAATTTATGCACCCGGGCCCAGTGATCTTTAGTATCTCTTGTTATAGATGAGTTGTTGGGAAGAGGCAGTGGGGAACATAAGGGGAACATTGAATTGGGTGGAAGGAAAAAAGAGGGATATAGGTAATGGAGCATACCAACATTCATTAAGCACCTACTGTCTGCTATGCACTGTGTTCAGTCTATCTTCCAGAAAGGCAGGGTATACCCAACCCTCAGATAAAGAGAATGAAGCTCTAAGAGGCAATCTGAGATGCCTGCCCAAGATCATATTTCTGCCAGGATTTAAACTAGGGCCTGGAAGATTCCAGAGTCCAGGTTCTTCTTCTTCCAACACAATGTCCCAGGGAACCAGTTACCTCTTAAGAGAAAGAAGAAGAAATAGGAAGCAAAACACAGACAGACAGAAGTGAATTAAGAGGAAGACTACCAGCAAATTCTGGTCATTTGAAAATTCCCTTAAGGATGTAAATCGTTCTTTCCTGGCTCTCTTTCTCTAAATCTCCAGGGAGTCTGAGGCAGTAGGAAAGAGATTGTTTGGGTCCCAGCCAGGATGGTTAGATGATAACCCAGTTTTTGGATGAAATCAAGCAGTATCCCGTTGAGATGGAACACATTTAGGAAAAGATACACACATTTTAGGAAAGTGAGCCATAAAACCAGTATCTCTATAGTCTGCCCTATTTTCTGGTTGACTTCCATTGTAAAAACTGCAAGAGATTTTCAGCACAAAACTACTTCCAGTACAAGTAACTGATTCCGTGCCCCCCCCCCCCCCCGCCCATTATTGCCAATTCCTGTGCTGAATCTGGATCTTGCTCTTCCTTTATCCTCACATTGCAGGTATATGCCCTAGAATTGTGGCTTTCTGTTCCTGTGGGCAGTCGTGAGGTTTGGGGTGGTGTGATCCTTTCTGTGCAACACACACTGCCTGTACAGTGATTTTTCCAGACGACATTGAGATCCTAGGAGGGGGGAAAAAAAGGAACAAATGGAACTGAGTGGTCATAGCCATTGGGAAGTCAGACTTGTAGATCCTGTGGCTGTGGCCATCCAAGTTTTCTTTGCAAATTCTGAGAAGGGAGGGGGGAGGCGCACGCACGAGAGAGAGAGAGAGAGAGAGAGAGAGAGAGAGAGAGATTGTTTGCCTAAGGCTGGCACTCTACCATTTGAGCCATAGTTGAGAGAGTTTGTTTGCCTAAGGCTGGCACTCTACCATTTGAGCCATAGTTTTTGGTAGTTATTTGGAGATAAGAGCCTCACAGACTTTTCTGCCCATGCTGATTTCAAACTGTTAACCTCAAATCTCAGCCTCCTGAGTAGCTTGAATTACAGACATGAGCCACCAACCTGGCTACACTTCTGGATTTTTCTTTTCTTTTTTGCTGGTGAATTGGAGATGAGAATTTTCCAATCTGCCTGTCCTTGCTGACTTTGAACAGAACCTCAGTCTTCAGATCTCAGCCTCTTTTTTTTTTTTTTGGTCGGTCGTGGGGCTTGAACTCTGTGCTTGGGCGCTGTCCCTCAGCTCTTCAGCTCAAGGTTAGTGCTCTACCATTTGAGCCACAGTGCCACTTCCAGTTTTCTGAGTGGTTTATTGGAGATAAGAGTCTCACGGACTTTTCCCTGCCTGGGCTGGCTTTGAACCATGATCCTCAGATCTCAGCCTCCTGAGTAGCTAGGATTACAGGCATGAGCCACCAGCACCCAGCTCAAGATCTCAGCCTCTTGAGTAGCTAGGATTATAGATGTGAGCCACTTATAATGCCTGGCTCTCAAATTCTTTTTTAGCTGTGGTCCATATCATCTTAGCAGACAAATGGTAATTCTGGAAGGAGATGCTTTCAAAAGCGCAACTGGTATCATGCTGGACATGAGCTGGGAAGAGGACAAGTAGGGAGCCATGTGTGTTCTGTGAGGTATTGAACCTTTCTCTGGCTCTTCTCCCCACTTAGCAAGCCAAGTTACAGCAGCAGATGGACCTGCAGAAGAACCACATTTTCCGTCTGACTCAAGGCCTACAAGAAGCCCTTGATCGGGCTGACCTGCTGAAGACAGAAAGAAGTGATCTGGAATACCAGCTGGAAAATATTCAGGTGAGGAGTGGCAGGGGAAATCTGTTTAAAAAAAATGCAATGCTATAAGTAAACACACTGGATGATATGCAAGTGATTTCAGATGAATTAACTGAAGTATAAAAGAGTCTATGGAGAGTTCAAATAGTATAATTCTTTAGAAGGACAAAGTTAAAGCTCAACAAAATAAGCACTGGGAAATGGGTACTTGCAAGGAGGTGGGAAAGGGAGGAGGGTGAGAGGAGAGTAGATGAATGAAGGGAGAAAGGGAGGATGTAATGAAAAATGCATTGTATATGCCACAAAATTAAGAGAAATAAGAGGAGGAGTGTATCATGGGTGTGAAAATGTTGTAGGGGGTGATACAGATCAAGATGCATTGTATGCACAAACGCGTTTGTTAAATTGCAAAATAATTCAATACATATCCTACAAAATTAAGAAAAGTAAGGAAAGTGGGGGGTTGGGAGGGAGGGAGGAGAATGGACTGTGTTCATAAACTGCTGTGTTGAATGGCAGTTCTTTTGGACAACCATTTAATGATAATAACAAGTATATATATTTAAAAACCTGAATGAAGGGCTGGGGAAGTAGCTCAGTGATAGAGCGCATGCTTAGCAAGAGCAACGTGCTCACCTTGCACCCTCTGCCTCCAAAACAATTGTGTTCAGAGGCAAGACATGATGGTAAGTATCTTCATGTTGTATAATGTTGTATGACACATTTCGTTACCCCAGCATTGGATCCTAAAATTAGTCATTGACTTTTTTTTTTTTCTTTTTCATCTAGCTTTTCATTTATCCTTTTTTTTTTAAAACCTTGTAATGAAATCAGGACAAAATATGTATTAGCCCAGTGCTGTTGGTGTTGAATTTCCTCTGCCTAGTAGCTTGAAACCTACTTTGTTTTAGCAGTACTGAGGGTTGAACTCGGAACCTTGTTCTTTCTAATCAGATGCTCTACCACTGAGCTACACCTCTAGCATTTTTTGCTTGTTATTTTTTGAACAGGGTCTTATATTTTTTTTCCCCAGTCTGGCCTGGGCTGCCATTTGCCTTTTTATATTTCTTGTATACATGGGATGACAGGCACTTGCCATCAACCAATATGTCCAGTATTTGGCTGAGATAGGGTTTCACTGACTTTTTTCCATAGCTGGCCTCAAATCATGATCCCTCATGAATCATTGTTCCCATCCCCATCTCTGTGTGTGTGTGTGTGTGTATCTATCTTTATTTGTGTGTTACTGGGGATTGAACTCAGAGCCTTGTGTATGCTAAGCAAGCACTCTACCACTGAGCTACCACCCCAGTTTTTTTTCTTAAACGTACCAAATTTAAAAACCTTCTTCTGTCTAGACTCTGAGGTGTTTTTCCTCCCCCCATGAATTTTAGGTCCTCTATTCTCACGAAAAGGTGAAAATGGAAGGCACTATTTCTCAACAAACCAAACTCATTGATTTTCTCCAAGCCAAAATGGACCAACCTGCTAAAAAGAAAAAGGTGGGTCAACGTGTTTGACATAGGGCAATTGTTAGTTCAATTCCATCCATTATGAGTCAGCAGACATATTAATCAAAGGTATATAGAAGAAAAATTTGCATCTTTTTTTTTGGGGGGTGGGTGGGAAAATAGGTATAGATGTAATTAGAATAGTCTTTATCAGTGGGTGTCACTGATCACATCCAACAAATGGTTCATGCCATCAGAATCATCCTGCCTTTCTCTAAGGGAGTGATTTTTGTTTTTTCCTCCCATGAAGTGGTTAGGGCATGGTGGGAGTGGTGTGCACAGAGAGAGGTTAATACACAGGTGATAGATGCTCGACTCCAAACAGGTTTGAAGGTCCTATGTACTGGACTCTGACGGGATTGGCAGGTCGTGTGTATAGGGCTTCCGAGAGACAAGTAGGGCATAGGCCAGAGACTCTTGTGTGTAGTTCTTAGGTCATCTGTGTGGGACTTGAGGATGGGCTTAGAATGATCTAGTCTCATTTAGTTATTTAGTTTAATTTCAAGGCAGTCTTGTTGTGTAAGCCCAGGCTGGCTTGTAACTTACTATGTAGCCTTGGTTTCCCTCGAACTCACTACCTTTCATCCTCAGCCTCCTGAGGTTTGGGATCACAGGTGTATACCTCATACCTTAGCTAGTCTAATGCCTTTAATTGGCTAACAAAGACCCAAGAAGTTGAAATGACCTGCCTAAGAGCTGATCCCTCCTCTCTGATGTTGTACCATTCTGCTGCCACTGTTTCTATGGGAAAGGGTTTGATAACCCGGAATCCTTAGGAGAAAGGTGTGGAGGCTGGGGGTTGGGGAGAGGGGGTGTCCCTGGTTGGTTCCAGTGATTCTGGTGCTCTCTGTCCTGTAAGGGGTGAGCACAGCATTTCACGGGTTGCTTCCTGCTGAGTGTGGACCTCACGGAAGGATTTTCTTGCGTTTTGAGTGGCCGTATCTTATACTCACGATAATTTAATCTTCTTTATTTTAGCAGCGGACTGTTGTCTGGTCATGTCACTCAATGTTGTTGGGGTGTCCATTTCTTTTTCTTTCCATTTTTATTGTCGTGCATTTTTTCCTTTCCATGTCCATTCAATGTTTTCATTTCGTCTATTTTAGTAAGCCCCCTTATTTTGATATCATTTTAAATTTTTTGTGTTGTATTTTTTTTCCCCCTCCCCAAAACATCTTTCTCTGTGTCTTGTAACGAAGCACCATGAGACAAGTTCAAAGGCAAGAGTAACCTCTGAACCAGCCCTCCTGGCTCCATACTCCATCTCTCCTGGTTCCATTTTTTTGAGGGGGAAAGACTCTCGGGAAATGACTCTCCTGTCCTGGGAATGCTAAAGGAAGAGGTGGAGGCCGTTCAAGCATCTTTAAACCTCTTGGCGAAAACTTCCACCCTCCCCTCCCTCTCCCCCTCCCACACTTACATTTTTTTTCAGCTGTCAGGAACGGGCTGAGGCTCAGCCTCCCCCTTCCCCCCTTCACATGCCATTTTTACTAAACACACTTACAGTGAGTATGCGCCTGGCCTTGGTGGGTTGTTCCTCCCGAGTCAGCTTTCCTCTAGCTAGCGCACAGTGCCAGTTTCAAGGAGTTAGGAGATATCTCTGTTTCCATTGCTAGGGTTTATTTAGTCGACGGAAAGAGGACCCTGCTTTGCCCACACAGGTTCCTCTTCAGTACAATGAGCTGAAGCTGGCCCTGGAGAAGGAGAAAGCTCGCTGTGCAGAGCTAGAGGAAGCTCTTCAGAAGACCCGCATTGAGCTCCGGTCCGCCCGGGAAGAAGGTAGGGGCTCTGTTTCTGTCAAATGTTCTAAACCTATGATGGGCAAGATCAGATAGTTTGTTTTCAGTGAGATTGGTCAAGACTAGTTCTGCAACTTGGTTACGGTTCATGCGCTTACAGTCCAGATCTGACATGATTTCTAGTCTCCTTGGGATGGCCATGGTGGCGTGGTGCATGGCCTTTTGGTCTTGGGGTAACTCGAAAGGCAACCTGGGGGCAGTCTGCTTGGTTTGGGCCCTTTTGGCAGTTCAGTTAACCGACAGGCGTTGTACTGGTGTCTCCGCAGCTGCCCACCGCAAAGCCACGGACCACCCACACCCGTCTACGCCAGCCACTGCAAGGCAGCAGATTGCCATGTCTGCCATTGTGCGGTCACCCGAGCATCAGCCCAGTGCCATGAGTCTGCTTGCCCCGCCCTCCAGCCGTAGGAAGGAGTCTTCAACTCCAGAGGGTATGTATTTGTCTTAACTCTGTTTCCTGTGGCTATGACAAAACTCTCTGAGACTGGGTGGCTAATAAGTTTATTTGGCTCCTGGTTCCAGAGACTGGGAAGTGTGTACACCAGTATCAGATGGGGTCTGGTACTGCATTTCAGCATGGCAAGCATGAGGAACAGAATTGTCCAGCTCAGCTGTCCCTTCTTCGTATGAAAACATACCATCCCCCTGTGGGGGTGATGACTGCATTTAGCTCTAATTAGTTCCCAGGGCCTTACCTTAAACTTACCTTAAACTTTCAACGTGCCAATGTGGAGGTTATATTTTCAACACAGGAATTTGCAGAAGCTGGGTGCTGGTGGCTCTAATCAGAGCTACTCAGGAAGCTGAAATCTTAGGATCATAGTTTGAAGTCAGCCTGGACAGCAAAGTCCATGAGGCGCTTATCTCCAATAAGTTACAAAACAACAACAACAACAAAAAATAAAAAAAAAAAAACAGAAGCGTTACTGTGGCTCAAAGTGGTAGAACATTAGCCTTGAGTGAAAAGCTGAGGGATGAGTTCAAGCCCCATGACCGACTGAAAAGAAAGAACTTTTGCGGGACTCACTCAAACCAGATCTGTGCTTAAGGGTTGGAGTCATCCAGATTTTGTTTTCAACTTTCTAACAAATGCAAGCTTTTGGTTAAAAAAACCAAAAACATAACAGGTAATTCTAAAGAAATAAGAGAGTAAGAAGTACAGTAAGCCTTCCTTCTGCATTCCTTACTCAGAGGTCAGCCATTTCAATCTTCCAGCGATGGTTCATGCATGCAACCACATCTGTATTAACTCATGAGTGTTACATGAATCTAAGACTATGAGAATATTTTTCTTAGCCCTGTTTAAATATCATAGCATACTATGCTATATACTGCAAAAACCTTTCAATGTTACCTTAGAACATTTCCTATTCATGTTTGGAATTCGTGGTATGGTCCTATCTTCGCATACTGAAACAGGCCTTTGTCGGTGGGTGCTGTGGTTGTATGTGGTTACAGTCTCTTATTGCACATAAATAACATCCTATACCACTGTGGGTTTCATGGCTGTGCCATAAATCCTTGGGGGAAATGGACCATTGGGTTAAAGGTTCTGTGCATGTCAAGTTTTGGTAGTATGTGCCACTGTATAGATGACTTCCACCAGGTTAAGGAGTTTTCTTTGTCGTCTCAAAAGTACTCTGTCACCTAGACATGAAGTGCACTTTATAAAGGCCATGGAAAATGGCTGGAAAATAAGAGCGGAACTATGCTTGAGCATCACGGTGTCTTTATCCTGCCCTACTTCAGTTGTGAATCTTGATGGCATTTTATTGTGTCTGTTGGAGAACTTACCAGAATGGGATTCAGAGGTTTGCATCCTGAGCTTTCCTCTTTTCGAAGTTGCCTCTAATTAGCTAGGTCACCCAGGAAGCCGAGCCTGCTCCATGGTGGGAACAAAGGGATCAGCCCTTTTAACAGACTTGAATCTAAAAGCAAGATCAGTACTTTGAGACTAAAAAAGTTAAGTTTTGGACAAAAGGCTAATCATGAAAAAAAAAAAAAAGCCTTTAAAGAATTCTCCAGTTTTTACATGTAATAATGAGAAATTCCTTAATAATATAAATTTAAATTGGGTTCTGCCAAGCTCTTAGATATCCTATTTCATCTGGAAAGCAAAGACTTGTGACTAAAATATTTAACACCTTATGTATTTGCCTTCACACACATCCATGCCATCATGATAGTCTTCCCCTGGGAATGTGTTCTTAATTAAAAGCTCATTCCTAATAGCCAGGGATGGAAGCTTTTGTTTTATTTTATTTTTTCAGTTGTGGGGCTTGAACTCAAGGCCTGGGCACTGTCCCTGAGCCTCTTTGTACTCAAAGCTAGTGTTCTACCACTTGGGCCACAGTGCCACTTCTAGTTTTTGAGAAGTTAATTGGAAATAAGAGCCTCATGGGGACTTTTCTGCCCAGGCTGGCTTTGACCCACGATCCTCAGATCTCAGCCTCCTGAGTAGCTAGGATTACAAGTGTGAGCCACCTGTCTCCAGTTGTGGGGGTTTTTAATTCATTCAGGATGTGAATCCCTAATCAGAGATGTGATTTGCAAATGCTTATGTTCCCATTCTCTGAGTTGTCTTCACTTAATTTTTTTCCCCTCCAGAATTCAGCCGGCGTCTTAAGGAGCGCATGCACCACAACATTCCTCACCGATTTAATGTGGGATTGAACATGCGAGCCACCAAGTGTGCTGTGTGTCTGGACACTGTGCATTTTGGACGCCAGGCATCCAAATGTCTTGGTAAGAGTTGTGGTCACACATCTGTGGTGGGCACCTGCATACCTCCGTCTGAAAAAATCCATCAGGGAAGTGTACATTTGTTTGTTTGCTTTTTGGTTGGTTGTGGGGCTTGAATTCAGGGCCTGGATGCTGTCCCTGAGCTTCTTTTGCTCAAGGCTAGTGCTCTACCACTTTGAGCTACAGCACTACTTCTGGTTTTCTAGAAATAAGAGTCTCGTGGACTTCCTTTCTTGGGCTAGCTTTGAGCTGTGATCCTCAGATGTCAGCCACCTGAGTAGCTAGTATTTACAGGCATAAGCCACCAGTACCCAACTATTTTTTTTTTTTCCCTAGTCTTGGGGCTTGAACAGACAGGATTGAAGCCAGGAAAACTGAGTCTAGTGTGTGGCTCTCTCGAGTCCTCTTTTCCCTGGAGCCTGGTACTCAGGACAGCAGAGGGGTTGCCTGGAGGCCCAGCCTCACTGACAGGAGCCTGGCTGGGGATAGAGGAGACCTGGGTTTGGCAGGCAGAGGAAGGGAGCTATCCAAGCTCAGTTGGGCTTGTTTTCATTCCCCTAGAATGTCAGGTGATGTGTCATCCCAAGTGCTCCACCTGCTTGCCAGCCACCTGCGGCCTGCCTGCTGAGTACGCCACGCACTTCACTGAGGCCTTCTGCCGGGACAAAATGAACTCCCCAGGCCTCCAGAGCAAGGAGCCCAGTGGCAGCCTGCACCTGGAGGGGTGGATGAAAGTGCCCAGGTACTATTACAGGGTGGTGTGTGCTTGGGCAAGTGCTGCCTTAGACCCTGTCCATTCCTTGATGGTTTCTAGAAAAATGTGTGTGTGTGTGTGTGTGTGTGTGTGTGTGTGTGTGTGTGTGTGTGTGTGTGCGCGCGCGTGCGTGCTTGTTTGAGTGTTGATAATGGGGCTTGGACTCAGGGCCTAGACTCTGTCCCTGAGCTCAAGGATACTGATCTACCGCTTTGAGCCATAGCACCACTTCTGGTTTTCTAGTGGCTGATTGGAGATTAGAGTCTCACAAACTTTCCTGTCCAGGCTGGTTTTAAACCATGATCCTCAGATCCAGGCCTTGTTAATAGCTAGGATCACAAGCCTGAGCCACCAGTGCCTGGCTGAAGAAAGAACTTTTTGAGGTTCACTAACCCTCTTACCCCCAACTGCAGCCTGACTCAGTTTCTGAGTCCAGGCATTTCCCTGGTCCTTCTTTCTTTTTCCAGGAATAACAAACGAGGACAGCAAGGCTGGGACAGGAAGTACATTGTCCTGGAAGGATCCAAAGTTCTCATTTATGACAATGAAGCCCGAGAAGGTAAATTAATAATTCAGGGGGGGAATTTCATTGCACGTGCGGCTTCACCCGAGACTCCCAGTGTTGGCCTTTGGAAGGCTTCGTTTTCTGTTTTGTTTTTGGTTATTTATTGATTTTTTTTTGTTTTGGACTGCCTCGCGAGCCTTCTGCGCTTTCCCATTTTGCAAGTTAAAAAGCCAGATGACTTCTCTAAAGGTTATTGGTGCGATACTCACATCTATAGGTCTTCCCCCCGAAGGACCCGCAGGGTGCCGTCCCGAAGATTCCACCTGCTAATACACCTTCAGAGAACTTCCGCCTCAGCCAACTAACCCATAAATCCGCATCGTCATCAGAAATTTGACGGTGCCTCTCATCTGACACACTTTATTTTTTTTTATCTTCCCTCTCTGCCTCCTCTGCACACCTTTCCCCCACCCTTGTCCTCGTGCACCTTCCTACACGCGTACCCTGTCTCTCTCCCTCCTTCTCTTCTCTTCTCTTCTCTTCTCTCTCCCCTCGTTCTTCTTGTTCCTGTTCTTTTGTTTTTCTTTCTGCCTTTCCTCTTTGTACCAAGCTGGACAGAGGCCGGTGGAAGAATTTGAGCTGTGCCTTCCCGACGGGGACGTATCTATTCATGGTGCCGTTGGTGCTTCTGAACTCGCAAACACAGCCAAAGCAGGTGAGGTAGAGCCCCGGGGGATCCCCATTGTGGAGGTGGGCTGGGTGTGGCAGATCAGGAAGGGGACACGGAGGGTTGGCTTTGTGGAGGAGGCCCACCTTCCTCTGCTCTGCGGCTTAGCTGTCCCTGGGATATGAAGACTCTAGCAGGGTCTCTCCTATCTCAGGGCCATCCGTGCCAGTAGATTGGAGGCAATGCACACCCCCAATCCCATACTTTCTGAAATCTCCTAGATGTCCCATACATACTGAAGATGGAGTCTCACCCACATACCACCTGCTGGCCAGGGAGAACCCTCTACCTGCTGGCTCCCAGCTTTCCTGACAAGCAGCGCTGGGTTGCCGCCTTAGAATCAGTGGTCGCAGGTGGGCGAGTTTCAAGAGAAAAAGCAGAAGCTGATGCTGTGAGTATAAACCTGGAGCCCTGGAGCTTGCTTTGTTGAGTGGGTTGACCTTGGGTAACCGATCCCAACACTGGCGATGCCATTAGCTGGCTCAGTTTCCCTCTCTCGGAGGGGCAATGGCTGCAGACTGGCCTGGTCAGTTTGTGGTGGAGTTGAAGGCACAGGCTCCAAGGCCACGGTGGGGCGGCAGCAGTCAGCTCAGGAGCGGCACGGTGGAGCCATGCCAGTGTGCTTATGGTCCTGCCTCCTGTTTACTCTGGTTCATTCGTTTGATTGGAAGGCTTGCATTGTGAGCCACAGGGCTGCACAATAGTTCCCCAACAGCCACATCCACTTCAGGAGGGTTTTCAAAACCTTCCTGGCTGCTTTTGCAGTACACTTATTCACCCTTCTGTAGGCAGGTTTGGAATCCTCCTTTTCCATAAGATGTGAGAAGTGTAGGTGCCTTGATTGACATCACTCCCCCTAAAACATTCTAAGATGCAAACATCACTTCTCTCTCATTGGTGTTTGCCCCACCAAAGACCAGATACTTAGCTTTTAATAAATGCTTCAAATCTTAGCAATGGGGGAATTCTTCACCGTGGGCATCCAGAAAAGAGCTTTTGCTGGTTTGTTTGGATGAACTGTTTCATAGTTACCTGTGTGAGCCTTTGACTGAAATCCACGTTAATGTGTGCACAATAGGCCCGTGGCTGTACTTCCTACAAGCTTCTGCCTGCATGGGTTCAGGTAAAGAGAGCCCAGGGCTTGTTTGCTGCTGATGCTGTGCTTTGCACCTTTGCTGCAGCTTAGTGGGGAAGAACCTTCCATGTGGCTTATTAATCTATTGCAGGTGACATCTCTGTAGTTTCAGCTTATTTCCTATCATAGAAGAACTTCCTGTGCCCGGGACATTCAGTGCCTTCTGCCTCCAAGTTGTAACTTGTCTCATTAGAACCTGTCCCAGAGACACCAGTTAATACCATGTCTTACTTTGCAGCCTCTTGGAGCCAGAGATTTGGGATATGGCTCAGTGGTAGAGTGCTTGCCTAGCATATGTGAGGCTCTGGGTTCAGTCCCCAGCACTGCCAAAAAAACAAAATGGGTTGGGGTGGTGGTGGTGTGCAGAGCAGTGCAATCTAAGAGCAGATGTGTGTTTCTGACCTTCACTTTAAATTTCTTATTGTTTTTCTGGATGGGTTGATGATGAACAGATGAATCTATGTCGTCATTGTTTTCTTTTTCTTTTGCATATGGAAAGAAATTGCTTGGAAACTCCCTGCTGAAACTGGAAGGGGATGACCGCCTAGACATGAACTGCACCCTGCCCTTCAGTGACCAGGTAATGTGTCCCATGCTCTGTCAGCTGGCAATGGGTTCGAGCCTCCCGTATTAAGAAAGAAAGGGTCGAGAAAGCTTTGTTGCTTCTGCTCTGGGATGGTCCTGAAGACCTTCCTGTGCTTATGTTCTGTCTCTGGAATTCTTCTACCTTCACAGGTGGTGCTTGTGGGCACCGAGGAAGGGCTCTATGCACTGAATGTCTTGAAAAACTCCTTAACCCACGTCCCAGGAATTGGAGCCGTCTTCCAAATTTACATCATCAAGGACCTGGAGAAGCTACTCATGATAGCAGGTCTGAGGCCAGGACGCCTTTGGTCTTTTTGTTTAGTCTGGAAGGAAACAGTTTGAGGGCTGTATTTCGTGCTGGTGATAGTCGAAGGCTGGCCCTCCTGGCAGCCATTGGCTCAGTGTGGTTCTTTCCTCTGTGTGTCTGTTGATTCCAAGCCTCTCGCTATGTTTGCTTTCCTTGTAGCATCCAATCTAGCCTAGGCTTACAGCCCCAAGGAGTAACTCATCATTTTCCCAAGTGGAGGAAGCTGTATTAGTCCACTTTCCTCTCTAGAATGAAATACCAGAGGCAAGTTACTAATGACAAAGAAGGTGTATTTGGCTCACAGTTCTGGAGGTTCAAAGTGCAGAGGGCACAGCGTTGGCCATGTGAATAGAACGTCCAGGAATGTGGGCTGGAGCAAGCAGATCACATCTCCATTCAGGATGGCTAGGTGGATGGCCAGGTGGGACTGGGGATTTCTCCCTTTAACTCTGGGCAACCATCTTCTGAGAATGCACCACCCTTTGATCTATGAACTCTGTACTTGGCCCTGCCTCTCAAAGACTCCACAGGGTCTTCCAAAAGGACCGCCCTAGGGACCAATCACACGGACACTTGAGGGATTTCCCAACCATGTCTAATCACAGGAAGGGACAGGCCTCAAAGACTCATTGAAGTCCAGCCCTTTGTTCTGATTTCATCTGTACCACGATACATCATGTCCCACGAGTGCTTCCCCATGACATGTGATCCCTACGAGAGGGCTATGTGATCTCTCTTAGTCTAGGTCTTCTCTTAGACCTTTTGTCCAGATTCACCACTCACTAATACCTTACGGGTTTTTTTTTCTCTCTCTTCCTTTCCCCCCGCCCCCCCATGACTTATTTGAGTTAATTTTAGGAATGTTCTTCAGCATTTCAACCCAAGAGTAAGGGCATTCTTTTACATGAATATGACACAATCTGCTTTTCTCTTCTTTGGCAGTACTTTTTTTTTTTTTTCCTTTTAAGAGCAACCAATAATTTGTCACCTCAGTATTTAAGACATCTGTTAGTTAGGCTATGTTTTAGGCATGGCTGGATTCAGTGACTGAAATAATAGGATCAGGAGGTATCTTTTCTCGATCACTCAGCTCTTTGCTTCCTCTTCTCTCCCACTTCTCCCTCTTTCCCTCCTCCCCTGATTGTGTTTAAGAGAAGTGTTAAAATTTTTATCTTTAAGAGCTTTTATTTTTAAAATTATTTTAAAGTACTTGGACAAAGGAATTGCCATGTAACAAGGCAGTTTACAAATGCGATGTGTTTTGATCAACACTGGTGCGTCTTGATCAATATCACCTTCCATCGTTCTCTCCATCTCTACCAACCTTACTCATCCCCTCAAATTATAGGGCAGTTTTACATACACAGCAAACCAAGAGGAAGGTCTGGAGATTTCCCCTCCACCCCGCCCTCCACATTGCACATGGCCTTTGCACTGTCAGCATCCCCATCCAGCGGAGCATTTGTTACTATCTGTGGACTTCACTGACACATCATTATCTCACCAAGCCCATAGCTTACGCTACGTCTACTCTCGTAAATTGTATGGGTTCTGACCAATGTATGGTGATGTGTGTCATAGTGTAACATAGAAAATAGTTTCATATGGTACAGTGTTTGCATTCAGGATCTTTAACCCTGGTTTCTGATGTAATTATCTGCTATTTTATCTCTTGTCAGATTTTACCTGTGACTCCAATAATGCTTTGTTATAGTGCCCCTCCCCCCAGTTCATGATCTAGGCCTAAGAGTAATTGCATTTAAACATATATTGCAAGCATTCTTCCATATGGAATGGTTCCATCCTTTTCTTCCTTTACATCACATATTTGCATAGTTCAGGCCTGTTGCTTTATAGCATGTATCCTCATTGTTCCTGCGCCTAGGAGCATATTTGAAAATTCAGCTCACATTCTCCAATTTTATGGCTGCAGGTTCTTTCTCCGAGAATCTTGACTAAAAGTCCAACTCTCCTTCTCCTTTTTCTTTTCCTCCTCTTCCTCTTCCTCCTCTTCTTCTTCCTTCTCCTTCTTTTCCTTTTTCCTTCTTCATGTGTGTGTTTTAATTGATTGTTTTATTGGGGGTGCTGGTTCCTGGACTTGAACTCAGGGACTTGTGCTCAGCTTTTTCCTTCAGGGCTGGCACTCTACCACTTGAGCCACACCTCCAGTCTGGCATTTTGCTAGTGAATTGGAGCTATAGTATCTTGGACTTTCCTGTCTGTGCTGGCTTTGAATTGTGATCTTTAGATCTCAGCCTCTTGAGTAGCTAGGATTATAGACAGGAGGCAATTATTCTCCATCTTTCTTTTTTCCTCTACCCTTGCTCTCATTCCCCTCAACAGACGCATAGCTAGAATCACATTTTATGTATGTATGTATGTACGTATGTATGTATGTATGCATGTGCATCATGCATGTGTGTGTATACTTCCTTTGCCCATGAATATGCATATCCTTTAAATCAAGCATCCACAGATGAGTTAAAAAGGTCAAAAAAAAATTTTAAATCTTAGATCTAAAGCACAGGCCTAAAATATGCTCACAGATTGAACATCCCTAATTAGAAAACACAGAATGATCCAAAACTTAAACCTTTTTGAATGCCCACGTGAAGCCACAGGTGGACCTTTCCACACCTGCCCTCATGTGCTGGAGCACAGTTCAAACCACAGGTGTGCTAAACACACTGTATAAAATTACCTTTGGGCTAGGTGACTAACACTAGGAAGTATCTACGCTGCACAAGTGCGTTTTGGTGCCTAGACTTGGATTTCATCCCCACGCTACCTCATTTATGTAGACACAAAAATTCCAAAACCTGAAAGTAAAGCCCTCGTAGTCCCACACACTGGGGATGGGGGACACTCAGCGTGCTGTAGGAGGATAGTGGGGGATTCTGTCTGTGCCATGGCTCCATGGCTCTCTGTGACCCTGCGTGGCCCCCAGGTGAAGAGCGAGCCCTGTGTCTGGTGGATGTGAAGAAGGTAAAGCAGTCCCTAGCGCAGTCGCACCTTCCCGCCCAGCCCGACATCTCGCCCAATGTGTTCGAAGCTGTCAAGGGCTGCCACTTGTTTGGTGCAGGCAAGGTAAGTTCTCCTCTGGCCTCTGCTGGTGGAATGTTCTTGAAAGTTGCACAGCCCCTCCTCCCTTGTCGAACTTACTGATTTAACCTTGAAAACTGGGTGTTATGAGACTAGCTTAAATTTCTTCTTCTGGGTGCCAGTGGCTCACGCCTGAAATCCTAGCTACTTAGGAGGCTGAGATCTGAGGATCACAGTTCAAAGCCAGCCCCAGCAGAAAGTCCCTATGAGACCCTTATCTCCAATTAACCATTCAAGAACTGGAAGTGGTGCTGTGGATCAATTGGAAGAGCTCTAGCTTTGAGCAGGAAGAGGCGCACAGCACTCAGACCTTGAGTTCAAGCCTCACAACCAACAAAAAAAAATTTCTTCTCTTTCCTTCCTTCCTTCCTTTCCTTCCTTCCTTCCTTCCTTTCCTTCTTTCCTTCCTTCCTTCCTTCCTTCCTTCCTTCCTTCCTTCCTTCCTTCCTTCCTTCCTTCCTTCTTCTTTTTCTTTCTCCTCCTTTCTTCTCCTCCTCCTCCTTTTTCTTTTTCTTTTGCTGGCACTTGGGTCTTGAACTCAGGGCCTTTCATTTACTGAACTGGCCCTCTTGAGTCATGCCTCCAGTTCCGCTTTTTGCTCATTATTTTGGAGATGGAGTCTCTCACACATTTTTGCCTGGGCTGGCTTCACATTGTCATACTCCAAGTCTCAGTCTCCTGGGTAGCCTGGACTACAGGCATGAGCCACACACAGGTGATTCTGCCTTTCTGGGGACATTTGGTAATGTCTAGAGACATTCAGATTATCCAACTGGAGGTGTTGCTGGCCTCTAGTGAGCCATGGCCACAATGCTGCCTATCTCCCTGTAGTGCACAGAATGCTCTTTGTCCCTCAGCACAAAGAACCATGTAGTCTGTCAGATATCAGGAGTGCCAAGGTTGAGAGACTCCGCTCTGAGTCACTAAGGATTACCCTGGTGACCCTCTTTTGTCTTTCCTTTTTTTTTTCTTTTTTCTTTTTGGTCAGTTATGGGGCCTGAACTCTGGGCCTGGGCACTGTCCCTCAGCTTTTCAGCTCAAGGCAAGCGCTCTACCACTTGAGCCACAATGCCACTTCCGGCTTTTTTTGCTTATGTGGTGCTGAGGAATCAAACCCAGGGCCTCACGCATGAAAAGCAAACACTTTACCACTGAGCCACCTTCCCAGCCCTCTCTTATCTTTTTTTTCCCTCATGCCTTTCAGATTGAGAATGGGCTCTGCATCTGTGCAGCCATGCCCAGCAAAGTCGTCATCCTCCGCTACAACGAAAACCTCAGCAAGTACTGCATTCGGAAGGTGTGTCGTGGTCTGGGCCATCCTGCTCTCCCAGGAAGGGGAGCCAGTGTGTGAAGCATCTCCGGGACCCCCTCCCCTCTGCCGTCCTTCAACCTGGGGTGACCTCCCTAGCTCTACAGAGCCCAGAGCTGTTAGAGATCCTAGCAGCTGCTCTTGGTTCACTTCTGTTTGGGAATGGCCTCTCCATCCAGCCAAGGAATTCAGCCTTTTGTGGTCCTTATAGGGATCATGAGCTAGTATCTTCTCAGCACCTAGAGGATTTCTGTGAAGGGACAAGCCAGTGCTGCCTCTGTTTGACTTGTGATTAGGAGGCTGGGTCTCCCAGGAGCAGAGTGTTGGGTGAGGGTTGTCTGCAAGGCAGACGAGGTATGCTCAGTCCTTGGAATTTTTCTTGCTTTCAGAGAAGGTGTCTACTGTCCCCAGATATCAGCCATCATTAGCCTGGTTTATTTCAGAGGTTTTTATGGTTTGTCCCAAAAGTGAAAGGAGGAAATGAATGATGTATAGTGGTTAAGTACAGAAAAAGTCTGGTTCTGGGAAGGAAGTTGTTAGCCTAGTTTGGGTGTTATTGAATACCCAGTGGGGAAGCAGTAGCTGACCTGCCCGCTCTTCATAATTCTTCCCCAATCCTTAGGAATGACAAAATTGAGGCCTTAGTTTGATTTTCCTGATCTTTTCACTTCATGCAACCTCAGCATTTCCCCCTCCTGGCAAGTGACCGATACATATTCAATGCTGCTGCTGCTGCTGATTAAAGTTTGAACTGTTTGCTTCTGGAAAAGTCCAGAAACCATTGTATCTTTATGATGCCCAAGCAGTAGCTTGGAATAAGCCTGCCTGTGGGGTTGTTGTGTTTTGTTTGATGGCATTAGGATTGGCCCACAAGCGGGTACAAATAATTAGGAAGTAATTAAGACAGGAATGCAATAATGATGATGCCGATAATTGTGTAATAGAGTTCAAATTAGAAACTTAGACGCTATCAGGAAATATACTAAAGCCATGCATTCCAAGCACCAATAACTTGGTATATTTTTTCATGGTGTCTCCCTCCCTGATAAAAATGCATTAAGTTCTGCCTTTTGGCTGAATTGGTGTTTCTGACCCCTTTTTGGATATAGTTTTGCCTTGTTTCCTAAGAAGTCTGGGGTTGTGTGAAACAACATAATAGGGTAGCAGACAGGTCACCTGAGAGGTCACCTGGGAGGTCATCCTGGGAGGTCATCTTTTTTTGTTTGTGTGTTGGTCGTGGGGCTTGATATCTGGGCTTGGGCACTGTCCCTGAGCTCTTCACCTTAAGGCTTTACCACTTGATACAGCACCACTTCTGGCTTTCTGGTGGTTAATTGGAGATCAGAATCTCACAGATTTTCCTGCCCAGGCTGGCTTTGAACCATGATCCTCAGATCTCAGCTCTGAGTATCTAGGATTACAGGCGTGAGCCACCAGCGCCTGGCCTGGGAGGTCATCATGAGAGGCAGGAGCGGGTCTGGTGGTGGCTATCTGCCAGGCTCGTTGAGATGCTTGGGGCAGGACTGGGACAGCAGTGGGAATGGTGCATCCATGTCACCTCTCATGTCCTCTCCTCTTCTTCGTCCTCAGGAGATAGAGACCTCTGAGCCCTGCAGCTGTATCCACTTCACCAATTACAGTATCCTCATTGGAACCAACAAGTTCTACGAAATCGACATGAAGCAGTACACACTCGAGGGTAGGGCAGGGGTCCTCCTCCCACCCCCTGTCAGGCTTGGGGCCGCTTGGAAGGCATTTCTAAAGCTGCTTCTTGCCTGTCTTCGCAGAGTTCCTGGACAAGAATGACCACTCCTTGGCTCCGGCTGTGTTTGCCTCGTCGTCCAACAGCTTCCCTGTGTCCATCGTGCAGGTGAATGGCGCGGGACAGCGAGAGGAGTACCTGCTGTGCTTCCACGGTGAGGAAGCCCTGCCGGGGTCCTGTGGGGGCTGGGGGTGGGGCCTGGCCAGGTCATCGTGGCTCTGGGGCAGGGTGGGTTTCACAGGGGTATGGAGACAATCAGTCCACCTCCAGGGCCCTCTGTAGGTGTCCTCTCCCCAACCAGAGCCCTACCCTATCCCAGCTAACATGCTCTCCAAAGGACAGATGCTCAGCCCTCCATTTCCCCCATCCCTCCTGCATCTTACTATGTAGCTCCTCCTGATCTTGAATTCATGATCTTCCTGCCTCAACCCAACCAAGTGCTGGGATTATGGACTTCCTCCTCCTTCCTTCCTCCTTCTCCCTCTCCCTCTCCCTCTCCCTCTCCCTCTCCCTCTCCCTCTCCCTCTCCCTCCCCCCTCCCTCTCCCTCTCTCCCTCCTTCTCTTTAGGTTTTTTTCTTAATACTTTCCTCTTTTATTTTTTAGTTTTTAGTCTCTCCTTCCCTGTCTCTGGCTCTCTGGCTCTCTTTCCCCTTTCTTCCTTGTCGCCTTATTTCCTCCCTGTCTGTTTTGTCTCTTCTTTCTTCCCCCTCCCCCTCCTTTTCCTGCTCCCCTCCTTTTCACACGAAGCATCTTTCTTTAATACATTTAAAAATTAATTTTAAAATCCTCACTTAATAAAACTGGGAGATGGCTCTGCAGAGATCCTCGGGCTGTCACAATCCAGTTCAATCTGGCAGGTTGTCCCCCAGGCTCTTCCTTGTTCTGTTGTCACAGTGTGTATCTCTCTCTCTCTCTCTCTCTCTCTCTCTCTCTCTCTCTCTCTCTCTCACGCATGTGTACATGCACGCATGCACACACATACACATCTGCCATCTCTGCTGACACCCCTGTGTTCTTTACACCTTGCAGAATTTGGGGTGTTCGTGGATTCTTATGGAAGGCGTAGCCGCACAGATGATCTCAAGTGGAGTCGCTTACCTTTGGCCTTTGGTACGTGAGTCATGGGTGGGGGCTCCTTTCACTAGCACTGGTGACCTGGGAATTCTTGTTGGCCTAAGCACAGTGCTCATGGAATCCCTGAGACCAAAGGCCGTGCGTAATAGTTCCCCAAAGACATTTGCGAGAGGATTCTGAGGCTCGCTGAAAAGTCGATCAGCTACCAGTCCCCAGGCCAACTGCGAAGACTGTTAAATTTTCGTGATCAAAGCGGGAGAAGGGGAAATGTTCCCTGTGGGTTTAAGTCACTTTCAGAGGCCCCATAGTACCCATCTGTATAACTAAACATGAGTTAATTTACCCAGTTCACTCTAATTAAGCAGGACAGTTAGGCCATGCCTTTTGTGCCTTGTGTTTGCTAGGCAGGTGTGCTATCAGTTGAGCCACCCAAACTCTTTTAGCCTTTAGTTATTTTTCAGGTAGGATTTCCCATTTTTTATATGGGGCTGGCTTCTAATTGTGATCTTCCTAGCTATGCCTCCCTCAGCTGGGCCCATGAGTGTGTGCTTATTTATTGAGATGGAGGTCTCACTAATTTTTTTCCATGGGCTGTATTGAACCACAATCCTCCCAATCTCCAGCTCCAAATAACTAAGATCATAGGCCTGTTTCACCTATTTCATCTGGCTGGCCATGCTGGTTCTTTATGTAACTATAAACTACACTGCAGTGAACACCTCTGTCTTGATCTTTGTACACTTGTCAAGTAGTATCCTGTGATCACAAATCCCCAAAATATAGAGCTTCTGGTTCCAAGGACAGACAGACAGACATGCAGGGAGAGAGAGAGACACACACACATACACACACACACACACACACACACACGTGCACGCATGTATGCACGCACATACACATGCAAATGCACATGTATATGCATGTATACACAAATACGTAAACTTGTACCTGTGTGGAAATTCTTAAATACTACTATGGCCAAAATACCCTTCAAGACTATTTCATGTATTTATCTACTGGTACAACTTACTGCAGCTGAGGATCCTGTGTTTTGATTGGACAGCCCTGCTCCGTGTGGTGAGAGTAGGGGCACCGGGACAGTGAAGAAGCCAACACAGCTTCAACACAAGGCAGGCAACCCTTGGGAGCTCAGTAGGGGCTGGTGGCAGGAGGCCACGATTTCTCCTGGAGGAGTCCTCGCCTCCACATGTCCAGTTGGCTCCCTCAGGCCACATGCAAAGCAGGGAGCCTATCCGAGGCTCAAGCACTGGAGCCAGGAGTGACAGTGGAGGAGCAAAGTAATAACTTGCCACCAGGAATGTAGTGACAATGGCCTTTTCCCTCTAGGGGCCCCAGTTGGCCCATCATCTTCCCCTTGTCTTGGGGATCGAACCTAGGATGTTGTACTTGCTAGGCAAGTGCTTTGCCACTGAGCTACATCCCAGCCCATCAGTCTTTCTTTTTTGGTTAAAATTGACATTTATTTTTTTAAAAAAATCCGTTATTTTCAGTGCTATTTTCTCTCTCTCTTCTCTCTCTCTCTTTCTCTCTCTCTCTCTTTCTCCCATCATAGAGCTTGAACTCTGGGTCTGGGCACTGTCCCAGAGCTCTTCAGCCCAAGGCGAGCGCTCTGAAACTTGAACCACAGCGCCACTTCTGGTTTTCTGGTGTTTAGTTGGAGATAAGAGTCTCACGGACTTTTCTAGCCCAGGCTGGCTTTGAACCGTGATTCTCAGATCTCAGTCTCCTGAGTAGCTAGGATTATAGGCGTGAGCCACTGGCACCTGGCTGCCAGTCTCTGTTTTTAATTGACAGTTTTGAAGTTACACTGGATACATCTGATGTAAATAGGTGACATCCTCTTGTCTCCTCATCCTTCTAGCACTTTATGCAAATACAGGGATATAAAACAGTATATTATTTGCTAGTTCTATTATTTGTTGTTGTTGTTTGTTTGTTTGTTTGTTGCCGGTCTTGGGGCTTGAACTCTGGGCCTGTATGCTCTCCCTGAGCTTCCTTTGCTCAAGGCTAGCCCCCTACCACTTGAGCCACAGTGCTATTTCTGGCTTTTTTGAGTATTACTAGAGATTAGAGTCTCATGGGGTTTCCTGCTCAGGCTAGCTTGGAACTGCTATCCTCAGATCTCAGCTTCCTGAGTAGCTAGGATTATAAGCATGAGCCACCGGCACCCTGCTGGTTTTGTTTTTATTGAAATGGGAGTCTCACTGTGTAGCTCAGACTGACTTTGAACTTCTGATCCTTCCTGCCTCAGCCTCCTGAGTACTGGGATTCCAAAGCTGCACCCCTACACCCGACAAAAATTTAGATTCTTATCACCATCTTTTAAAAAGTTTTTATTAGGGGGCTGGGAAGGTGGCTCAGTGGTAGAGTGCTTGCCTTGCATTCATGAGGCCCTGGGTTCGATTCCTCAGCACCACATAAGCAGAAAAAGCTGGAAGTGGCGCTTTGGCTCAAGTGGTAGGGTGCTAGCCTTGAGCTGAAGAGCTGAGGGACAGTGCTCAGGCCCAGAGTTCAGGCCCCATGACCGACAAAAAATTAAATAAATAAATAAAAAATTTTTATTACCAGGAAGTGGTACTGTGGCTCAAGTAGTAGAGCACTTGCCTTGAGCTGAAGAGCGCAGGGACAGCGCCCAGGCCCAGAGTTCAAGCCCCATGACTGTCAAAAAAAAAAAAAAAAGTTTTTATTACCAATAAAGTCGTGCACTTTACACATTGCTTTGAGGTCCTACACATATCCATCTCTTCAGCTGTGCAGAACTCCATAGGTGACCCTCTATAATGTACAACTGAATTGATTTCTCATCTTCTGCTGTAACCAGCAATGCCTCAGCACGGGCATGCGCGGTTATCCTGGCGTGTGGAAATATTTGTGGGATAAATCCACCTACCTGGGAGTGCTGGGTCACAGAATGTGATGCCGCCAGGTTTTGATTTCCTCTCTCTCAACCCTTCTTTGCCTCACACTCTTCCTCCATGGTGACCACGCAGCCTACCGAGAACCCTACTTGTTTGTGACCCACTTCAACTCACTTGAAGTCATTGAGATCCAGGCGCGCTCCTCCCTGGGGTAAGCGCTGCCCTTCCCTGCCTCGGTGGGCGGCTACAGAACAAGGTGTTGGGGCCTGCCCAGCAATGGAAGTGACCTTCAGGGAGCATAACTCTTGTCTGTCCCTCCGCAGGACCCCTGCCCGAGCCTATTTGGAAATCCCAAACCCACGCTACCTGGGCCCTGCGATTTCCTCGGGAGCCATTTACCTGGCTTCCTCATACCAGGATAAACTAAGGGTCATTTGCTGCAAAGGAAACCTTGTGAAGGAGTCTGGCACTGACCACCACCGGGTGCCCTCCACCTCCCGCAGGTATGGGACCCCCCCTATCCCTCCCTCTTTCCCGGGGGCAAGGGCTGGGCTGAGGAGCATAAGGAAACCTGGCTAAACAGGCAGGATGTTTCTCTTTCCTTTATAATCACGTACAAACCACTAGGATTTTGAGATCTTTGGCCGCGGAGTGGTATGTGCCTGTGGGAGGGAACGGGAGGAGACTTGGAAAAGTGGAAGGCACTCTCCCTTTTCAGGAATTTTCAGTGGCTCTGATAGGAACAGAGCAGGGGTTGCGTGTGCTTCTGGGAGGAGACGATATGCTAGTGCAGTCCCACATGCTAATGATGCTCGAAGCCCCAGGTGAGAGACACAGGAGTGATTAGGGGTCACAGACCTGCCAGAGCTGCTGAAGGGAGTGTGCGGGGAGCAGAGGCCCACAGCCTGAATGGGGTGGCCAGAGAGGACCATAAGGCTGGGATGGCTGATAAGGAGGGCTTCACTGTGAGGAGCTGCTTTTACTGCCTGTGGTGGAACATGGTTCCAGTCTCAGTGAACAGAGGCAGAGACGATGGGTTTGCTTTCCTGCCGCTGCTGGGTGGGTCTGACATCAGCAGTTCACCCTCCATTTTCGCTTGGCTTGGGGGATGATTTTTGGCAGAGTGGAGACACCTGGGGTGTGGTTCACCGCAGGCCTCCTTTTCCTGCAGTTTAGCAGAGAAGCAAATTCATCTCTCTGCAAGAACCATAAAATGGAGGTGATAGATCGCTGGTTGTGAAGGGATATGGAGATGAAGGCTGGCCACATGGCCTTGAAAGGCCTTGAAGGAGGAGTGGTTCTCTTTCCTTTGGTTCATCTGGACTCACATCCTGAATGGACTTCCCTGAGCCAGTCTGCTTCCCAGGCAGGGAACCCCTTCTCCCCTCCCCTGTCTGCCTTACATCTGTCCCTGTGGTCACATGCTGTCATTTCTCTTCTATTACAAAGAGGCTTAATGCTGTTTTAGTTGGATTTGTTTTGTCTTCCAAGCTGGAACCTGAATCTCCACAGTTCGCCTATGTGGTGAGGGGGTAGAAAGGGCCTTTAGCTCCTCAGTGAACTGACCACTCACGGAATGGTCTCCAGGCACTGTCCTCTCTGTGTTCTAGATCTAGCTTCTTCAGAGAGGTGATTAGAGCCATAGGTCTGGATCAGTCTTCACCAGGACTGGGTGGCAGGTGTTTCAGACCAACAAAAAGTCCCCAGTGGAGCTGGCAGGTAGCTCAGTGGTAGAGTTCCTGCCTCACATGCATGAAGCTCTGTTGTGGGGAGCAAAGGAGCCCCAAGTATTTTCACCCAATTCATTATTTCCCATCATCTTCTGGGACCAGGACCTTTTTTTCCTTCTTCTTTTTAGCCAGCTGGACTGTTGTGTTGCCCTGCTCAGTTTCCTAGCTGTAGCTTTCATCATCTCAGCCATGGCTGAGGACTGTTAACTTTCTGACCATGCACAAATGCCACAAAGACTGAGGAAGTCACCTAGCGGGAGAGGTGACGGATGTGGCATCTGTGTCACCTGTGATGAATACAGGCTTTCTCAGAAACACTCCCCATCAGGCTCATGGTGAGCCCCCTGTCTCCTGGGTGGGTAGCAGACTTAACTGCCGAATGCAAGGCATCCTTCTGCTCCTTCTGGAAAATGGCGGAAGGATACTGTATGGGAATCCCAGCTTGCCCCTACCCCTCCATCCCTGTGTTCTTGTCTGTGCTGACTGGTGATGATGCCTAGAGATACCACCCCACCCCACCTACGAGGCCTCTTGTACAGTGAGCTTGCAATAGATTAAAAGCCGGTACTAAGAACAGGAAAAGGAAGCCAAGCATCTTGCCCTCTTTGCGACTCACGCCCAGAGTAAAATACACTTAAGTCTTCATTGTGTTGCTCATTTCCTTGGATGAGAAGGACCCACCCTCCTCAGCCTGCCCCTCTCTCCTTGCCAGTAGCCCCAACAAGCGAGGCCCGCCCACGTACAACGAGCACATCACCAAGCGTGTGGCCTCCAGCCCGGCACCCCCTGAAGGCCCCAGCCACCCCCGTGAGCCAAGCACACCCCACCGCTACCGTGACCGAGAGGGCCGGGCCGAGCTACGCAGGGACAAGTCTCCTGGCCGGCCCCTGGAGCGGGAAAAGTCCCCTGGCCGCATGCTCAGCACGCGCCGGGAGCGCTCCCCGGGCAGGCTGTTTGATGACAGCAGCAGAGGCCGGCTGCCGGCGGGGGCCGTGCGGACCCCCCTGTCCCAGGTGAACAAGGTAAGGCCTGTGCACAACCCTCGTGGAGGCGGGAGGAGGCCTCGGGGTCACTGTTGTGTAATAAATAAGGGTTGGGAAGGTGGTTCAATGCTAGAGTGCTTGCCTTGCATGCATGAGGCCCTGGGTTCGATTCCTCAGCACCCCCTAAGCAGAAAAAGCCAGAAGTGGTACTGTGTCTCAAGTGGTAGGGCACTAGCCTTGAGCTGAACAGCTGAAGGACAGCACCCAAGCCCAGAGTTCAGGCCCCACGACCGACAAAAGAAATGGGACACTGTCACTGAAATTCAAGGCCTAGCTGGGATTGAGGGGGAATACATGTGAGCTTAGGAAGAAAAGGCTTCCTTTATTTCTGAAAGGCTTCCTGAACAAACGAGAGCAGGTATTTGTGATGACGTGGACACACTGCGGAAGAGCTACGGGGAATGTTGTTCTCTGCCTAGAGGCCGCTGTTAGCAGCGTCTGGGTTGTCTCAGTTATCACAGTATGTGTGATCCCCTAGTTTAAACACACCACCAATTCTTCCATGCAGTCCCGTGAGCATCATGCTTTCCCACAGATACACATGTACATGTTGGATTCCTTCCCCCCCCCCTCCCCAAAGGCTACAAAAACTTGTGAAAGACATCACCTTTCAGAAGAACTTTTTTCTTTTTTAATGTCTATGTCTGTGAAAAGCCAGCTCATGCTTAGCTTTTTTGCTCAAAGCTGGTTACTCCATACTAAATGAGCCATACTTACAGTTGGTGGCTATTCTTTTTTCTTTCTTTCTTTCTTTTTTTTGGGGTGGGGGGGTGGTGGTTAATTGGAGATAAGGATTTCTTGGATTTGTCTTGCATGGCTGTCTTCAAAATTGCAATCCTTAGTTCTCAGTCTCTTGAGTAGCTAGGATTGCAGGTATAAGCCACTAGTGCCCAGCAAGAACTTGAAGAGCTTTTTGAAAGTTTTTAACCATGTGCATATATTCACCTGGGTGATTCCTTAGAGATTAGAGAGGTTAGATTTCTTAGAGATTAGAGGTTTGAGATCGAGGACAGGGGTGTTGGCCTGGAATGAGGCAGCTGGCTCAGTGAGACAGCTAGGTTCCGGTGCTTCTTGATCTTTGATGGGCCTCTGTTAAGCCTCCAGAAGCTGATTTTCTGGATGGTATTTTCCTTCTAAAATTACCTACTGTCAGCCCTTTTGTTGCAAAGAAAGGGATCAACATAGATTGTTGTGGGTTTTTTCCCCATAAAACTCTTACGTGCACATGCATGCTTGTGTGCATACATGAGCACATACAAAGGAGGAATTCAGGTTGGAGCATTTTCAGCGACTTTAGTTCTCAGACTGCCCCAGGCTTTGAGGGTTGGCACTGTGATTTGCCCCTGCCCTGCACAGCATCCCTGTCAACCACTAAAGGACAGATTCTGTGCTATAGACCAGCAGCTTCCAGCTTCATCTGACTTCTTCCTTATTTCTACTTTGCTTCCTAGGTCTGGGACCAGTCTTCAGTATAAATCCCAGCCAGAAAACCAACAACTACTCATCTCAGTCTGCAGGAAAACACCAAACACACTATGGATGCCCACTGTGGGGGACCCTAGCGCCTGCCTGCCTGGCCAGCCCCTGGCCCAGCTGGGCCCAGCCCCATCCCCGCATAGACACCCCTGTCTCCAGGGGGTGAGGGTGGCTGAGGCCCTTGGGCGCCTCCTCCAGGCACCTTCCTGCAGTCTTTCTCTTTGCACTTTGTTACTCCCTCAGCATTCACAGACTTTGGTACGTAGCTGTGGCCTGTACCAGTTCATCACCGGAAACCAACCCAGACCCTAACTGTGCTTAGAATCCTACTTAGCTATTGAAGATCTTAGGGTTGGTTGGTTTTCTTTTGTTTTTGGTTTTGGTTTTTTTCTTCCTTTGTTTCTTTTGTGTTCTCCTCCTCCTCTTCTTCCTCCTCTTCTTCCTCCTCTTCTTCTTCCTCTTCCTTCTCCACCTCCTCTTCTTTTTTTTAAAAGAGAACGGAATTCTTAATAGATTTGAATAGCAATGTATTTCCTGTTGTAGTCATTTTTAGCTAGACCACATCATCAGGTCTTTGCCCCTGAAATATAGTATAGAAAAGTCCGTCTGCCAGTTGGCTAACTCCCGCCTTCATGTAGCTTCATTCTTTGTCCCAATTCATTCTCATAGATGGCCCTGTTTTATCCAGGGTGACATCGTAGCCAAATGTTTACTGTTCTCATTGCCTTTTATGGCCTTGACGATTTCCCCTCCCACCAGCTGAGAATGTACGGAGGTCATCAGGCCTCCTTGGAGGCAGTAACCTGGGGCCAAGGGACCTCACTGAGCTTTCCCTCTCTGCCCCTCAGCGTCTCATCCCCCCCCCCCCCCCCCCCCCACAGCCTGCTGTCCCTGCTCTCCCTGTAGCTTTGGCCAGGAAAGCATGCAATAGACTTGCTCGGAGCCCAGCATTCATGGGTCTTGGGGTTGAGCAGGGGCCTGGGGTCACCCACCTCCTGTCCCCCCATGGTGTGTTGCTCCCCACTCTGGGATGGGGAAGAGACCTGTCCGGGAGCTCTGCATGGCGGTTCACTGCATGTGCTGCCCCCTGACCGGGCTGCCTCACCCCCCCCACCCCACCCCTTGGGTTGCTCTGCCAATGTATTGATGCCATCCCATAGCTCCCGCCGAATCGAGACCCTCTGACCACTTGCCAACTAATGGCAACATCAAGCTACAGCCTGTAGCACTAAACAAACCAACCAACCACAAAACGCTCAAGCCTTACGACCAGAGAAGGATTTCAGCAAACCACACCCTTCCCTCTCTCTCTCTCTCTCTCTCTCTCTGTTTTCCCTTGACCTTCACGCTTCCCTGCCGACTTCCTCGAGATGACTCTGTTCACACAAAACCCAGCACGGTTCTATCCCACGAAACTGTGACTTTTCCCAAAAGAGCCTTTCCCTAGGGCTAGACCTAAGACCCGGATGTTGGAGAGAGAAAGCCGCATCTCAGCTCTTCCAGCTCAACTCTGTGGGGTTGGCAGGTCCCCCCTCCGGTGCGGTGCGGCTCACCCTCGTTCTCTCTACCCTCTCTCGAGTGTAGAGTTCCTGGAGGCTTTGCAGTTGGCAAGCTAACTAGCGGCCTTATTTCTGCCTTCAATCTCCCTCGAGGCCTCTCCTGCTGTGAATTCGTCACCACTCTTAGGCACCTCCTGACCACTGAGGCACATCCTAGGTAGGCTGAAAGGTAGATAGACGTGTTCCCCTGGGAGCAGGTGACCGTGACTGTGTGTTCAAACCCATGTGTCCACAGTTCAGGTCACTTTCCAGATTGCAACCTGGCCCAAATACCGGCTCCTTCCTGCTCGTCTCTTTAACCTAAGTGCTTTCTTGTTTGAAACGCCCATGCACCTCCATGTCTTAGCCCCTTTGGCAACGTGTCCTGCTGTTGTGTTTTATGTGTTGCTTGGATTTTTGGGGGGGTCATTATGCTCTTCCCCCCATCCCCCAGGGCAGATCTGACTGAATGTTTGCTGAAGTTTTTGTCTCTTGGTCCATAAGTATTTGGAAAGGTCATTGATAATTGGTCTTTCAGTCTTGGCATTTCATTTAGGATCTCCATGAGAAACGGGCGTCTTGAGCCCTGAAAATGTATATCGTGTGTCTCATTTGTGAAATGCTTCCTGCTATATAGAACTAGCTCAAAAGACTGTACATATTTACAAGAAACTTTATATTCGTAAAAAAAAAAGGAAATTGAATTGGTTTCTACTTTTTTATTGTACAAGGTGCATTTTTCAACACTTACTTTTGGTTTCAATGGTGGTAGTGGTGGACAGCCATCTTCACTGGAGGGTGGCGAACTCCGTGTGACCACCAAGATGCCAGCAGGAAATACCGAAAACACAAAATTGCAGTCAAAAGCTTATTAGCATAAATCAGATTCTAGGTCTCCAAAAGTACAGGCTTTTTCTTCATTACCTTTTTTATTCAGAGTGAGAAAGAGGACATAAGGAATAATTGAAGATCCACCTTGAGAGGAATGCACTTGGTTGTTGCAGAATAGTGAAATAAAGCAATGATCTAAAAACATTTGCTTTGGTGCAGTAATCTCTTTGCTTGGCAGAGACCATGAAGAACATGCCGTGAGCGTCGGTCTGGGGTCATACAATCTGGCGAGACCTTTACTCTGTGGGAGGCATGGTTACAGCATGCAATGATGCTACTATCCTGAAATCAAGAGCTTGGTGACATTCACTTCCGCAAGTGTGACATCATTGGTTTGGCTGGTAAATATTCCCAGGGAACTATGAATGGGTTATTAAGGCCATTTTAGAGGTCTGGAACCAGGAAAGCTGCTTAAGTAGTCAAGTAGGCCATTTAGAAAGGATTACTCAAGAATAGATTACCTACGCTGCAGTTACCCAGGAAAGCAGGTTGTGGGAAGATTTCTCCCATCCCTTAGGATGGGGTCATTGAAAATTTAATAATATGCATTCCTTCAGAGAGAGCACTCTGCTCAAGGTAACCAAAAACGTGAGCACTTCTGTTTTTAAGTGGATGGATTTTTATAGCCTGCAAGTTAAATTTTCACTACCATTTTGTTATATTAACTAGCTTGGTCAAGATAAAACATTAGTTTTGGCAAATGGTGGGATTGTTTATTTATTTATAGCTATACTTGGGTCTTTGACCTTGTGATTGTTAGTAGGCACTTTAGTGCTGAGCCATACCTCCAGTTTTTTGTTTTTTGTTTTTGTTGGCCATGGAGCTTGAAGTCAGGGTCTGGGTGCTGTCCCTGTGCTCTTTTGCTCAAGGCTAGTGCTGTACCTCTTTAAGCCACAGCTCTTCTGATTTTCTGGGGTTAATTGGAGATAAGAATTTCGTGGACCTACCTGCTTGGTCTGGATTTGAAATGCAATTCTCAGATCTCAGCTTCCTGAGTAGCTAGGATCACAGGTGTGAGCCAAACAGTGCCTGGCTGCCTCCAGCTCTTTCTTTTGAACTTACCCTTTTAGGAAAGGTTTTGTTTTGTTTTTTCCTTTTTTTGGCCAGTCCTGGAGTCTTGAACTCAGGGCCTGGGCACTGTCCCTGACTTCTTTTGCTCAAGGCTAACACTCTACCACTTGAGTCATAGCACCACTTGTGTTTTTTCTGTTTATGTGATACTGAGGAATTGAACTCAGTGTTTCATGCATGCTAGGCAAGCACTCTACCACTAAACTACATTCCCAGCCCCAAGGTCTTGCTTTTTGCCCAGGCCTCTTCATGAACCATGGTCTGCTTCCCCCTCCCCCCCCTTTGGGCTTCCTGTCCTAGCTGGAATGACAAAGCATGTGCCACCATGCCTTGCTTCTTTCCATTGAGATGGAGTCTCATAAACTTTATTACCTAGGCTATCCCAGAACCACAATCCTCCCAGACTCGGAAACTGGGATGAGAAGTTCCCACCACGTGCTTAGCTATTGGTTGTGAAGGGGTCTTGTATGTATGCTGAGGCTGGCCTCAAACTATGATCCACTGTTCTCAGCCTCTAGAGTAGGATTACAAGTACCAACCACCAGGGCCTCACTCAAGTTTTTCAATAAGGTAATCTGACTGTGACCAAAATTTAGCCTGCAAGGTCCTCTATCTGGCATGCTTGTGATGGGAGCCAAAGAGAATTCTAGTCCTCTTTTGTATTTGACTGTTGGCCATAAAAACCTGACGTAGGATTACAAGGATGAAAAGAATTCAGGGATGAAGTGAAATGTCAGAACCTTTCTTTCCTTAGAACATTAGAAAATTCCAACCAGTCATTTTGGCCATTGTCCTTAGATTCTTTTTTTTTTTTTTTTGGTCGGTCGTGGGGCTTGAACTCTGGGCCTAGGCTCTGTCGCTGAGCTCTTCAGCTCAAGGTAAGCACTTACTACTTGAGGCACAGTGCCACTTCCAATTTTCTGATGGTTAGTTGGAGATGAGTCTCACAGACTTACCTGCGTGGCTGGCTTTGAACTGTGATTCTCAGATCTCAGCCTCCTAAGTAGCTAGGATCACAGGTGTGAGCCACCAGCACCTGGATTCCTTAGGATTCTTGATGGCCTGAATGACTTCAAAAGCTAAGTGAACATGAGTTAGTTCCAAAAGGAATATGCCAAGAAAGGTTCTTTGGATCCTAAGGATCAACCGCAAAGAAACGACCACCAGATTACCAATTGCACCATAGAAAGAGGCCGTCCTTCTTTGTTGCTACTCCTGTTCCTTAATGAACCTGAAATCCAGTGTCCGGATTTTTGTGCTTCCAACTTAATTTTCACAAAGCTAAAGATGGAGTCCAAAGCAAACTGCATAACCAGGAACTTGAACCATTCGGCCCCAAAGAGATGTTTTGCTTAATAAGACTGACAAGCTAATCTATCTGCAGGATTAGGCCTTTTAAATATGGTTGGTTTTAGAAGACCATTCCTGGGGATTTAGGTTAAGGCTGGCCTTCCAGGGCTGAGGCCTGGGATCTTTCTGCCAATCCAAGCAGTTAAGGTGCTTTGTTCCTGTGGTTCTCAGCAGGGGAGAGTATGCTGCCTTAGAAACTGTTTGGTGATGCCTGGAGATGTCTTGATTCTCCTAACTGTGGTGGTGGTGGTGGTAGCTACTGGTACCCAGGGGATGGGAACTAGGGATGCTGCTAAACATCCTCCAGTCACAGAGAATGACCAGGCCCCAAATGTCAGTAGTGCCAAGATTGAGAAAGGAGTCTTGTGCTATTGCACTTGTCCCAGTCACGTTTCTTTCTTGGTGGTTTTCATACTCCTGATGCTATCTGGAGTATAGGGATTGTGGCTCTAGGCACAGTATTTAGAGGAGAAAAAAAATCATTCGTTTAATCAGATGTTGATACATTCCTTAAGGTGGGGAATGTGGAATAGTGGAAATTGTTCAGCAGCGAGTAGCATTTTCCTTGAGCCTGTCAATGATTAATGGAAGTCTGTTTGCCCGGAACGGGTTATTGGAGGTAGAGGAAAGGACTTTGAAAATGACTTTGCTACTGTATGTAACTCTGGCTCTTTCAGAGCCACAAAACAGGGCAAATGAGGATGACCCGGAACATGCACATCTGAAGCCGCCTCTTCTCATTGGTGGTTCACTATTAATATGGGATGGGGTAGCCAGGTTCCAGGGCTCATGCCTGTAATCCTAGCTACTCAAGGAGGCTCAGCTCTGAAGTTAAAAGCCAGCACAGGCAGAAAGGTCTGTGAGACTCTCCAGTTAACCAGCAGGAAGTGGGGGAGTGGCTTAAATAGTAAGAGTACTAGACTTGAACAGGAAAAGTAAGGAGGAGTGGAAGGCTCTGAATTTACGGCTCTGTGCCAGTGCACGCACACATACATACACAGAGATGGGGTGGGGTGGATATAGTTGAGGGGTAGGGAGGACAGGAAGGACAAAGTTCCTTTAGTTTATATATAAGAAGGACAATGCAGGCTAGGTGCCAGTGGCTCAAGCCTATAATCCTAGCTACTCAAGGGGCTGAGATCTGACTAAGGTCAATCTGATTGACTTTCCTACCCAGGGTGGGGTAGGCTTCAAACTGTCATCAGATCTCAGCCTACTGAGTAGCTAGGATTATAGGTGTGAGGCATCAGTGCCTGGCTTGGAAGATCCTTTTTTTTTTTTTTTTTTTGTCTTATTTGTTTTTTGGAAGATCCTTTTAATAAGGATCTTCATCCCATTCGGGGGTGGGGGGTGGGGAGCCTTAATGACCTAACCACCTCTTAAAGGCCCATCTCCTGATAGTACCACATAGACAACAAAACACCTGAATTTTGGAGGAGACATATACCACAGCAGTTGGGGATCAGAAGAATTGGATGAACACTTGGAAGTGAAATTGTGCTCATATAGAAAGAAACCTAGCTAAACTAAATTAAATTTGTTTTTAAACTCAGATGGCCCTATCTCTGATTCCCAGTGTGGATGGTGTCTCTTTGAGAATCTGAGTTTTCAGTCTTGGCCTTTAGAGTCTTTTTTTTTTTTTTTTTTGGTCCGGTCGTGGGGCCTGAACTCTGGGCCTGGGCGCTGTCCCTCAGCTCTTCAGCTCAAGGCTAGCGCTCTACCACTTGAGCCACAGCGCCACTTCCGGCTTTTTGCTTTTTGCTTATGTGGTGCTGAGGAATCGAACCCAGGGCCTCGAGCATGCAAGGCAAACGCTCTACCACTGAGCCACCTTCCCAGCCCGGCCTTTAGAGTCTTAAAGATGTCCTCACCAAGCCAGCTGAGATGCTGGCACTGTCTTCTGTTTGCAGCCAGATCCCATTCATGCTGCAAAAGCTTTGCAGGAGCCCTACACATCATCCAGGGCTAGTCCAAACTCTCATTTTCCAGGGCAGGAAATCACTGGAAGGACACGTGGTTTGCCCAAGGTTACACAGCTGGTGAACAAACGCAGCTCAATCAGTACAACCCAGCTCCAGTGTCTACTCTGGGAAAGAAGATGGTGGCTGATGCAAACTGGACATCAGCCTAGTGATTCCATCTTCAAGACAATCAGCTTCTCTTACATACTCATGAGTGGAACCAGAGGGAAGGAAAGAGCCCTGCCTGGGTCCTTAATTCTTTGGTTTCAATGTTTTTGACATGGTTCTACAGGTCAGCCCTCCCCATCCACAGACTCAGATTCAACCAACCACAAACTGAAAAGAGGAAGAAAAAATTCTGGAACTGTTTGATTCCCTAAGAAACATAGTTTAGCTATTTACATAGGATTTACATTGTATTATGTAACTTGCAGATGATTTCAAGTAGATTGCATGTATGCAGCTTAAATGCAAATATTAGGCCGTCTTATAGAAGGAACTTAAGCATTGGGAGATTTGGGTAGATTTGGGTATCTGAGGGAGCCTTGGCAGCCATCCCCCAAGGATACTGAGGGATGGCTATATTCACCCTTCAATATGGCTCCATTTTACTTGTTTCCAGGTCTTACTTTTGGCTGAGTCAATGTATATATGAATTCCAGAGGGGAAATCTGTCTTCACTGAAAATCAATGAGTTAAGCTTTGACCATGTAGCCAGTCCCCACCTATCGAGGCTAATGAGGCAGGCACGAGAGCTGAATTGCAGAACGTAACTCAACATGTGACTTGGCCTTTGTGGTACCTTTCCATGTCCATGAAGTCTCCTTGTTATTTCCAGCTTCTCGGGTATCGAGGTGCCCACCACTTGGTTCTGCGGGCAGCCTTCCTCTCCACCACAACTGGCTTCCTTATGTGCTTTTTAAGAGGCCAGGAGATCTTTTATAAGTAGATGTGGAGAATGCTACAGAGGGCTATTTCACACTTCCGTGGCCACTTCATGAGTCCCCAGGGTATCAGGGCCCAGACATTTCTAGGGTGACTAGCTGTAAGCGAGTGTTTACCTGGCACTTTCACCTTGGATGTTTCTCCCCTTTGTGGGCAGAGCTCATTTGCATGCTATGTTTTCTTGGAGCTGATGGCTCTGAGCTGACTCTGGGTGGCAGATTTTCCAGTTGGTTACAGAAAGGGTGGTGGTGCTGTGCTTACTCGGGTAGGGAGCTCCTGTCCTGGGTCCTGGGTGTCCTGGAGTCTCAAGCTGGGTCCCCAGCCATTGAGCCCTGTCCTTCAGCTGCCAGGGGCAGAGGGGCTGGGCTCAGCTCGTCAGTAGGAATTCAATGCTAGTGCCGTGTCTGAACATTTTTTGGTATTATTGAGCTTGGTTAGCTATGCATTTTCAAAACTTTTTTTTTCCCCCAAGGCTAGTACCCTACCACTTGAACCACACTGTGCCACTTCTGGCCTTTTCTGTTTATGTGGTACTGAGGAATCAAATCCAGGGCTTCATGCATGCTAGGCAAGCACTCTGCCACTAAGCTATATTCCCAGCCCTCAAAACTATTTTCAAACATCTAAGGTTGTTTAATAATCCCGGAAGTCCCAAGAGGGCTTTCAGGATAAGATGGTTTAATTATCCAGCCTAGGAAGCACAGACTAGAACATGGGAGAGCTTCCCTCTCCTATGCTTTAGTGTTTCATGATGTCCAAGAAAAGGCTCAAAGAACACTAGCAGGGCTGGGCATTGTGGTGCAGGCCTGTAATCCAAACTACTCAGTTAGCTTTGATAGGATTGCTGTTTTAAGGCCAGCCTGGGCTAAGTTAGTGAGACTATCTGAAGAACCAACCGGGACTAAGGGAACAGCTCAAGCTGGAGACTTCTTGCTAGCAGAAAGCTGAGGACAAACCCAAACTCTAGAACACTGGGACTTTTCCGTGCCTAGCTGATAACGGTGTCCATTTAATGGCGTCATGTACTGAGCCCAGGCTCTGCTCCATCGGCCTCATGTAGGAGGAAAATCCTTTGGTGAGGGTGCTGTCTACCTGCCTGAGTCAGGAAGCTGCATCCTGGGCTGAGCGGTTAAATTCCAAACTGTGGTGAGAGGTTGATGAAGGCAATGCCCTGAGGCAGCTGTGGAGTCCAGCCCACTCCAAGTGCCCAAAGGCGACCCCAAACCGCCTGGCAAGTGTCTAGTCTCCTGGAGAACAGTCTAGTCTCTAAGCCAGGAGTGGTTCTATCCAAATACCTGAACACAATCAGAACTTCCTTCAGATGCGGGTCCAGGTATTTTTATAAAGCTTTATTGAAACCTGTATGTCAAGGTGACAGCAATTGAGTGTTTTGAAACTAGTATAACAAAAAAAGGAAAAAAAAAAAAAAGTACCCGAACTCAGGTTTACAAAATAAATACTGGACACCAGCGAACTTGTTTCTGCCTCTCCCAGCAAGAACGAAAGGTCTGACACCTTCTGCAGTGTGGGTGGACACGCGTGCAGTGGCCCTCTGGAAAGCGAGCCGTCCGCTGGTGCACAGGACATCCGTGCAGTGGCTATCAGGCAGGCTGCTGCAGGACTGCAGGTTCCCTTCTGAACAGGCAGCCGTCATTGCTGGGGTCCTCTTTGATTTCTAGGGTACAGGTCCCCTGCAGGAGGGTGGGTGATGCAGCCCGGGCGTCACTTCATTAAGTCTGGAATAAGGAGCTAGCAGTGGCAGTCCTCAGGATCGTCCAGCTCCATGGAGAAATCGGCAGTGGGTTTTGCAGCCTGATCTAAGAACAGGCTAAGATGCGTTGCTGAGCACAGTCACAGGGCGAGTGTTCTAGTTGTGGTGACTTATTGCTGGAAGGCTGGAGAGCCAGCCACCTGTGGTCAGAAAAGTACTGAGTGCATACAGTGTAGGAAACTATTGCAAGACTTCACCTGGAAATCAGACAGCTATTAATTTCGATAGAAATTAGCCCTCGCTGAAGTAGAGAAGGGGAGGAAATCTATTGCTTTGATTGGAAGGGCAGGCTCCATAGCCAGGCCTCAGCGGGGACAGGCCACAGGCCTGAGAGACGCGCAGATGGTGAGACACTTGGGGTGGCCTCTGTCCCCGCTTCCTGGAGCCTTACTAGCAGGGTGGCTTGGCCCTCAGCTGGGGTTTAAGAATGTCCCCCACAGCCGGGGAGGATGCGGGCTCGGAAGCGTGCACCCCTGGAGATGGGGAGCCTCCAGGCTTGCAGCACCTCTGCCTTCCCTTCTGCCTCTTGGACGGGTGCAGACCAGGCTGTCCGGAGCCCCAGGGCCTGGACAGACCTTCGAGCAGGACTAGGGCGGGGGTGAAGTATCTTAGGAAATGTGAAATGTGAGACTCGGTCCATTCCTCTAGTGGAAAGCATGCACGCAGGGCGCTGGGGGTGGCCGTCCCGGGCCCATGCGGCTCCGGGCCCTCATATGGGCTTGTAGAGCAGGGTGGTGACATACTTCTTCTTGTACCGGTGGGTCGCGCTGAGCACCATCACTCCGTCCTGAGGAAGAGGGTAGAAATGACGGGGAGCAGGGCTAGGTTAGGGGCTCAGACTTCAAAGTGCAGGAGACTCTTCATGGAACTTAAGAAAGATATCAATTCCTGTTCACTGCCCCCCGCCCCTCAATCCCCAAGAACCTGAGCCAAAGTTGGCCTCAGACCCTAGAAGCTGCCCCTAAACCCAGCAGGCCCAGGCAGGACTACTGCTGGGGGTCCTGGAGCACCGCTAAGGGTGCTCGGTGAGGCCGTTACCTTGATGGACAGCGCGTAGAGGTGGTTCAGCATGACGTGATTGGGCTCCGGGAGCAGCGCCGGGTCACACTGCGGAGAGATGAAGATGTGAGCATGGAGGACATGGAAAGCAAGCTGCTTCTCCCCGCTTCCAGCCCCAGGTATGAATGCCGAGGAGGTGGGCTCTCCCGCCACCCTCCCTTCCAAGGTCAGGCCAAGGGTACAGATGAGGCCGCTGGGTGCACTGGGTGTGGTTTCTGGCCAGGTTTTTACCCTGCCTGCCAAGCATGGGCCATGGATGTGTTCTCATAGAAGGGGCAGGAAGAAGACCGACGTTGGTTGCAAGTACTTGGAGAGAAACCAAGAAGATCCGATCTACATAAAGCACTCACGAGTGGCTGGATTTCAAACTCAGGTCCCTGAGACTCACACCAGGCACTCAGGGCGAAATGACTAAGGGTGGGAGATGGCGCAACCCTGCAGGAGTTCACACAGCACTGGAACTTAGACCTGCTAGACTCTCCTGGTCTTTTAACAGAAGCCTCAAATTAAGACTCCTTTTCACTGGACACTCTCCCCTTTTATAAATGCTAAATCAAATTAAAACAACAACAACAAACCAGGTAACCAGTGGGTGGTATATTTTGTGCCTGCTTTAAGAGAAGGGGGGGCCTTCAACACTAGGGATACCCCAATCCTGAAGTGCCTCATGATCTCACAAGCCTGGGGCATCCTAGGCCGGCCCCCCCCCCCCCCCCCCCCCCCCCCCCCGCAGTGGATGGTGTGGTTCCCTGCTGAGGTGTGACCACATCCTCCCGGATGAAGATGGTGCGTTTACCATAAACAGGCCTGGTTATCTTGAGAGGCTCTGGCCTAGGCAGCAAAGCCTGGGGAACCCTGCCAGGGGGTTCAAGTTCAGGCATGTATGGGACAGAGGAGTCTGCAGTCCCACAAAAGCCATGTGTGCTGGCTCTCTCAGAAAGGTAGGTGGGTACAGAGAAAGCCAGGTCCTGGTTTCAGCTCTGCCAGATGAGGATCAGCCAGGGTTTTCAGGCCACACACTTGACCTCACTCTGGGCTTGGGATGGCAAAGGCTCCCAGGGCTCAGTGGGTCTGACCAGAGGCTGTGTGAAGCGATGGCCCCACCTGCTCCTCTGAATGCTGGAGCTTACTGTGTGACCCCCCGTATTCCCCCACTCCTGCCTCCGCCTGGAAGGGCTGCAAAGAATTAATTTTAAAAAATGACATGTGGATACTGTGGAATGGCTACCCCAAGCCATTAACATGCATCACTTCACACACATCACATTTTGTGGTTAAAACTTAACATACATTGTGTACAAGCTTGGTGTGTAGACTGGTATGGCTGATGGAAAATGGTATTAAATTCTTCAAAACGTAAGCTAGTTGTGTGTCTGAAGGAACATCTGACTTTCCTGTGTTTACCACAACACTATGCACACCAGCAAAGACAGGGAATAAACAACCTGACAGTCTGCTGATGGATGGATTAAAAACAAATCTACACACAATGGAGCCAGGTGCCAGCGGCTCATGCTTATAATTCTAGCTACTTGAGAGACTGCAGTTTGAAGCCAGCCCAGGCTGAGAAGTCTAAGATTCCATCTCAAATTAACTGGCAAAAAGGCCAAGCTGGGGGCATGGCTCAAGTAGTAGAGTGCCAGATTTAGCAAGCAAGCTGAGAAAGGACTAGGTCCTGAGTTCAAACCTCAGTACCAGCAAAACAACAACCAAAAAGCCTACTAGCCTTAAGAAGTCCTGTCATTTGTAACAACATGGGTAAATTCAGAGGACTTAATGTAAGTAAGCCAGGCACAGAAAGACAAAACTGCATCATCTTATTATTGAGACTCTGCAAGCGCTGAGCTGTGGCAGTAGGAAGTAGAATGTGGTTGCCACAGGCTGGCCTGGGAGCGTGCATGGAGGAGCGGCTGTACAGCATGCTGACGTCACGCTCTAGTGTTTTAAGTGTTAGCAAGATGATGCTCTACTTCTCTTCCATCAAGTATAAGCCACTACAGTGTCTACGTCACAGGGAAGTTGTGAGGCTTCAGTAAGAACCCACGAGAAACACCTAGACGACCTCTTGAGCTACCCCGCAGACCTTATCTTCTGTTGTTTTTATCCAGGCAAGCCAAAACTCTGACCTTCCAACCTTTCCTCCCAAGTGGCTGGGACCAGTGTGTGTCTCTACCTCGGCTTGAATTTCTAACTTAAAAATGTTTTGTAAAAGGACAGGGAGACACATGAGTGGCTCATGCCTGTAATTCTAGCTTTTCAGGAGGCTAAGATCTAAGGATTGCGGTTTGAGAAGCCACTCTAGGCAGGAAAGTCCAAAAGATTCTAATGTCCTATAAGCTATGCAAGAAAGCCGCAAGTGGAACTGTGGCTCAAGTTGTAGAGTGCAAAAGCAGCTCAGGGATAGAGCCCAGGCAGAGTTCAAGGCCCGGGACTGGCTGGGGCGGGGGAGGGAGGAGGGATGGGAAGCAGCCCCATTCAAGTGCTTTTAAGACAGATGTTAAATGTCTTTGCAGTTCTCCACCTGCCTGGAAACCTCCTGGCCCTGGGGGTTCTGAGCCATGCTGGTCCTTACCTTCTGCCCTCTTTTTTGGCTCACAGAATGGCCAACTCCGCTGCTGCCCACGTGCTCGGGGCACTCTTGGCAGAGAGGGGAACCTGGATTGGATAGCAAATGCCCAGCCTCTGCCTGAGGGCTCTGCTGAGTGCTGTAGGCACAGCTGCACATGGACATGTGGCTCATCCTGGCACGGGCCACCAGCTCTGGGAGGCTCTTTGGTGGCAGTTACGTTAGCTCCTGCTATTGTTCGAATGTGTACTCCCAAGTCCATGTGTTGGAAAGGTGCCACCCCCCTCCCCCTGTGAGCGATGACAGGTAGAGGGGGATAGTAAGAGGGAAGCAGGTCATGAGCATGGAGTGTGGACAGTCAGGAGAGGACCAGCCATTTCAAGAGTGGATCGTTACTAAAGCGAATTCAGCTCTCTAGCCTTTCCTCCTCCTCCTGTGGGATAATTCAGCATGGAGGCCCCCCGCCACGTGCTGGGGACAGGTTTCAGACGTGCCGCCTGCAGACCCAGACACTAAATATATTCTGGTCTAAGTGCTCCAGTCTCTAGCATTCTACTGTAGCGGCAGGAATGGACTACGACAGCTCCTCGTACACATGTGCCTTTTAGGTGATGACTGGGACCAACTCTTAATTCTAGAAGCAGGCAGGAGGAACAATTCAGGGTAAACAGAACAGAAAAGGAGCCCCAAGGAACAGCTGGCTACGTCCGGGATCCAGGCTACACTCCTTTCTTAGATGCAAAGCCAGTTTCCTGGAGGACGAGTGTGAGCAATACTTCAAATCTTGATTGACAAGTACTGACTGATGTTTCTAAAGCAACTTAGTGATTAAAACTAGGGTCTAACATGTGGGGGCCTGAGGAAGAATTGAGGAATTCGGGGCTGGCTACGGGGTTTACGGGGTGGTCATGAATCATGATGGAATGGGGCAGGGTGGGAGGGAAAGCTCAGAACTGCTTTGTGGGAGGGGAGACAGCACATGCATACTGAGGATTTCTATGGGGGACACTGCACTTGTCCACTAGCGACTGGGCAGGTGGACAGGACTGTGGAGGAAGGTCTGGACGGATGCCAGCACTCACCGAAATCCCTGTGTCCTTGTTCAGGATGACCTGTAGCAGGTGTGGAGGGAGGATGGGCGGAGCCTTAAATCGCTCTTCGGGTTTGGAGACATAGGGCTCCTGGTGGTAGGGTCCCGGGGGAGAACTGGACAGCTCTGTTGGGAGATGGCGACAACATTCTGAAAATTATGAGCTTCAGGAGTAGTCTCTCCTCTAGCTTTTTTTTTTGGTCTCTTGTTCCATCAATACAGATTTACAGTCTCTTAAAAGACGTATAGAGTACTGAGCCAGGCGCCTGTGACTCATGCCTATAATCCTAGCAACTATGATCCGAGGATCATAGTTTGAAGTCAGCTTTGGCAGAAAAGATTGTGAGAGTTTGTATCTCCAATTAATCAGCAAGAAGCCAAAAGTGGAGGTGTGGCTCAAGTGGTAGAGCACCAGAGACTTGAGTGAAAAAGCTGAGAGAGTGAGGCCCCAGTACTAGTCACCAAAAAAAAAAAGAAAGATGTAGGCTCCAAAGAGAAAGCCCTTTTGGAACGTGGGTACATGGATAAAAATCAGTGCTGAACTCAGATGTGCTGGTGGAAGACAGGAGTTGCAGCAAAGCCAGGGAATATGGGTCAGGCTAACAAGCAGGCCGATCTCAATCAGCCAACCTCACGTGTCAGCAGAACAAGGCTTCCTTCTCACTGCGGGCTGAGCTGGCCAAAACCAGACAGGAGCTCAAGCCGTCCTGTGAGGATTAAGTGGCTGAGCACAAGCGTCCTGTGAACATGACCAGCCAGCGTGAAACAGGTTATACAAGGCATCAAATGTTATTTTTTCAAAAAGTTAAAAACCTATTTGTTGGACTCCATCACCCTCAGTTCCTTGAGTCCCTTGATTGAAGAGATATATTAGGAAGCGTCTGGAAGCACAGTGCTTGATGTCAGAAGCAGCCAATGTCTGAGCTGCGGAAGGTACTGAGCCACTATCCAAACTCCGGTCACCTGGTCCCCACACTAGTCCCCAATGCATCTGATAGGCTCGAGCTCTGGCAAGTCCCTTGGTGCCATTCTCTAAGGGCAGATTCCCTTCAGAGGACTCAACCACATGGCAGCAGGGGACTGAGAAAAGCCTTAAAGGCAGAAGACAGCTATGAAGGGTAAACGGGTGATACTGTAAGAAAGCTGGAGAAGTGGAGAGCTTGAAGTTGGATTATCAGCAAACGGTGAGAGGCTCACTTTCTCTCCTGGATGCTCTGTACCACAGAAACCTGCCTAAAAGTTCTGGTATTCAACAAATAAACACATTTATCCACCAGAGGCGGCTACATGGGTAGTTTTTCCTGTTCCCTTACCTATCTTAGGAAGGAAAATAGGGTATTTCTAAAGGAGAGTTAGCCATCCCAGAAGAAGAAAACTATTAGGGGTTTCTAAGTCCCACTGAACAACCTGATCTGATGTCACAGAAAGCCTGTCAATTCACCACTGTGATTTCAGAATAGCTAAAGAACCCTGGTGGTGGAACCTCCAGCCCAGCCAGGTGAGGAAGGAAAAACATCAACCTGGAAACTCAACAGAAGCCATGTCGTTACACTGCCGGACGTCCCATGGGGCCAGGAACTGCTTAAACCGCTGCTGAGGCCAGCAAGAGCAGACAGACAGCTGGCACTCCAGATTACATGTCCTATCACTGCATTGTACACATTTCATCCTGCTGGCTTTGGTTGGGGGTGGGGGAAGCAGGGACGGGCAATTAATGGAAGCTTCTGTGATCAGAAGAATCCTGGGCATCAACAACCAGACCTGACAAGAGGAAGGACTCATGGGCAAGTTTGCTAGCAGAAAGGAAGGGTGTGCTGTGTAGCCCGCTGCTTATGGCCAGCTGCCTTCTCTCCTTGTCAGGGAATGTGACAAGGTCCTGAGGGGACACGAGTGCTGGCCAAGGTCACTGAGGTATCTGTTTACCCCTCTCTGCCTCCAGTTCTTCAGGCATGAGTGGGAAGCAAGCTGGCAGCTTCCCCCACGCTGGTTCACTACCAATCCAACGGAGCCCTCGAGGGCCCTTTTTGGCCCTGACACTGGCTTGACAAGTTCTGGTTCTATCCCCATGGCCAAGCAGAACTACCGAGTACTGAAGAAGACAAAGATGGCACAGGGGACCTGACAGAGGAAGGAATGAATGTTGTAGCCCCTCGAGGAGACACCAGTGTCCACCTTATTGGGCAGCTTTTGCTCAAAAGCGAGAGGCAAGAGAATGAGAGCACTGCTGGACTGCGCAGCCCCCGCCGGCACACATGGGGATAAAATGAACTGTGTTCATACCAGACACATCGGAGCACTTTTGGGAATCCACCATTAAAGCATCAAACACTTCAAAGTCAGTTTTCTTCACTTGAATGATGTTGTTAACTGTGCCAAGCTGGCTGGTTACTATCGGCTGGGAAAAGACAGACAGGCAGAAATCATAACATGGAAGGTCTAGGGAGAGCATTCTTTAGAGGACTTGGAATTCCTGACTAGAACGTGTCACCTCCTGGCCTTGGTAGCTACCCTACTTTGTTCTGGTGGAGTTATGCCAGTGATCTGACAACTGGCACTACCTCACCCAGCCACACATGGGGATTTGTACCAGCAGGGCGACAAGCCGCAAGGGAAGGTCAGATGATTGACATGAACTCTGCAGGTACATGGAGGACTAAGGGCGAGAGGCAGAGTACCTCGGAAGGGTCATGTGTCCACTGGCCATCCACGAAGAACTTGTACTGATGCTCTCCTTCTGGCAGGTCCAGGATGGCTACAAAGTTGTTGTGGCTGCAAGGAGAAAGGAAGGAGAACATGTCTTTTGGGTGATCTTGTCTGCTCAGCTCTAACCAGTCAGGGAAAAACAAAACACAATCTGGGAGAATGATCTCAACCCAGAAAAGCTACCTAAGGAAACCAAAGTGCATGAGTTTTCTGGAAAACTCAATTTAAATACGAAGAATCGACACTCCTCACATGGAAAGGTCAACACACGGGCATCGGTGCTTTTCAAGCCTGCATGCAAAATATCACTTAGCAGTCGTGGGTGCCAAGGAGAACAATACAAGACAAACACCAGCTGCCTAGTTTTCCCCTTTTGTCAGTTTACTTTGGGCGGAGGCAGGGATCTGTGTAACAGGAGGCACAAACTATCTCTAAAGAAACTTGTGCCACTATTCCGGGAACTGCTTTCATCTGGTTGTTTTGTTCTTCTGACTTGAACTGACTTTGAGTACTATGCCAACTGGCTTCTTCCTTCTCCGGTGTTACTGCTGGGGACGCAGGCAGCCCGACATGCTTCATCAAGACACTTAGCTGGTGAAGGCATTTTCTCCTGGACAATTTGAGACATGAGTTCCTGTCAGCATTCTTAATAAAACGTCTTACTCCAACCCTGCTAATGATACCTACACAGCAAGTATCTCCAGAATAGAAGTGATGCACAAATTAGAACGAACCTCAAAAGTCTCTCTTGCCTTTTTTTTTTTTTTTGCCAGTCCTGTAGCTTGGACTCAGGGCCTGGGCACTGACCCTGAGCCTCTCTGTGCTCAAGGCTGGCACTCTACCACTTAAGCCACAGTGCCACTTCCAGCTTTTTCTGTTTATGTGGTACTGAGGAATCGGACCCAGGGCTTCAAGCACGCTAGGCCCCGATAGTCTCTTTTTAACAGATGGGAAAACTGAGGCTCAGCTGCAAAATGAGTGTGTAGGCAGTCTTAAGATTCTTAGCTCAGTGCCCTCTCTAGTGCCCTGGGAATATTCTCTTTCTCAGGAGAAACATCTACCTAAGGACCTGAACTGGGAGATATCCATGACCCACAAATACTTTCCACTGAGACATGTTGTTTCTGTCTTAAAAAAAAAAAAAAAAAAGTGTGCTTTAAACCCAGAAGTTTCTCAGGTGTGAGATTTGAATCTCTTCACTTATTAAGCAAAATTATTTCAGCATCTCTTGTCCAAAAGCATGCTTTGTTTCTATTCACCTACAGAGATCTTTTAGAAAGAAGAACTCTATAAGGGTTTAGGCAAATATAAATATGTGAGCACTCCCCATGCAATTACCTTCTTGTGAGGGGAAGTTTACTCCAGTTATTGAAGGACCCAGATAAGTAAACTTCCTTTCCACCACCCGTCCATCGAAATACAGTTGGCCGAGCCTGGGTGGGAGCCTTATCATTCACTTCAAGATCATGCTGCCAGGCCAGGAACTCCTCCTTCTCTGGAGCCTAGAAACAGAGCAGTTTACTCAGAAATAGGAAGCCATAAGTGAGCACCCTACAACTGACTACTAAACTAATATTGACAGTTCATTCTAAAGAGGCGGCCCGCCCTTGCTGGTTTTGTTTCCCCAACCACAATGTGGGGTAATAAAAATAACTACTTTATAAGGTTTCTGCAAGGACTGCGTTTCTGTGAAATGATCTGAAGCATTGTTGATACATAGTGAGTACTTAATGATTATTAGCTCTTATTGTGGTGATAAAGAGGGCTATGGGGAATGTGGCTTAGTGACAGAGTGTCTGCCTAGCATGCTTGAAGCCCTGGGTTCAATTCCTCAGTACCATATAAACAGAAAAAGCCGGAAGTGGCACTGTGGCTTAAGTGGTAAAGTGCTAGCCTTGAGCAAAAGAAGCTCAAGGACAGTGCCCGGGCCCTAAGTTCAAGCCCCAGGACTGACAAAAAAAAAATAAAAAGACAGACAGAAACAAGGAAAGAAAGAAAGAAAGAAAGAAAGAAAGAAAGAAAGAAAGAAAGAAAGAAAGAAAGAAAGAAAGAAAAGAGGGCTTCATAAATTCTGAAGGAAACCAAAAAAACTTGCTTGGAAGAAGACTACAGTGAACCCAAGACTAGTAAGAGTATAAGGTCCTGAGTTTAAGTCCTATCAACACACACAAAAAAGAGTAGGGCTGGGAAGGTGGCTCAGTGGTAGAGCGCTTGCCTTGCATGCCTGAGGCCCTGGGCTCGATTCCTCAGCACCACATAAGCAAAAAGAAAAAAGCCGGAAGTGGCGCTGTGGCTCAAGTGGTAGAGCACTAGCCTTGAGCTGAAGAGCTGAGGGACAGCGCCCAGGCCCAGAATTCAGGCCCCACTACCGGACCAAAAAAAAAAAAAAATTCAAGAGTACATTAATAGTTATGAGGGACAATTCCAGAGCTGTCAACTTGACGACTGGCAAGTCCATACTGTGTGGAAGAATACTATTCTGAGTGCTGCCTGGGCACCGAGGACAAACAAGACTGTCTGTACCAAACGTGTATTCCAGCATGACACAGGATCACATTTAATCCTGTCTAGGTGAAATTTATTTGGTTGTGGATCTCTCATATCTTTCTTAGTAAGTAGTAGAATATTTTAACAGCCGGAATTCTAAAGTTGAGAGAACCCTTAAAGGGGTGCAGCAGGCTTCTGGCACCTTCCTCTCAAACACGGAGCAGAACTTATCTAAAAGATGCCTGCATTCCTAGAGTTCTAACAAGGTCCACAGATTATAAAGAATAACAGCTGGAATTGCTTTAGGTGGGTGTGGTAACAGTGGTGAAGTGGGATAGTCAAAAGAACTGAGGGGTTTGCTATCTAGGCATTCAACCCAGAGAGAGAGAGAGAGAGAGAGAGGGAGAGAGAGAGGGAGAGAGAGAGGGAGAGAGAGAGGGAGAGAGAGAGGGAGAGAGAGAGGGAGAGAGAGAGGGAGAGAGAGAGGGAGAGAGAGAGGGAGAGAGAGAGAGAGAGAGAGAGAGAGAGGAGAGAGAGAGAGAGAGAGTGTGTGTGTGTGGTTTGCTATCTAGGCATTCAACCCAGTGTGTGTGTGTGTGTGTGTGTGTGTGTGTGTGTGTGTGTGTGTGTGTGTGTGTGTGTGTGTGTGTGTGTGTGTGTGTGTGTGTGTTATCTAGGCATTCAACTCAGAGTGTGTGTGTGTGTGTTTGCTATCTAGGCATTCAACCCAGTGTGTGTGTGTGTGTGTTTGCTATCTAGGCATTCAACCCAGAGTGTGTGTGTGTTTGCTATCTAGGCATCCAACCCAGAGTGTGTGTGTGTGTGTTTGCTATCTAGGCATTCAACCCAGAGTGTGTGTGTGTGTGTGTGTGTTTGCTATCTAGGCATTCAACCCAGTGTGTGTGTGTGTGTGTGTGTGTGTGTGTGCATTATGTCATCTCAGTAACTTTGGGTGAATTGAGAATGGATGTTACTCACATTTAATCTCCACAGATCCTCTGCATGTTAAATATTTCTTGTAATTTTAAATATATATATATATATATAACATTGTTGTTATTAAAATATTGTACAGAGGGGTGACCATCATAAGTCAGGTATATTTCTTTTTTTTGGGGGGGGGGGGAAAACAATGTCGCTCCTTCCTTCCCTTTACCCCCAAACCTGTAGGAGTTTTGTAATAGCAACAACGTATACTTCTTGAAGAAAGTAATTCCCATTTTTATGGTGTTTTATTTAACAGTGTTGGGGCCAAAAGTACTTAGGGGAGGGAAGGCCTGTCAAATCATTGGGGAGGCCTGATTCCAAAGTTCATGGCACACTCTAGGAATGGAAGGAGCTCAGAAAACAAATTCACATCACTGGCTGTAAGGCCAAGTAAAAAGCAGTCTCTAATTTAAAGCTAGACTTAGAACCAAGACACAAGTGAGAATGTGAGCCTATAATCACCTAGTCTAATATCTAAGGGGAAAAAAGTATGAGTAAAGGTGAAATGAGTTGTGAGGGAATTAGCCCATCTGGACAATGATGATTAACATGTAATTGAATAGTAACAGACTGGGGGGTGGGAAGATACTTTCATTCCTCCTAAACCTTTATTCCTTTAAGGACTTAGCTCTTTGCTGGGTGCCAGTGGCTCAGACCTGGAAGCCTAGCTGAGATCTGAGGATTGGAGTTGGAAGCCAGCCTGGGCAAACAAGTCATCTCTAATTAACCAGCAAAATGCTGGAAGTGGAGGAGTGGCTCAAGTTGTGCTCTAGTTTGGGGTGAGAAAGCTAAGGGAGAGAGTGAGGTTCAGGGACTTAGTTCTTCACCTGTTGGAATAAGGAGCCCTGTAACTGGAAACACACATATGCACAAACAAGGTGAGTAAATGTGGGTAAAGCTGGAGTCATCTTCCTGTTTCACAAAGCGGAGTGTATTAGGAAGTCCGATCTCCACTCGTAGAAAATAATGTGCTTTGGTCTACAGAAGAAGCTAAGTCCTGTTAGGAGCCGAGTGGCTGTTTGCTGTTTCCTTCAGACTTGACACCAACAGGCCTTCACAAGTAGCATTAACTTTTCCCTGATGTGCTCTTTAAAAGGGGGGGGGGGAAGGGCACCCAAAGTATCAGAAGGAGGCACCCCCGATCCCTTGTGCTGTCCAAACTATTCACAGCGACTTGGACTCCAGAACGGGCAGTCCTTTTTTTTAAAAAACAAAAAGAAAGACAGACACGCCAGCCTGCACCAAGCCGAGGGAAGACTGTCTCCAAGCTGTGGAATTAATTACGCCCAGGAGAAAGGCAAAGGCACTGGTGCTCAATTACCGCTAGCGCGACTCTTGATCATTAATTAAGCATTCGGAATTCGGTCCCAGAACTGCCTTTCTCCTTAATGATGCGCTCCAGCTCCCTCTGGGTGACACGCTCACCATCGGAAATCCAGACTCGGGTTCCCCCGGTGGCGGGAGCGGGGGGGGGGGGGTCGCTCGCGGGGCTGGCTGCGATGGGGATGGCCGTCGGAGGGGACGTGGCGGGAATCTGCTGCACGGGTCCCGCACGCCCCTCCCCCCGTGGGGAGCCCGGTCCCCCCTCCCCCGCCGGCCCTCGCACCTTGATCTCCTCCGAGTGGAAGAGGTCGGCGTCCTCGGGGCTGTCCATCAGGATCTTGGGCCGGTCCCCGTCCTTGGCGCCCCCCGAGCTGTCCCGGCGGTGCGCCTTGTGCCCGCCCTGGCGCTCCAGCGCCGCGCGCTCGCTGCTCGTGTTGCCCATGGCGGGGGTCTGTCGGCGGGGACACCGGGCAGGGGGGGACGGACACCGGCTGGAGGGGGGGTCGTGGAGGAAGTCCGGGGTACCACGCCCCTCCGGTGCAGGCCGCTGTCGGCGGCGACTTTACCTGCTCCAGGCGGTCGCGGCTCGGACTCAAGCAGCGGGAAGGTAACCTGACACTTTCCCGACACGCCCCACCCCCTCGGTAACTTCCGCTTCCGGCGACTCCGGCGGAGGAGCGGGGCGGGCGGGGAGGGGGGTAGGAGTAGGGAGAGGAGCTGAAGCGGAGGAGGAAGCGGAGGGGTAGCCGCGGCACCCCCCCCCCCACTTCCGTCACTTCCGCTTCCGGCCTGGTCTGGGTGTTGGCGCCGTCGCAGTCGGTTGAAGAGGGGCCGCGCCCAAGACCAAGTTCCTTGAGCGCCTTGAGCGGCAGGAGGCGCTCGCGCGCGCCGGCCATGTTGACAGCTTTTCCCGCGCTGGACCCGGGAGCGGTGACGACGTGATGACGTCAGCGCAGCCCACCGGCCTCCAGCCGACGGTGCAAGGTACAGCCTGAGACCCCTTAGTGCCGGGTGCAAGTCGACGGCGCGGCCCCTTGGAACCCCGTCGTGGGGCTGGGAAGGCGGCCTGGTGGTTGAGCGCCTGCCTAGCACGCGTGAGGCCCTGGGTTCCAGTCCTCAGTGCCACCTAAACAAAAAGTAAACCACAAAAATTAAAAGGAAAAAGCACATTAAAAAACAAGAACCCACGAAAAACCCCACCCTGCCATGCATTGTTTAAAATGCAACCCTACTCCAGGACCTGTGGAATCCCCAAGTCTGAGCATTGGTGGAGAATTCAGGTAACTTGCAGGAACCTGGAGATTTTACTTTAAACGCGGGAGTTAACTTGTGTGTGTTTTAAAGCACACCAAGCACACATGTGGGTGGTTATAGTTCAAGGTATGTCAGAATCACTTTGGACATGCAATTCTACGCAAAGATGTATGAGCGTTTGCGCTTTGCTTTTTGTCACCCAGGAGTGCATGAGGGCTTCCTATAGCAGCCCAGCTCCATACAGACTTACAGGTCCTTGAGATTCCCACGTGAAAAGCATCTCAGTCTCTCTCTCATACACACACACACACACACACACACACACACACACACGAGATGAATAGGTGAATGAGGATTTTTGTTTTAGTATAACAGGGTTAAAGTACAGAGAAATGGAAATGAGAGAAATATTTCCTGCTCTCCATGCTGTTAACTACTGCCTTTGATCTTTCTGACCTGGGGGAAAACAGCAACTCCAAAATCTTAAACTATGATTCTGGGCAGCTATGAAGAGTGCTATTTATTATTCTAAAAAAAAAAAATGATTCACAGACTGCTTTTCATAAACTCCAAGCAATTGATGAAATTTTTAAAAAATGGAGATGTGTCTGGGTCTAACCAAAGCACAAGGACAATAAGTGAGTTTTAGGGTTTTCTTTTTCCAGATATGCTTGTCGCTTTTACCCAAAGTTGGCATGCTTTTGCCATTTCCAAGGAGAGGGAAGATTTAGGTAGTCCCTTTTAGGTGTGCTAATCCTTGTAATTTAACATCAAGAAGGAAGAATAAGGCGAGTACCTGAGAGTCACACCTGAAATCCTAGCTGAGATCTGAGGATCATTGTTAGAAGCCAGCCCAGGCAGGAAAGTCTCTGAGACTCTTATCTCCAATTAATCACAGAAAAAGCTGGAATGTGGCTCAAATGGTAGAGTGTTACCCTTGAGCAAAAGGAGCCCATGGAGAGTGCCCAGGCCCAGAGTTCAAGCCCCAGGACTGGAAAAAAAAGAAAACAAAAAAGAGGAGATGTAGTAGGAGGGAAGCTTGACAGACTCTTTAGTTGCTTTCTGGTGTTAACTTTTGGTTCTGGCTGTTGATATTTGTTAAAAAAAATATATATATATATTATGTATATATATTTTTCCTTATTTTCTCATCTGTCCTGCTTCATTTTGGCCAGTGCCAAAGTGCATATATATATACACACATATGTACACATATACATATATACATACATACAGGTATACATATATACATTTAGTCCTTATCTATCTATTCTGCTTCACTTTGGCCAGTACTTCTGTAAGAAGTACATACCTTATGATACCAAAATATTGTAATTTTCCTCCATGTTGGTCATTAGCATAGTTTTGTTCAGTTTTGCTTATATGTGCATCAAAAATACATTACATATGCTAGACCACATCATGCATATCATTCACTGGATGTTTATCTAATACCTACAATGTAACAGGTAACTCAGTGCTAAGTAAATGCGGAACACAGATGACTAACACATTCTCCTGGGGGGAAGCTGGCATTTTCTATCACCATATAAAAATGAACCTTTATTTTCATAGGTAGTTTTGCTTCTTTTATTTCTTCTAGAAATATGCACATGGGAGATTCTTTCCAAGAATCTAATTAATGCATTAATTCTAACATGTACACACAGGAGTCCAGAAGGGACTTAGAGGCAGGCCAGGAAACGGGATCAGAGCGAAGAAGGGTTTCCTGGAGCTGATGACTGACATTCTGAGTTTACTCAACATAATCAGACATGTTGAATGCCCTTGCCGAACTGGATAACAGGCAGATGATAGATTCTGGACAACTCAGAATCTATTCTTGGAATTGTTTTTTTGATAGTAGCCTGACTTGCTCATAATAGATAACAAAAAAGTCTTCAAAAGACTGAGAGACAAGGAAAAACTCACACACTGTGGATGCTATCTGGGTTTTGCAGGTGCTTTGTTGTGTGAGAAAAATGTCAAGACTTCTGCTCTGACTCAGATAAAATAACAATAAAAGCCTGACTCTTTGATGCCAAACAAAACTGGAGATAGTGTTACTAGAAGTTTAAGACTGCAAAGTTGACCATAGGTCCTTGAATTTGGCAAGAGGAGAATTCAGGCAAGACATGAATATAATCAAGATGATAGGAAAGTTTGTTAGAAAAGAAGTGTGGCCACTCTCAAGCATCTCACACTGTCTTTGGGGGGGATTACTGAGATTGGCAGGGCAAGAGAAGCCCTGCATAATTAAAACAGTCCAGGTCATAGGCTGGTTCAGAAGCGGAGGCAGATGGTCTGATCGTCCAGTTATCTCAGGATTGGTCAGGAGCTTTGCTGCAATAAGAACCCCTAACACCTGGTGGGTGTTCAGTGGTCCCGCCCTTCCTGGCTTCCTAGATGGCTGCAAAGTGAATGGCTCAGGAGCATTAAGTCCCAATGGTGCAAGCCGCCATCCCAGGGGTGAGGGAGGTTTACTGAATTAACACTTGAGCTCTTGGTGTTGGTTTCCCTGGCCTGTGTAGGCAAATTAAACATGCTTTGAAAATTATATGTTGACCCACCTTAGACTAGAATAAAGCCTTCTTTTATCCTTATATGGGCGGAAAACTCAAAAACCCTCGCTTGATGACATTTTATGACCTCTGGGGCCTCAGAGGCTGGTATTTCACTCCCGTTTCAATATCTGCAAGAGGTCCTGCATCATTTCCACTCACTGGACCTGTACAGGTGTGCCCTGCACAGGGATGCCTGCCACAGCAGGTAGTCCTGGGATTTCACCTGAGCACCAGACTGTGTTGTCTACACAGCTCATGTTACTTTGCACAAATGTACCACAGGGACTGGCAATGGCCCTGGCTCCTTTCCAGTGGAAACAGTGGATCCTAAGAACCAGAGGTGACTTCCATATAGAATTCATAATATACACAATCAGATTTGGAAAATCACACTGAAATTTCAGAGAGATATTTTAGTCTTTGTGGAGCTCAGGCATCTTAGTTTTGAAAAATATTTTGTCTCTTTATTGCATCATGTGGGGCAGATATGGATTCTCATCAAATGTAGAAGATGAATTTGTGATCATCTGATTTGTAATTGTATATATATATATATATATATATTTTTTTTTTTTTTTTTTGTCAGTCGTGGGGCTTGAACTCTGGGCCTGGGTGCTGTCCCTCAGCTCTTCAGCTCAAGGCAAGCGCTCTACCACTTGAGCTACAGCGCCACTTCTGGTTTTCTGGTGGTTTATTGGAGATAGGAGTCTCACGGTCTCTCCTGCCCGGGCTGGCTTTGAACCGCGATCCTCAGATCTGAGCCTCCTGAGTAGCTAGGATTACAGGCGTGAGCCACCAGCGCCCGGCCTGTAATTGTATATTATACCTCAATATGACTGACATTCAGGAAGATATCAGCGTGATAAAGATGAGGTCTGGGTAACTACTGATAGGAGCATCTTGCCTTCTGGACAGAGAAAATAGCATCATTATCAGGTACTGGACATAGGTTAAAAATCACAGGCATGGCGGACTTCCATTTGCAAGTGTCTTGTCTCTGTTGAGGTCTCTTTTTTATGTGGTGTGTATGTGTATGTATGTGTGTGTGTGTGTGTTTTAAAATGAACATTGACCCCCATACTTGGCTAGGCAAATACTACCACCCTCCCAACTCTACCACCCTAACATACAACAAAACGGCCCTCAGCCTTTTTGTCTCATTTATTGATTCATTTGTTTGTTAATTAATTTATTGGTGCCAGATCTGGGGCTTGAACTCAAGGCCTAGGTGCTGTCCCTGAGCTTTTTCCTTTCCTTTCTTCTCTTTTCTTTTCTTGTCAGTCGTGTCCCTGAACTTTTTCAGTCAAGGCTAGTGTTCTACCACTTGAACTACATCTTTATTTCTGGTGTGTGTGTATGTGTGTGTGTGTGTGTGCGCGTGTGTGCGCATGCATATAACTAATTGGAAATAAGAATGTCATGGGCTTCCTGGGCTGGCTTCAAACTGTGATCTTCAGATCTCAGCCTCCCAAGCAGCTAGAATTAGAGGTGTGAGCTTTGGTACCTGGCTCTTACTTCACTTTTGAGATAGCGTCTCACTCGCTTTATCCAGGCTTGCCTTGGACCTCAATCTTCCTGTTTCTACCTCCCAAGTTGCTGGGATGACAAATGGTGTACCACCATGCCTGGCTGCATTCCTTATTTTCATGTAACAAGGGTTCAGGACCCTTCCAAGCATCCGACTTACATATTCTTTGCTTCTCTGCAGATGTAAGTGTACAATCACTCCATCCTGGGACTTTTGAGGAAGCTGCATACTGATTTCCATGGTGGCTGGACTAATTTATAGTCAATCTAGCAGTATGTAAGGCTTCCTTTC